GGACGTGGTTTACCTTGACGTCTTTTGGTGGTCAAGAATGCTTGGCCACTCGAGGGGTATCTTATCTTCAACCTCACCGCAATCATCTCAGTGCACCAAAACCCAGCTCACTTCCTATGTCGCTCACTACAATTGGGTTGAGAGAATTAGGGTCGGAACCAGTACGCTGTAAACTCTGGAAATCGCCAACAGTACGTAGTTGAGTAGTGGCCATATTAAAGCCAGAAGACTGCTGCGGTTGGGACCGGATATCCAAACTGGCCGAGTGTAAGCTCGTGCCGATGGCGCTCATTGCATCGCCAAAACCATGGTTGTCTAACATGCTGGCTATGCCCTGGGTTTGATTTATTGGCTGGCCAGTAACATTCATGGTAGGTGCTTGGCTCAGACCACTGTCCATATGGGGCGGAATTGCAAGATTGCCGCTAATGCCTTGAACCATAGATACTTGCTGAGTCTGTTGTGATTGTTGCTGAAAATGAGACTGAGTCAGAGATTGTGGAGTACGTTGGTTTAACTGCTGGAGCTGGTGTTGCAGCTGTATCTGATGGTGCTGCTGGTGAGAAGACAGCTGGTGTACATGCGGTGTTTGTTGTTGCTGCTGCTGATGTCGGTGCTGTGGAAGTTGTTGCTGCCGAGAAAACTGCGGCGGCATTTGACCTTGCTGATATATCTGAGGGGCTTGTTTGGTGTGTTGTTGTTGTTGTTGGTCGTTGGACATAGCCCCACCCGCGGAAATAGGGGAAGCGACATTGACAGGTGCCTGGGACTGCATAACAATGTCGGCGATTGGGTTGAAGTCCGTATTCATGCCACGAGAGAAATCTAACCCAGGGGAAAGGGTGGGGGGTGACGACACAAATGGAGAATGCACATCCTGCATTGAGGTGGCGCCAGCCGAGGTCGAGCCTTCTGCTTTGAAATCGTCCAAAGGAAGGTACTGTTGCGAGACCATGCCTGCACTGCCAAAACCATCGAAGATGTCGATGTCACATGCAGTGTCGGGGGGGGACTGCAACATTGGGTTGGCCAAACGAGGTAAAACCTCATGAATCTTCACGAGAAGTAGAGGGGCAAAGCGATGTTCGCCAATGCGGAGCATAGCTAAGATGCTGGCGAGTTGGTGCAGATGATCACGCGGACTTGCGGTAAACGGGTTTCCAGACGACGGCATCGCAGCAAATACGTCCGTGAGGCCGTTTGTGACGGTCATAAGGGACTCAATCTGAAAACATGAGTAACAGAAAACACGGAAAGTGCACAGCACGAGTTTCAGATGGGGCATGAACTTACCAGCCCGGAGTTGAGCAGTTCAGGAGATCCCTGTTTTGAGAGAGATGCTGCCATAGGGATGATCTCTCGAGAGATGTCCGTTATTGGGTACTGATACGTAGACGGATCATTTCTAGCCGAGATGTTTCCTTTAGCTAGGTTGATTTGCCATACAAGGTTCTGCAGCCATTGTCGATTCCGCACAACGTCATCGAGCCGCGGGTCGGTATTGGCCAGTGCATTGACAGTATCGCTATGCTGCTTCTGCAAGCTTGCCACTTGCGACGACGTACAACTAGAGCGAGTCATATTCCAAATGTCCACAAATGGCGCATCAAAAGGCTGAAATAGTGAAGCAATTCGACAAAATCCAGCCAACTGGTTTGCAAATGGGTCGCTGGGATCGTCGGAGAGTGTGGGAAGGTCAATAGTGGCTTTCAGGGACAGTGGGCGATCGTGCTGCAAGGCATACGCGCGCTCAGCAACGTAGAGTAGCCAGTACAAGCGCCTCCGGCGTGAAGCGTCGACTTTGTCCCAGGCCTGATATGCTTCTTCTTTGTTCATCCGTGCAAGGTGCACGAGAGTAGTAGCCTCACGGAGGTCGCACCAGGCCTTGTCGTGGAGGTCAAGTCCGTAGTGACAGGCAAACAAGAAGTAGTTTGTAGCGATTGTGTAGAGTGAAGGATTTTGCATATAGTCGTAGCCTTTACGCACACGAAGGGTCTCTTCGAGAAGTAAGGTAGCTGTAATAATGGAAGCGCCAGGTATGCTGTCGGGTCCGTATGGGTCTGTGATGGGAAATGGCATGCCGGGCTGCAACATCATAAAGGCGCATAGCGAAGACAATAAGCAGTAAGTGTCTAAGGTGGTATCTAAGGACATGGCATCCTGTTCAACACGTTGGCGACTCAAAATGGGTATAGTCGGATACAAATTGGCGAAGAAGAAATCGATACAAGCCTTGACCATTTCGTTTGTCAAGAGGCCCTGGGTTGGTGTGAACGTTGAGTTCGTGATGTTGTTACCATTCATACGGTTTTGGATCTTAGCCGAAAGACTCGACTGGCGCTGATTCTCGCGAAGCTCGCTGATGACTTTCGCGCGAGAGCCTTTTGGCCCCTTCTTCTGCGGAATGGCGTTGTACGTGCAGGACAGTTGAGCGGAGGCGCAGTTTCGGCAAGGATTGACGCCATCGCACTTCACTTTCCGCCGATGGCAAGCATCGCAGGCTCGCTTTACTGCGGTCGACATGGCAGTACGGACAGGGAAAATGTCAATGACAGGAGGGAATGGTATTCGGAGCGCCGGAGATCGTGCTGGCGTAAAGGTTGCGCAGCATTCGGAAAAGTTTTGTAATTGCAAGAAAGTTGCTCACACAAATTTAGAGCGAAGGTAGACTTGAGTGTTTGTACGAGAATGACCGAGCCACGCCCGTAGCCGAAGCGAAGTCGTTCAAGCAGGTAGAAGCAAAGAAATTGTTAATGGATGCGGGCGTGACCGTGGCGGGCAATCAGAGAGGTCGGTCAGAATAACGACATGCAGCGCCGGCCGTTGCCAACAGCATGGGATACAGATGGAAACAGAAACGATGTGGTTAAACAAAAGTTTGATCTGGAAGCAGAAAACAGGAAAAGACGATAAAAACGGCCAGAAGAGTGAGTTTCGATGGTAAGCGGACTGGTGATGTGGATGAAATCAATGTGGAAACAAGGAGAACAGATGAAGGAAAGGACGATGGGGAAGGGCGACGCCGAAAATGTGGGTGCCCCTTCTCTTCGGGTTTCCTGGGGCTGTTTAATGAAGGGCTTCGAGGGCAAAGGATGTGAGCTAAATCCTCACACTGTCCAAGCCAAATCAGGCGAATTTGGGCGGGGATACAAAATTAGGCAAGCGACTCAAGCGTCCGGAATAACGTTTCATTGGACCGCCAAGTCTAATAGTGGATCCAACATGCCCCACTGAGACCAGACGACTTAGTACGATAAAGCTGAGAATAAAGAGGCGCAGAGACGCATACTCACATACAACATAAACCGAATCTGTTAACCCACCAGCCCACGTCCGTCCGTTACATAAGACACTAGCGATAATGTATACTATTGTACTAGTAATTCTCAATATTAAGATAGATACCTAGATATACCTCCTCCTTGTTCCCTCAAAGTCTTCTACCGATAACCTCTTGAACAGTAATCTAAATATTACAGACTACGTTTTCGGTCGGTCTTTTGTTAGGTATGGTAACCACGGGAAATACGATACACCTACACAGTAGAAGTACCTTTTTCGGGGGGAAGAGGTAGGGGTCGGGGTCAGGGGCAGTAGGTAAGTAAATTACGTTGTTACGACTTTCACATATTTTGTTTTCTTCTACCGTAATTTTGACCTATAAAACATCCCGTATTTCAGCGTTAGATCGTGTCGTGGTTTATCTACGACGTATTATAGGCCTGTAAGCCAGGTGTTTAGACTTTGGCTCATATGATCGCTCGAATCTATATCCCTAATACTTAAGAGAGCGCCTTCTTTAACTGTCTTCTCCACAAATATTTCCATCCTTCATGTATGTACTCTGCCCACCGTCCCCAGACTCTCCCCAGCTTTGTCTTGACCTCTGTCCTTTTTTGCAATAAATAAAGGCATATTCCGTTAGACGTGGTGGATTGTTTGACGGGGCGCGCTCTAACGGCAATCAGCTCTAGTGTGCTGTAGCCGTCTCGTCTCGGACCGATTCTTTAAGGAGGGGACAACTCGCCGAAACCCAGAAGGGCCATTCGAGAAATCAGCAAAGCTCAATCACGGAACTTAGGAACATACGCATAATCCTGCATGTCAAGGATAAGACGTACAATCGCGCATTATCCGTGTTTCCAATGAACTCCTTGTCAGAACGATCCACGCCTTATTAAATATAATATTAAGATATTTGTGTCGTTAAAGCAGCGTGTAAGCAGGGTTTACGTATATAGAAGAAGTCGTACTCGGTGCATAAGCGAGATATGCCATGGTTGGTTCTTAGAGAAACAACCCTCACGACGTGGTTGTGGAACACAACTAATCATGTGTCGTGCATTTTGCTATCCGATATTACACAAGATTGGTGTCCACATATTGCTTCCTCTGCTAGCATGCTACACGATGCTGATTTCCCAAGTCAAGTCTAGTGTGTCCTAGTGCAACACTGAGAGTATTTGTTGCCAATGCCTATCGCACCAAGTTTCCTAGGACGCATTTAGCAACCCGCGCTTCGAAGAACAAGTCATTCAAGATCGAATATCACAGTATTTTGTATGCAACGGCCGCTCCTGTGAAAAACAAACAAACTTTACAAGTGACGCGGCTTTAGAGTGACCAGGAGACAAACACTTTACTAGCACTTTGATATCGTTGTAAGCTATTGGTCAAGACGATAATTCGTTTCCATGCCCGTGTTGCTTTGGGTTCCAATGCGGTCCGGTGAAGTTTAGAATTTTATGTCACGAGAGCACGTTTGGAGGGCATCAGAGTGTATATAACTCGTCCTACCGACCCCCCCCCCCCCCCCCCCCCCCCCAACTTCAAACCTCCTTACTCTGGGAGAGAAGACAGCCACCTTTTCTCTATTGTTTCACAGGCCGTCTTGACCATGTTGGTAACGGTTTCGATGTGGTCGAGCCCGAAAACATTGTAGTGGTGGGTTGGGATGTCCAAAACTTGACAGAACCAGTCTTTACAATAATTGTCCCAGCCTAGTCGTCGATCTTGGCGGTAGAGGTCGACGTAAAGTATGCCGTCGTCTGGGGTGGGAACTTGGTCCCGGCAGCGGATAAGTACGACCGGAGGCGTACGGAAGACGGGAACGGACCACTCACGTACCATTCGGTACGCCTCCTTGAAGCACCTTTCCACACAAATTTTCGTCGCCCTTGTCGTTGTTGCAGGCCACTCGATGCGAAGTTCGGCCAACCGCATTCCTGGGACACTCCAACCCGCCTTGGGTGGGAGCGGGTAAACGCTGTCGATAAGAACAAGGCCTGCCACACTCACATCGGGGTATGACTGGGATAAAACATGAGCGGTCTCGAGGGCCAGGAGCCCTCCCAATGACCATCCACCGAGAATGACAGGCCCAGATAGGATGGCAGACGCAACAAGGCCAGCATAGATTGTTGCCATTTCGCGTAGACCCCCAGCCCAGGGAATCCCGGACTTGAACCGTGGGTTAGCGATACCTAGGAGCTTTCGATCGATGTTGTCAAGGATGTAATAGCTAAAAATAGTGCCGCTGCCATCGTGGATCAAAATCAGAGGTATAGCATTGCGTTGCCGCAAGTCATCTTGGATGAGGTTTGGATTGGAATCGACCATGGTTACTGCGGTATGTCTGTGTCGTGACGCAGTTTGTATCAATAGCTGTTCTTCCAGCCATCGTCCAGCGTAGGTGATTTTTCCAAGTATCATGACGCGAATGGCCCATTGCCATAAGCAGGATATGAGAATCGCAGGTTCCCCACATAATGATTATGTAACACAAGGCTGTAACTTGGTTCCCCATAAGGTGTATAGGCCCGTACAAACAAGAAAAAACTTACATAATATGAACTACGGCTTTTGATTGGCCAATCCAACCGTGCAAATAAATAATAACATAAGCAATTTTGAACTTTTGAATAACATCGCCAAAAGCATCGCCAAAAACATCACGATAAATAAAGAGACTGTAAATAAAGTATGTGTCTACGTAATACCTTAGTATAACGGTTGTCACCTCTCCTGTATATTCTATAGTCTTATATTTACACGTTTTATATATATTATTACCGTTTAATACTTTACACGAACTTTAACTATAATAACCTTTACGACTCACCCTTATTTAATACGGAGCCTCCGTATTATTATAAGTGATTGTAGAATAGGTCTTCACAATAGATTAGTTGATGAAAAGCATTGGTTTCGAGGGTGAAGGTAGGTGTGTATTGTAACAGAGACTAATTCTTACCCCTTCTTCCCTTTAGGAAGAAGGGAGTCCTCTTATTTAAGGAGAGAGGCTTTTTACTAACGTGGTGTTAACGTGTGGTTGGGGACTAGCCACACTACGCCTTATTATGTAAGTCTAGTTACTTAATTCGTAGCCTTTGGTTACGAATCGATTATAATATTATCGTCGAGTCGTTTATAACTTTTTTATAAATTACGGACGTTATTAATAAAACGATTTCTTACTCGTTATATAAATAATAATTTAGTTTTTACGTATAAGTTTTAAAGGTTAATTTTTTTATAATCGATAGTTTCGTTTAACGTATATTTAAGTTAATTATTTAATTTAAAGTAAAAAGTTTTTTTTTAAATTTATTAAAAAAAACGTTATTTACTTTTTTAAAAAACGTAAGTAGTTTAAAAACTCAGATAACGGTTAATTAAGTTAAAAACGTACCTTTTTATATAACTTATAAGTTTATATCGACGGGTCGTTTACGGTAAAAACGAGTATTACTATTTACTTTTTAAATTTATTTTAAAAACGTTTAAATCGTCGACGTTTTTTAAAATCTTTAACGTTACGTATATATTAGTTTTATTATTTTTTAAACGGTTTATTTATATAGTTATAAACGACGACGACTCGATTACGAGAATTCGAGAATTTATACGGTTTAACTTTAAATATTATTTTTAATTTTAAGATTTAAAATTCCCGGTCTTTAAAAGTAAAATAATTTTTATAAACTTTAAACGATAATTATATTTTTAAATCTTTCGACTTACGACTTTTTTATATTTCTTCGTCGATTTTTAAACTATTATTTAGTTTAAAAGAATTTTCTTTAAATAATAAAGTTAAAGAAAAAGAAACGGTGGATTTATTTTTAATCTTTTTACTTTAATAAAAGACTTATTAACGTTTTACGTTTTTTAAAACTATAATTTTTTTTAAAAAAATTCGTTTTTTTTTTAAACGTCGTTAACCTTTTTTTAAACGTTTTTCTTTATCGTTTTTTTTTTTTTTACTTATTTTTTCGTAATAATACTAATCTTACTACCTTTTTTTCTCTCTTTATTATTAGTCGGTATTATTATTACTACTTTAACACTCGAAGATTCGGTCGAGTCTTCGACCGTTAATTATAAGTTAAAGTTTTCGGGGATAAAGTCGACGTTTACTTATAAAAGACTCGTAAAGTCTTATAAACGTAAACGTATAACTCGGTTCGACTCGACGAAAGGTAAGTTTATCGTTTCTCTTTTTCTAAATATCGTAAAAAGGTATCCGTAAAAAGAAGAATTAAAATTATTATAAGTAATTATAAAATAAGTCTTTATAATAAATTAATTAATAAAAAACATTAGTTTCGAGGACGAAGGTAAGTGTATATTATAATAAAGACTAATTCTTACCCCTTCTTCCCGGTGGGAAGAAGGGAGTCCTCTTATTTAAGGAGAAAGGCTTATCACTAACGTGGCGTTAACGTGTGGCTGGGGACCAGCCACACCGCGCCCTATTATGTAAGTGTAAGCCTAGTCACCTGATTCGTAGCCTTCGGCCACGAATCGATCATGACAGTTAAAGGCTATGGCTGTTGACGATAATAATTTGAAAGGTCTTAAAATGCTCACGTTTGCACGGGTGCGGTGGCCAATCAGAGGCTGCGGTGAGCTTTCAATTAGGGTCATCAATGGCAACGGGCCCACCAAGGTCAAGCACCCAAACGGCGTTCTGGTATTTCGACTAATACAATGATCCACATTCGTTAACATGCATGGTTTTGACCTGGAATAAGTCATATTTCGCGAGGTATTAGGAGGTGTTAAACTTCGTTGAAATAAGCTACAATATATATATCACAGTGCATCATAAGCAGGACTCTGCTCACAACGGGCTAGGCAGGTCACGGATACTGCCCGCACTTCCGCTGCCACTGTGAACGCTGCTCCCAGATCCAGAACCGGAGGCAGAACCAGAGCTGCCTTGGTCTTGAGTTAGTCCGAAAGGCGGTGGGCCTCGGATTGTCCCAGCTTGCGAAGTCTGCTCAGAAAACGTACTCGAAGAGACGAACACGTCGGTGCTATGTGAACCGCCAGTGGTAACACCTCCGATATGTGCAGCCGTATTATCGTCATCCGCAGTGCTAGATTGGGTGAAACCAGAAACATCGCTCAGCATTGAAGATGACCGGCCACGCATCCGAAGTATTGGCGGCATGGGAGTGGCTGCCAGTTGTTGATTGCGTATAAAAGGTGCAACAGGCGCTGCATTGACCGTAATGGGCGAAACTCCCGAGGTTGCTACTGTCGGTATGGCGGACCATGGGGTCTGATGGACATGCAAGGAACTTGATTGCACATGTGGTGTTGGCCAAGCTCCTCGGGCCGATGTTGGTGCACCGCTATTCGTAGCCTGAAGTATATGGGCAGTTCCGACGGCATATCGGTTCTCGTAAGGCCGCTCGCTGTCAAAAGAAGAATAAAATGAGCGCATTGTCTCGTGTAGTATTTCAATTGCATGCACCTTCTCCTCGTTCGCACTCTGCGCAGCGACAAGGCGTTCCACGTAACTCTGGTGAGACCTCGCAATCTCAGTCTCGATATTGACGCGCTCCTGGCGACGGCGCTCGGCCTCGTCAAGGCCACGGGCGTTGGCATCCATGATTTGCGCATGCTCACTGTCGGCCTTGGCGATGCGAGAAGCTATCTTGTTTCGCTTGGCTTGGAAAGTGGCATTGTCGTCTTCCAGCGACTGTATCTCGCTGTCAACGGAGCTCTTGAAGCTTTTAAATGACGCCATGACGCCGTCGAACTGAGCCTTTTCACGGTCCCATTCGCTTTTCTTGTTACGGTATTGGCCGAGGATTTCTTCAGGAACGGTGCTAATGTCCTTGAGCTCAGCCTCAATGACCTCAATTGCTTGTTCCGCCTGTTTCTGTTGAACTGAATTTTGAGTAATTTTTTGTTTAAATTTGTCATCATTTCCGCCTGCAGACTGAACGGAGGCAGTCAATCGGTCAATTTCCTTTTTCAGCGCATTGGCACGGCGATTGTTGTCCTTTCGAAGTGTCTTGAACCTTGTTTTCTCATCGTTTAGCTTGGCTTCCTGGGTCGTAATAGATGCTTTGATAGTCGTGGCAGGTGACTCGTGTGGGCGCAGTCGACTTGGCGGCGCTGGTTTTGCAGCCGCAATAGCCGTACTTTTAGAAGGGGCGGCAGCAGTCCTGACGCTGGTGCTGAAAAGTACTTCGCCAGAACGAGTACTGACGAATTCGCACTCGTAACTAGAGAGAGGGGTGAGGCCATAAATATCACCAGTCCAGCGGGTTGTGGTGCCATTTGAAAGATCCCACTTGGTGTCGTCTGCTGGGTCCGTCGGATTCTCACCCTGGCCCTCAACGATAGGAATAATGCGTGTCGGCTGCCACGTGGCGTTATTTATGCGAACATAAAATGGTTTAGTGGTGTCAATGAAAAATGAGTTTGACTGTGCCAGTGCACCAGACATCTCTTGATCTTTGTCTTCACTGGGAAAGGCGCTGGTACTGAAGCATACTTCGTCGTGTCCAACATAACACACCCAAATCTGACCTGGTTGTGCGTAAAAGGGAGCATTTCCGAGGTTATCTACATCGGTTGCCTCCGCTCCAGCGGACTCGGACGCCGCCTGCGACAGTTCATACTCCTTGATCATGACAATCTTTGTGCTGGCCAAAGCCGCCCATAAGGGCTGGCGCAGGCGGACGAGCGCACTTTGTTTTTTCTTCTTCTTCGAAGAAATGTGAGTTGTCGGAATCGAGGCCATTGTGGTATTACCGGTCATCCCAGGGGCAGACGCGCTGTCTGCATCCATAGCAATAAACCCTGTGTTGGCAGTCGGTGTAACGCTATGTGGCCCAACCGTGCTAGATGGTCCCATGCTGTGGTTGACCGAGTCGGTAATTGGAATATTACCAGACATGCCAGTATGACCATCTGCGTCTGCAGCACCAGAAGGCGTACTTTCCATGGATATATCATGTAAGCACATGGCCCTTCCGGTCTCAGGATCCGATTGATAGTTAGACATGGAGTCTCGTTTCTCCCGCCGAAGATACCACTCCCTAATGTAGCGCACGATGCCCTGCATGAGGATATGGATTGCGAACACATTTCGGACCCACGAGGCACCACCCACACGACGAGCAAAAGACTTGGACGATTGGTGGACCGAGATATGAAGGTCAGCAAAGGCAGATGAATGGTCGGCAGTGAGGTTTTCCAGGCTGGTAACATGACTGAAGTGGGAAAAAATAACAATGCCCAAGCAAACAAATATGTTGTTAGTGGAGCCTTGGCGAGAGCTGCTGTTGTTGTAACCACCTCCTAGTGTGAGTGCGATAACAACCTGCGCAAAATCAAGGATAAGGAGTTGCAGTGGGCCCCAGAGAAAGAGCCAGACAAGTAGGATGCCAACATCCATACATAAAATAGTGGTGAAAGCCGGCGTACCGAGACCACCCTCGAATATTTCTGTCAGGCTCAAGCCGGAGCTAGTCGTGACAGGAGGGACGAAGGTGAGAACGGTAAACAGCATGTAGACAACTGATAGAACCACGGGCGAAAGCTGCATGAGAATGATGAGAATGGCTATAGTGTCATACAGCGGACAGGAACGGAGAATTGTCATTGCAAGGTCGAGAGGCCCGGTGTCACGGTGGACGTTGGCGTTCTTGGTAGCATTGACATCAATGCGGCGGTACGACTCATCAAACGATACAGCGGATGGTGCAGGTACACCTGAGACATCGTTTGACGTCGCAAGTGTGTAGGGGGCGGCTAGCGAGTCCGAAGAAGAGGGCGGCTGAGAAACGTTGTCGACATTCGGCAGATGGCGGTCGGACACGTGCGAGCGGCGGGGGCCAGTCGATGTTATCAGAGAGGGGTCGGACTTGCGGTGGCGCTGCTGCCCGTGGTAGGTTGCAGGTGAGGAAGACGCCATCGTGTCCGTACCACAGGTGCAACCGTTAGCCACGGCAGCGGCGGCCACGGTAGTAAAAAGAGGTGGTGGGGACGAAGCACCAGCGGCCACGGCCGGAGGATGAGACGGGATGGTGAGGACAGAGTTGCCAGAAGATGGCGACGATCGGGCTACGGCATCGCTGCCAACAAGCGGCAGGCCGTGAGAGGGCTTTTGCTGGTATTTGGTTGTGCGCTTCCCATGACTTCCAACACCGCTCTCGTTGTGGTTGTCGCGCTGGCTGGCCGCACCCGGCTGTCGCTTGGCCAAGGGCGACGCGCGAGTCATACAAGAAAACCCGGCCCAGAAATTGATTTCTGAGCCAGTATGACGCACGAGGGCGGTCAACGGGATGAAACGAATGTATCGTCGACGGGTGTATTGGTTGGTCTGCTGAATGACGGCGGCGTCGATGCGAAGACCACAGTTGGGAAATGAAGCACGCAACGGTGAAGATCGCCCGACCCGTCACTTGGTCAAGTGTGGCGTTTTGAAAGATTGAACGATAAATCGCGGTAGGAGTGGACGGAGGTGGAAGACGCGGTTTGTGTCGGTGTGCAGTAAGCGAAGTACGGTTGGGGAGAAAAAGATGTTGTCAGGTCTTCCCATTGGTAGAGGAAGGAGAAGAAATTCACAGGTGGGAAAGGAAAGAAAGGCGGCAGAGTTTCGCAATTCAAAGCTAAGTCTAGTGCAGATTCTGACCGTGGCGACTACGATGGTGGCGGGCGGTTTCCACTCTAGATAAGGGGTAGAGGTGGGGTGGGAATACAAAGCACAGGTTCTCCGTACTCCAAAAAAACACTCGTTATGGGAGTTATATGCAGTAATACGAAGTACAGAATACTCCGTACTCCTACGTTTTAACACAGTACAGTGCCTCCATAATATGCACTGTGTAACGACGGCATGGGAAACGACCTATAAATTAAAAGATGGGGGAGGTGAGAATAATAGTGGGGCGCCAGTGGGTGTTTGACGAACGTGGGCCATGCGGAGACGATAATTACGACGTATTACTGCGTACCTCTTGCAATTATCCCAAAGCTCCCATTCACACAGCTTACCAAAATAACGCTTCCGATGCACCAACAAGCGCCGGTGAGACAAGGCTGGAAAGCCGCCCAGTAGCAATGCCCTGTGTGTACTTGAGACTGTATTTGGCTTGCTGTTCGATAATAACTTTATTTTTACCTCTTTTCACCTCCCCTCTCTTCAGCTTCAGGGACTAGAACCTCTCTTCTGGGATGCCGCTGTGCACACTCTCACAGGGAACACACTCCTCTCATGCTTCCGTCATGTTCCAACGCTCCCAATATCCTCTACAGCTTCCTCACGGTCCCATGTTTGCTTCTCTAGTCGCTCCACAGCGGCCACTAGCTCCCATATCCGAATACGCGCCAGCGTCGCCTCGTGCAGTTGCTGCTGCCAGAGGTCGGTCAGCACCTCCCGCATGAACTCAGGCATTTGTGTCTTGGATGCCGTTCTGTAGTCATAAAACGACACATCCTCGTAGACGCGTGCTGCAATGCGCTTGTGGCTGTGTGAGAGAACCAAGCAGTCTAGCAGCAACGACGTCGACTTGGAGTTCGCTTCGGGCGACACTCGCAGCCGGTGATATACCGAGATGGCATCCGGGAAAGTCATGGGCTTCAATGGTTTAACTGTCAGCTTGTGTTGAATCAACAAGTCCAAGGTTGGTTAGTAACGGCTGAGCGTAGCAGGCTTACAAACTTGAACTCCGTTGTCAAGCTCTTCATGATTAGACCGACTGTCTGGGCTTGCATTAGGCCCTGCCACTGATCGCTGTGCGCCGCGTCGACGTGAAGGGCAATGTGGTTGACCCAGTTGACCCTGGAAGACTCAGCGTAGCGTGCGTACACGACATTGTTCACGTGGGCCTATGTTCCTCCTGTCAGTGATTGAAATGGCATTTGGCCCATTTGCTGCCGAGAAGCAACCACACCTGGAAATCACGTACAAACGAGTCCATTTCGCCCCAAACCACCTTTTGGCCTTCCAAACCTCGCCGTTCACCGGTCAGATAACCCTCACTTCCGGCTATGAGCCGTCGCCACTCGGTCGCTAGAGCCCGAGCCACCATAGCGGCCTCGGAGACTTGTGCTGTTGAGCAACCAAACATAATGCATTTCCCAACGCGGTGGCGAAGGTCCGCCAGCCACCGCGCCGGTGGTAGTGGTGAAGGCTCGAGTCCGCTGCCGGGTCCAAGCTGCAGAGATGAAAACGTCCTTGTCGTCATGGCACCACCGGCCAGGCCCACGATAGAGTAGGTTCTGGCAGTAGCATGGTGCAGATGTAAGCCAGAGCGGTACTTTTGAATCCTCGTAACTGGCCGTGCCATCCAACCAGCACCGTAACAGTCGGTCCATCGGGCAGCTGCCTGGAATGATTGCAGCCTTAGGAATGTCATTGCAGATGACGTTTTGCTTTCTTGTCCCTGTCGGAAGTATTTTGTCGTGAACTCGTGCCGTAGACGCGTACAAAACACAGGCCAAGCACTATTTATTGATATAACGGCCGGTCTCGGCTTAAAGCATAGTATGCCGAGGATTTTGGAGGAAGTCCCCCAATAAAATTTGAGAGATGTATACAGGTGCCTCATAGCTCTAATAACGGGCTCTCTATAAATATTAGGTCGCGCTTTTCAGTTGGTGAGGGTTCAGCCTATACCAACCAGTTAACCCCGCACCGACCCACCTCGTCCTTGCAGTTATTCGGGCTTGAATTTTATTAATAATATATCGCAACTGCACGGAGTAGCTGGATAATGACAGTGGAATCGCATCTGAACAGTCATGTCACACAAACGACGCATTAACAACACGGTCCGTATCCAACTAACGAAGACTGCATGCCCATTTCCACTGGAAGGTTTCAGCACAGACACGGATTCAAGCTGTACGAAACACGTTGGCACTCCCTCTAAAGAAACACTCTACGCTGTGCTAAGTTGCCGCGAAGCTATGCCGTCACCGGTGAACGCGGAGCTGCGGAAGCAAGTGATCAATATTTACAAAGGTAGGCTTCTTCAAGCGGCGGTGGCTTGACCCGAGGGCTGCAGGCTTTAGGAGGGGCATGCATCACTAACGACTAATAAACCTGACTTCACGTAGAACTCCTCAACCTGGGGAAGAACTATCCTCAGGGCCATGAATATTTCCGTCGCCGCTTACACACTGCCTTTTCTGCCAATTCTGCTTTGCGGGATGATGACGCCATTCGTCGCGCCATTGCGCGCGCACAGTTTGTGCAAAAAGGTGAGGATCCTTGACCCGTGCTTCTTGCTTCTGTACTGACGGTTTTCTAGAAATCGAAGCCTTGTAAGTGTTGACGTTTGTTTTTGAATCGATTGGTCCTCGGCTTGCAGGTATCCTAATCACGGGTCTATCGGCCAGATTGATGCTGACCATTCTGCCTTTTTGGGGTGGAACAAAAAACGTATGTAGATATTATCTCAAACGATATCGCACACTGAGACAGCGTTACGACGGGGAATAATGCTCCGCGCTGAAAGAGCATGGTGGACTAGTTGACCAAGATACCAAATAGTTTAGGGGAACAAGAAATCCTGTAAAAGTGCCAAATCAACAATCTCACGTCCAGTCAGAAGCCGGTGGCATTTAAGCGAGTAAGGCGAGCAAACGATTAGCAATGAACAGTCTACCGCCATACAACACGAGACATGCAGTGCTATAAATCGCACGTTGGGAAAATAGATGAAGAGAGGGGCTAGCCATCTTTTCTCTTCCAAACCATGTGACATACTTTTATCGTTTTTGCGCCCACCATGCGCCCACCTCCAGGCACTCGCCCCAGAATGTACCATTTTCTCTCATCAAATCATTTACCATCTTGCCAGACCAGCCATCCCACTCATCCTGGCTCTTACCGCTGACCTCACGCAGGATGGGCTCCAAACTCTGGATAAGTTGCACAACCGTCAGAAGCGCAGTGCGTCGCAACGCGGTTTGGGCTGGGGTAATTGTCTTGATGCCCGGCTCCAGGTCTCGGCTCCGACCTTTTGCTTTCGGCACGTTCTTGGTCTCAATGTATGGCTTGCCATCCTTAGTCACCACGCCACCGACACCCTCCCGCTCCCAACGCATTTCGGATAGTGGCACGGCCAATCGACGAGATGACACGTTTGTAAGCGACTCTGCTTCCTGGAGAAAAAGGGCCCCTGCAAGGGCACATTGTGCAAATGGGAGGGACCGCGACTCAAGGGCTTTCACGAGCCAAGCGTTATACTCGACGATGTAACTATTTAGCGGCGCGGAAAGTGGTGTATTCGGCGTAAGAACATATGCACCGGCAGTCATCGCGCTATTGTAGTCGTCTTCTTCTTGGGCTGACGGCGTTGCCGGTACGGAGGGTATATGAGGGCGCAGCAGTCGGATAGCGTGATCAGAATCCCATACTTCTAGTGTCCCGCCAGGCTGAAGGAGGCGGATGCACTCGTCAAACACAAGTTGATATGTATCGGAGCGCATGGCCAAGGACACATCCTTGATCATGATCAGGTCAAATTCCTCGACTTCAAAGGGCCAAGGCAAACGGCGGACATCGTGCTGCACAAAACGCCAATTCATTTGGCCCTTCTCCTTCCCTGACACCGATTGGTTTGTGAGTCCTATATCATCGGGCCCCTTGGCACCTAAGCCAATGGGTGCGATGTCGATACCAGAGAATGATATACCACGGTGTCCTTGGCGTGCATAGTATTGGTTGCACATAATGCTCCAGAAGGCAGATCCGCAACCGACTTCCAAAACGCGAGTGGGGGGCCTGTTAGCAAATGAAGGGGAGCACACCGGGCCACCGAATAGTTGGAACAAAAGAAGTGAACGAAGCGACTGGCGGTGCAGCTCTTCCAGATCCACAGGGAGGGGATACGGCAAGGAAGGGTCGGAAAGATATGTGCGCCCGTTGCGTATCAAGAAAGGTTTTGTTTGGTCGAATGCTGTAGAAAGCAAAGACTGAGACGATGACCCGCCCCCGTCCGCACTGGATGGTGGTTCGCTGGGTAGCATTGTCTTAGGGCCCAAGGTTGTGAAGCCAGAAGTGCGGTAATTGTTCTCGTTTCGCGCGAACGATTTCGTTATGCTTTCGGAATAAAGGGCATTTGGACCAGGCACGACTGATGTACTACTGATCTTCTGTTGCTGTGGCTGTTTCTGTGTGTCTCCCGGTGCTCGGTTTTGCTTGCTTTCAAGTGCGTAGTTACGATTCCGCAGGTGCTCGTGCTCGTACTCGTACGGATGTCCCCATTCGCGATGCCGGTGTCTCCTTGGATTGGGCCTCTGATCTTTATCTCGTAGATTTCTCCGATACTGGCCGTGATGTTGCTCCTGGTCCTGCTCTAGGTCTTGGTTTTGGTCTTGGTCCTGCTCTTGGTTCTGCCGTTGTTGCCGCCGGTATTCTCGCTGTTGTTCCAGTTGCCCCTCCTGCTGTTGTTGCTGTTGTTGTTGACGTTGTTGTTGGTATTGTGGCTGCTCTTGTTGCTGATGCCCGATTTTACCTCGCCTGTATGGCTGCTGGCCGTGTTCCGTAAGTGTTCTTTCCTGCCAAGAAGATTTCTGGAACTTCTGTATTTTTCGCTTAGGCGTAGCCACCGTACGAAGGTGGGCAGACCTCATAGACTGGGTAGTTCTAACCGCTTGTGAAGGGTAGCTCGACCGGGCAGGCGAATGGTCGAGGGGCAAAACAGTAGAAGAAGTCACTGGGGTGGCGAGCAAATGGGTCGCTCCGTCTATAGTCACAGCTGTATGAAGCGGTGACGGCAATGTTACATCAAAGTCGAGCCCTCCGATCAATGCCGACGGCGCCGGTGTTGGTGGTAGCTCCTTGTGACGATTGCCAATCGGGGAGGCCTGGTAGGGAGGAGGGAGTTGTGGCTGCCGGTATCTGTCCTGGCGCTGGTCGTCTTGTATAGACACAGGCGAGGGGTGACTTTGATTATCGTGGCGGGTGAAAGTGGTAACACCCAGGAACGCCGGAGGGCCGGTCTCGTGCGACGATCGACTCCGTGAGCTATTACTGGAGTTGGTTTTCGGCTGGCCACTTGATAATGGAAACGTTCCTGTGGTGGATGTCACGGTCGTGGGCGTCGGATTTTGCGGTGGCTGAGGCGGCGGTGCTGCCCTGCGCAAATAGTAGTTGGGTGGGGGGTTGTTGGCAGCGACGTAGCCTAGATATTCCATTTTTGTATGTCCGGGGCTCAATCAAATGTAGATTGGGCTGTAACGCTGGCGAACACTTTGCTCTGCAGGCCCCTTAAAAAATGTGGAGAGGGGCTAAACTCGCTCCGATTAGTGGCAGCCTCGTGCAGATGGCTTGACCTCGCAAGATAACATTTCCCATGTTTGTGGCCTCCTTGGATAGATGTGATGTCAAAGAAAGGCTCCGGCCGCCAGAACGGTCCGAGCGCCTCGTCCACGTCACGAATCCCGATGTAATTAAGATGAGTGAAGTGGTATAAGTGAACCGCCTACCAGGCATAAAACAAAAGAAACCGTGCGATTGGTGGGTCTGGGGAGGAAGGATGCAGGGAGGGACCAAGAGGGAGATCCTAAAGAGAGGAGAGAAGCGATATTCGAAAAATAGTGATAGTTTATTTGAGGCAGGAAACTTAGGCCGAAGGACCATGATAGGAAGGATATGCAAAGACAGGAATTAGAATAGTCGTGAGGCGTTAAGAAGAGCATAAGCATAAGCAACTGCGAAATGGGGGCCGAGGACACGCGAAGGATACGGGACGAATAGGTTCACGGAAAACTTGCAACAGTGTGGATGTAGACAATAGCAGCCGCAAATGCGATTGAGGATGTAATAGGGAAAGCTGGGTGACAGAAAACAAAAGAAACTGGGAAGATGCACACTAAAATAGAAATAAGTGTGGTGAAGGATCAACATAATAATGTGGCTCGAGAGACCCAAGAGGCCACGGAAAAAAGTCAGACGCACAATATGGGCGAACTGCTTTAGCTTCATCTGTGGCATCCACATCACCTGCTCCGTTTTCTGCCAGTGTCCGGGCAAGAGCAGATTAATATACCTACGCTGCGCATCATACACTACTCGCCATACTGATCACATCGTACTATTTGTATATCAGGTATAATTAACCTAGTGCAAAACACGGAGGAAGGCATGGAACGCAGAAGGACACGCTGTGCCGCGATTTTGAAAGACCGGATAGCCATTCGGTCCAATCTCCTCAACATCCATCGGGTTAATTGGGGTCAAATGTTGGGAGCAAGGTTCCCCGCCCCTATTTGTTGTACGGGTTGGCGGCCTTGGTCTCCGCAAGAGTTGCACTTCAAGGCTCCCCCCGCCGACCAATTTTCACCAAGGCTAGATATCTTACGATATAGCGTATACCAAACAAGACCGCACCGCCAGCATCTCAATTACTAGTCGCATCAGTTGCGCGGTATTGACAAGCGTTCGTGGTTAAGGTGCCTACCAATTTTTGAAAGGCATTGTTGCCAACCCATTTGAATTGATGGTAACCTATAGCCTGAATCGAAGCCCTGAGCCTCATAATCTGCTTCTATCAGCCCTCTATTTACCTACAACGTATATGTAGGACGACATTTTCTTGCGCCGTATTTTCGCACGTATTCAACCTCAAAAACGAATCGTTATTAAATTATACGATTGGTAGTAATGGGAATTTTCAGATTTGAAAACTTTTGGTTTCAGCTGGAGCTGGCTTGGTTGCAATGGTCCAGGGAGCATTGAAAATGTCCACCATTAACAATATCACGTGATCTATACTATTTATGTAATTAAACATATTCCTCGTGACTCTTCGTCGCTCTCTCAGCATCCACTGTCGCAAAACTCGACCCATGCTGTGCACTACATCGCCATCGCCATCGCCGTTTACATCATTCCACATCAACATGTATTGATTGATCTTTACCTTTCAGAACGGTCTCCACGAAAGCGTGTGTTGTTCTGGTATGTCTTCCTTGTTCTAACTTCTCAATGCTATCTTGCCGGGCAATCTTACCTTTGTCCAGCCTCCTTTTTCTATGATCATTTTTGCTGCCTTCCTCACCCGTCTTTGACTTTGCTTCTACCTCACTAGCATACCCTTACTGCAGGTCGTCTTGCCATTTTCAGTCCCTCCATATGGCTAGTTCGTTGCGTCTACATGCTAACCATACCTATCTCGCCTTGTAGACGTCTTCTTTTTTTTACCGATTATTGAGAAACAACCCACATCGTTCGAGGACCATAAGAAAGAGCGAGGGAGTGTGGGAGAGTGCCCATGCGCAACGACACTACAACACTGCCAAGCCCCGCAATCTACGTCGGCCTCTCAAACGACAGAATCACATATATACTCTACTCTTCCACCGCACATATTATCGCAGATTATACAACGCTTTCCGGATACTGAGTACGGCGCGGCGACTGGATTCACGACAAGGTCCCGTCCCGATATGCTCTCATAGCATCGACCTCACCTATGCGACGCCCCGCATTGCCGCCCACCACCTTACCAGACCCTCATTACCTACAGCGTCGGCTTTGCTGGATAGGGACTCCTTGGTTACACATTGACAATTCCGTGGCAAGTGTCGAACGTTCTGTTCAACGCATCGATGCAAACGTAACGACTCAAGAACCACATGCGCTATCTTGTACCATTAACCGAAGCGTTATCAACCTCCACATTAAACATCAATCGTCCTGGCAGACAGAAAAGAGGCCACTGCAAGACGACCTTCGGTTTTTGTCAGCCCATTCTGTCCAGCTAATAGAAATTGCCGCTTGCCCTTAACGGCTACGGTAGCTTTGTCACATCAGTCAGTGTCCCTCATGACAGGTAGATGGCAGATGGTTACCGTTATAAGCAACCGGCTGGAAACCTCTTTTATCTACCTCGTCATATCGCGCATTCTAGTGCCACTCCGTCAATTCCTTCTGGGCCTTATCTAAGCAGCTTTCTCAGTCAGTGTTCAGCTGAGCCAGCATTTCCATCTAATTCACTCGATACTGCCTCGCGGGAGCCAATCTTTTTATCTATCGGAATGTATAACCAAGGGCATCAGCAGGGCCATGCTTCCCGAATCAATGGCAACCCTGCCGGCCGTGGCATGCCCATGCTGTACAGCTTTCAGCAACCTACTGCGCACCAGCACCAGGCCCTTCCGCAGCATCACCAGGTCCTACAGGCTTCTGACCAGGGCAGTCATACCACCAACACGCAGAGCCTGGCACATCACTCTGCCTATTCAAGTGGTGTGATTCCTGCTTCCAGCCCCTTTTCAAACGGCCTTCAAAACGGGCATGGTGTGACCATCCGCGCCACCCAACAGCCACCTGTAACTGAGCATTGGGCGGAGCAGCTACGCCAGCACAAGGAAGCCGAAGCTGCCAATATTGCCATGGTTGAGCAAAATCAGGCCAATTACTATGCTCGACTAAAGGCGAGTGAGAATAAGGGCATTGGCGGCCCGTCGCCCGTTTTGAACAACTCTACACTGGCCGACGGCGACTCGGAGGATATTCGGAGGCCGTGGTCTGTCGACAAGCCGAATCGCCAGCAAGATTGGCACAACTTGGACCTCAGCGGTCAAGGGCTGCGTGCTTTATCCCCTCAATTGTTCTGTTACGAATTCCTCCAGGAGCTGTACATCAGCTCAAACAAATTAACTGTTCTCCCATCTTCTATCGGCAACCTACGCCAGCTGAGGATCTTGGAGGCATCGCACAATCAAATGTCCGACCTACCCCGAGAACTTGGGATGTGCACGTTCCTTAAACAACTTTTGTTGTTTAACAACAATATCCGCACTCTTCCCTTTGAGATTGGCTCGTTACACATGCTTGAGACGCTTGGTATCGAAGGCAACCCGCTCGATCCAGAGCTGAAGAAGGAAATCATGGAGAAAGGCACCAGATCTTTAATTTCGTATCTACGAGAACAGGCCCCCAGTAAGTTTTTCTTTGCAAGTCACGTTCTGCCCCCTGCACACGCACAGACGCCTCTCTTTGCCGGTGCATCTTTTCCCTACAACCTTGCCTTTCACCTCGTGTGCATTGAGTTACCCGTACCTTGTCTTGGTTGCAAAACGTTTCTAATTTGTGTCTAGTCCCCCTGCCTCCCAATGACCGCAAGCTTGTCGTTGTCCAGGAAGATGTGTCTCAATCTCTGGAACGCGTAACAGTTTTTTCTTGGAACATTCTTGGAGAACGATATGCCACATCGCAGCTGTACGGATACACGCCATCAGGTGCGCTTGCCTGGGACTATCGCAAAGAAAAAATTCTCGAGGAAATTCGTCATCGCGATGCAGATTTTCTTAGTCTCCAAGAGATCACAACGGACGCTCTTCGTGACACTTTTGGCCCTGAACTTGCCCGTGACGACTATAGGGCAATTCATTACCCTAGATCAAAAGCGCGGACGATGTCTGAGAAGGACGCAGCGTCCGTCGATGGCTGCGCCATATTCTACAAAAGCAGCAAATTTGTCCTCCTCGACAAACAACTGATCGATTTCCAGGCGCTCGCCATCAACCGGCCGGACATGAAAAGCCAGCATGATATCTTCAACCGAGTCATGCCTAAAGACAACATCGCTATTGTCGGTTTTTTCGAGAGCCGCAGAACTGGTGCACGCCTTATTGTGGTAAACGCCCATCTTGCCTGGGAAGGCACGCTCGCCGATGTCAAGATTGTGCAGACCGCATTAATTATGGATTTTGTCACCAAGCAGGCCGAGAAATACGCTCGGTGGCCCGGTCTCAAGGACAAAAAAATGATTGAAATACCAGGTGTCGAGAAGGATCCCAATCCCCCCGAATGTGCCCCTTCTCAAGAATATCGCAGCAACACGGACATTCCACTCTTTGTATGTGGTGATTACAACTCGACCTCAGAAAGCGGTGTCACAGAGCTCCTCCGCTTGGGTCGACTTGCTCCAGACCATCCTGAGATCGCAAAGTTTCAATATGGAAATTTCACACGTGACGGAATCGAGCACCCTTTCAGCCTCAAATCCTCCTACCAACACCTCAGCGGAACCCCGGATGAGCTTCCTTTCACAAACTACACGCCTGGCTTTGCCAATGTCATCGACTATATTTGGTATTCAACCAATTCCCTCGAAGTCGTGGACATTCTCGGTCCGCCAGATGCAGAGTATCTCAAGCGTGTACCTGGTTTTCCCAGCTACCACTTCCCCGCCGACCACCTTCAAATCATGGCTAGCTTTGTCATCAAGCCCCGCAAGGACAAGAAAAGCAGTTCATCGGCGAATTGATGATTCAACGGTACTTTTATGAGGGTTGTATGTTTAACGACAAAGCAACTAGAGGGAGTTCTGTGGACAATTCACTTTTGGCAACTTGCCTTTCTGGGTAAGGATCCTCAGGCGGGATTAACGCCAAATCGTTTGGATGCGAGCGCCGGTATGGTGCTTAATGCTAGTTTTGTTTCTTCCGCTTTTGATGGCACTGTATTTGGTTTCAGCGTTTCGGCATTGGGCATACAAGAGGGCAAGGGAACAGAGCTGTTGGAAATGGATATGACGCGACCACCTGTTTGCGTTTAAGGGCTATTGACTCTGTGTACGGAAATCTCCAAACGAGGATGGCATCTCAGCAAATGACTAGTGCCTCTTTCACATGTTTGAAGCACATGGGCTGCCATCCTTGTGACTGTCTTATGGGACGAGTCTTACTTGCTGGGATTTGGTAAAACAATCACCTACGGCGTTCAAACACGGTGACTGGCCTTCTTCTGGATGGTCTCGTTCAGCATATGGGCCACTGGTGAAGGGTGGGGTTCCTGGGGCGAGTTAGGCGCTATGCGAGGTGATTCTGTTGAGGCCGGAGAGGTGCAAGATGACGGGGACTGGCAGGTCGCCCTTTGCTACGCTCGAACACGGCCGAGGTTGGACAACCGCTTTGGCCCTATGACAGTTTTTCTGATTCTATTGCGGGCCTCGCCGACGGTTGGATATAGTTTTGCGGATGGGCTAGCTTGTAATAATACGGAGCGTTTTGGTGGTTTATGGTATTTTAGTTTTATGTTTTTATCATTTTCATTGTTTTCGTCTGTCATTGTTTTATTGTTTATTATTATTCTCTTTTGTTAGGGTTCACAACACTCTATGTACGACCCATAACAACCGACCTCCCCTTAAAAGCAAGCGTGGCAAATGTTCCAGAAATGGTGTTCCTTTGCCACAGCATCGTGACACTGGATACGTTACAAAACTCGGTATGCAGTATAACAGTGGTCGTCAGTGGCATAAAACATGGCCGGCATCCAGGCCCGTGAGACCTGACGCGATTTAACGTCCATGCGGAAAATCAGAGGTTGGTGGTGCAAAATACATCTGTCGCCTTGCACTATATGATTTTTAGTGTTAACGTGGATATTTTCAAAAGGCCAGCGAGCAGCCAGAGCCACTACGAGAATGGAAATTGACGTAAATACAGGGAGGAGGACACGCACACATGGACACAGGACGCTTGCATTGGTAAGTTGGAGGTCATATACCGTCATAAGTCGGAAATAGTATGTGACAAAAAATACGGATGCCTTATCCATGAACACAGAAATAACCCCTGGAAATAATAGAGACAATGTAAGGCAGGTATGAAATAATGAAATCGAGAGGAAGTTCAAAAGAAAGGCCACATTGGCGATGGGAGTAAGCATTAGGTCACACGAACCGCACCTCATCGAAGAGGCCAGCTCTCGCCTGCAACAAGGCGGCGATTTCGAATAAAAATGACTGTAAGATGACCGTGTTTGTCAAGATATGGGAAACCGTAACCGTTTTTTCTTCAAGAGGTGCAGTATCCTCATCTCCAGACATCGTGTTGCCGTCCATTGCATCGGCCACATGTTTAACTCCTTGTGGTTTTTCATGCTGCAGGCACCCTTGGTCAGCGGCAACATCGGGTGGTGGAGCCCATTTGTTGAAGCGAAGTGGAATTGGTGAAGAGTCACCTTGTGACTCTGGAATTCCGACTCGGCGTTCTAGGATTTTGGAATCCACAGCTTGGAAGGCAGCCATCTGGCTCGCGACTAGGGTGTCTTGCCTACCCAACCCGCCCCAAGAGTTTGTGTCAGCGCCATAGCTACCTGGCGAAACCGAGCGTGCTTCGCCAGCCCAGTCCTTGGACAGCATCTTAATACCCGGAATCAGTGGAAACTCTTTCGGTGCCACCGGTGTAGGTTTGGTGGATATGGGCGTAGATATACCGTAACCACCTTGCATGGACCCGGGGTAGGCATTGCTCACAGATGTTATGCCTCCACCACCATTGCCGTCTTCGATATGTCCACCTGTGACTATAGAGAATGCACCGCGACTAGTATCACTTCGCCCCCGAGAGCTGCTTGACCGGCTTGGAGTACCAAGCTCTGATAACAACCGTTGTGCAAAGTTTTCGAATGCAGAGGGTCGTGTGGGAAAATCGCTTCTCGCGTCATCCACAACCGGGGTATTTAGGCCCAAGCTATTGGATCCGTTGCCAGAGGTGCCTTTGTTCCGGAGCAGAGGCATTGGTATACTGGAGTCTGCCGTCTGAAAGGCTTCACGACGTTGTTGCAACAAGTCGTCAAAGCGAGGTATTGACAGGCGATACGCTGACACCTGGTTCGCTAGTGTCTGTAGCACTGTCAACAGCCGTGGAAGATTATTCCACTTTGGTCGCCGCCGACAATTGTCCATCAAATAGGTCGCCCGATGAGCCTCGGTTACGGCCCCATCCCCGCCCTTGACAATTCTTGTGGCATCAAACGGAGGGCGAACATCTTCGTCATAGACATAGCCATCGGGATGCCGAATCATCCAGCCCTCTAGCGAGACAAATCCGCATGTACACAAATCGAGAATGGCCTCTGTTGCAAAAAGGTTTGCATCAACAGAGTTAACAAAAAAAGTACGTAAACGATCAATTATAGCTGCCAGAAGTGGATCGCTCGGGCGGATTGTATGAGCACAAACATCGCGGGGCGCACCAGGTAGGCTGTCAGGGATGGATGGGAGAGCATGATTGTTTGTTGACACCCTCGGGGCGATGATTTTAAGGGAGCACGAGTGGCCTTCAAGCCGCACAAGCATATCTCTAAGGATGCTGTCGTACACCTCGTTAAAATCGTCTTGACCCCCGACAATACCTGCGATGGACATAAAGAACTCAACGTCCTGTTGATGAGCGCCAATCGTGCGGCGCGAACCGGCTCCCGAGATGGGTACGGTACGGATTAGTGTCATTACAGCGTAGCGATGGTGGCGGCGAAGAATGGTCGAAACGAGTTGGAGCGTGACACATATGGTTTGCTGGTTGTGTGACTTCAGGCAGGCCAGAATCAGGTCCACCAAGTTGAACAGGATCGGTGTAGCGGCAACTTCGACCCTTTCTGCCATCATTGTAGCTAGATCCATGGACTTGCGTTTGCGGGCAGCACTGACGGCGCTTTTCACCATTGCTGGCTCCGTAGTGGTCGGATCAGGAAGGGCTAGGAGGTAATGAAGAATCAGATTGATCATGTCAGGGTGATCGAGAGACTCTATTATTCGGCGCAAATACGTCAGGACGGCCACAGACGACCCGCCGTCAATGTCGGAGGATTCGAGAAGAGAAGGATATCTTTTTTAAACGTGTCAGCCTCCAAGACCGAGGCCCGAAGCCACCATTGAAGAGGGACGACATACAGGAGTTGTTGAAGGAAAATGACCTGAAAGTGCTCAAGCAGCGTTGATCTCACTTCGACTGAGCGGCAATGGTTTAGGACATCCTGCCAGAAGAGCAGATGTGACAGAAACGTGTCCAGTTGGACCTGGAATTCTGGAGAGCAAGAACTGACAACCTCAAATGCAGGTCGCGGATGTTCGTAATCCGACAGCGCAAGAATTGGAGGGAGGCTGTTGACCGGGTGGTCAATAACGAGTTTGCGGCTTAGCTGGCTGTAAAGGGCACCGAGCCCAGTAGCCATAAGTGTGCTAAGATCGCTCTCGACAATCCACTGTTCAAGAAGAGCAGAAGACACGGCCGATGCAGACTCGATGATATAGAGCAGACCTGTACGAGCAAAGTCACCAATCTTGCCCTCGGAGTGGATGTAGTCCATCAGGACATAGAACAGGGGGAAGTCTTTCCGCTGTGTTTTCCCCTTGAAACGTTCGTGGTCCCCAGAACCCTTTTCTCTGTCGCCATCATGGCCGTCTAAAGATTGTTGGGCCTTGAACCATGCCGGGAGAATTTCCGGACGAAGTCTGATCTTTGTTGTGATGTTGAATGCAAGCTCAACGACCTTGGTCTCAGTCTCGACGTCCAGGTGGGTGCTGTTTGCGCCAGTGATACGGACGAATAGGTTGGTGAGGTTGGATGCGAAAGTCTCTGATTCAACAAAAGCATCGTCCTCGCTCTCGATCAACGTGCCGAAGAAATATACGGCCTCTTTGATGATATTCAGGTTGTAGGATGAAGCAGCAATCTTGCCGATAGGAACATATATCTGCTTTTCCGAGGCAAAGCCAAGACAGGTGTGTGGAAGCGGTCGGCGGGACTCGTCGATGAGGATGTCGGTCAGTTCCTGAATGCGCAGCTCAATCGTGTCCGCAGCACCAATATCATGTACAAGGTTGGACGAGTTGCGCCACGTTTGCTAGATGCGTGGAAACACTGACATCAGCCGAAGAAAACAACACGAGATGCCCAGTTCAATAGGGCACTGTATGGTGAAGACGCTCGTGACCAGTAGAAACGAAATGTGCCTACCAAGAGTTGCCCGTATTCTTTCTCGAATCGATGTCGTCGTCGTAGGGGGTCTTTGGCGACGTCCTTTCTCGACGGGCCAGCCGACAAGGGCGTGTGGCTAAGGAGTCGTGACCACTGTTTGGAATGCCATTGTCAGCTCGGACTGATGATGCATCATCAGGTCATTCATTCTCGCGCAGTCAAATCAGTTAGCAAGTGGTTTCAACCAACATACAAAATCCATGGCGATAGTCAGGTCATCTCGAATAACCGCAGTAGTGTAGGCGAGGGTGTCGATAGGACATAATATAGGGAAGCGAGCGATGATGGAGTATAAAGTGAGCCTGCCTCAGTGTTCGCGACGCTGTCAAATTCGCGTTTGCTTGGCTTGTCTCCGCCCCTCCCTATTTTTCGCCGAAAACAGTTGAGCTATACGTCGTATTTGTCACATGAATGAGCTTTTCCCTATCAGTTGGGACGTTTGGCGTTGCAGATCTGGCTGACAAAATGTGGCTTGGTCCAATAAAGGCGAAGTCGCTGGGGTGGGTCGTAACGTTTTGCAACGTATTTCGACTGACTCCGACTGACTCCAAGCAAACACACACCGGGAATACTCTGTACCGAAACAGCATACAACGTCGTTCGCCGGATATCCTAACTAAGCCACATATGGCTCAATGACGGCGAGGTGGTCAAGACGACGTACTCTATGGCTAGGAAAAGGTGTTTCGGCGAGTTCAGCAAGGCTTGTAGGCAAAACATAGGGACTTCTATGATGTGATCTGGCCGCAATCACCGTCGGTTCGTACGGAGCGTCAGCAAATACTGCAACATAGTCAGCCTGGCTGCGGAGAAATGCAAATATGTGCAGAAGACCTCCTTATTTGGTACGGGCCAGGCGAGATAAAACCTTGTCTGCCTGTGAGTTTGTCCAACCACAGAGCACTGTTTCCCAGCCCCCTTCTGCAACTAATGCAAGCTGTCTGCGGTCATCACATCTAGGATTCTTAGTGGTGGGCGCCTGGCCAATCATACGCCGCAGCCTAAATCATCTCGTACAAAGCTGTGATCGGCTGCCTCAAGAATCAATGCAGGTAGACAGCGCCAGAGCGCGTATCTTCACAAAGACGTGTCGTTTCCCAGAACACGGAAAATACTAAAGAGACGCACCAACAGAGCGGGCTTTATAGACCAGCTTACTTGGCCATGGCCGTACAATACATCGTACTTTTGCGTCTTTAACTGGCCTGCTACTTACCTCGGAAACCGTAAATATGCAAGCTAGATCCCACGTTACGACCCCTGCTGTCTTGCTATTCGGCAAATAGACACTGCCTTGACACTTTTGTGCCGACCGCGCTGTATCTATCGACTCCTTTCTCATTTCCTTCGCCGTCCTGTCGTATCCCGATGAGATGTGCGGCGTTGAACGACGCGACTGAACTCCGTTTTCATTCTCACCTCCCGGATTCCCCCTTGAGGCCTCTTGGAACGATGACTGCCCGGCGAACCGAACGTGTTGTTCCCACACAAGGGATCACCGGCTACGGCGTCGGCGTAGAGCCTTCACCAGCTCCATTCGTACCCTCTGTTCCAAAAACGCCCTGGCAGTATCCTCGGCCGAAACCTGTTGTGGTCAACCAACACTCTTGTATGGTGCCAATTTCGACATCTGGCGCTGCAGACATCGGTCCAGGAGCGGCGCGTCTATTTGCTGGTACCTGGCAACAAGCAGGGAAACTTCGTCTTGAATCAGTCATGAACTTGGCCACGGACTTGCTGCCAATGAACGTACCTCACTTTTATGATGATAAGTATGGCCCGTGTCATACTTACCAGACATCTTTCCTGGATCAAGGCCCTGCTCTGTCCAATTATCTATCTTCTACATTTGGCTTCCTTATAACCGCCATCGACCGTAACGATTATGAAGGATTTGGAACCAGCTACTGTACACTCGACGCGTCAGCAGCCACACTGGAAGCTTTGCGAGGTGCATCTCGTCGAGAAGGGCCTTGCAGCCATTTCGAGGGCCCGACTGCTGGCGCAATCGCTTTATTGATATCTAGAAGCTACTTTGCCAAGGTGGATTATTATGCAAACTCAACGCTGCCTTTAAATTTGCCACCCATGAAGCTGTAAAACTCCCCTCGCCGCCTTTTCATTTCTAACCCCCCCCCGTTCCCTCTTTATTGGTTTTTTTGTATCGTTTTGATATGGACCAACTAACAATTTAGATATCTTGCTTCGTATCAGCTATTAAGCATGGCAGCAAAATACTCCGACCGTGCTTATTTACGGCCGCAGGGCTTTGAGCGGTCTGCTCATATTGGCGCTGACTGGCGATCTGGTACAAAGGCCATGGTCATCAAGTCTGTCCCGATGGACGATGCGAACATAATTGTGTTCGCCATTCGCGGTACATCTGACTTCATGGACTGGGCTGTCAACTTGAACATGGCACCGACATCCCCGGCCGGATTTCTGGACGACCCGGGGAATCTTTGCCATGCCGGGTTCCTTTCAGTGGCTCGGAAGATGATCCGTCCAGTTGCTGCACGGCTCCGTCGACTTTTGGAAGAGGACCCTAGCCGTACCTCCTACTCTCTGCTCATGACGGGCCATTCAGCTGGGGGTGCTGTGGCCTCACTACTCTATGCACATATGGTGGCATCTTCGACATATGCGGCATCTGAGCTTAACTTACTCACAGGCTGCTTTCGCCGAATCCACTGCATCACTTTTGGTGCACCGTTGATCTCGCTCCATCCATTACAAAAACCAGGAAGACAAGAACTCGCTAAGAGCTTATTTTTCAGTTTTGTTAACGAAGGTGACCCCGTCGTCCGAGCCGATAGGGGGTATGTAAAGAGCTTAATCGAACTGTTCTCTGCATCCATACCAGACCCCCGACTGTCAGCATCTGACACGCCTTCGACAAAACATTGTCACGACAGCCACGGAAGGTACGGTGATGATGGCTACGGGCCCGCTCGGCTGAAAGCATTCTGGAAGGCCCCGCCTTCGACATTAAGCAATGCCGGCCGCATGGTTGTTCTGCGATGTGGGAACCCGCGGTGGAGGCCCAGTGGGAAGGACACCGTGCAGGAAAGGTTGGGGCAAGGTGTTGTTGCACAGTTTACGTCTGATGAACAGCTGCGTAGTGTGGTATGGGGCGATCCTCTGTGCCATGCTATGAAGCTATATGCTGGCCGTATCGAGGTCCTTGCTGCCGCGTCTATGATGGCAGGGGCGTGAAAGGTGGTCTACTTTCATATTTCACCACTTCCAACTGCTTCCTTCTATGGCTGCGTTCTGGGTCCATTGCAGAGTGCGCAATAATATGTGATGCCGTTCGAAAAAGAGGAATATCAGTTTGCTTGACGTGAGTCCATAGGATAAGATGTAGCCGAATGCTACCCGCATACTTTGATATTCAACAGTAAAGGTGTTAAAAGATAGCACAAAACGCAAACTTGTTCCATGAACCTCACATGACAGTGTAGGTAGTTCTTCTCGGGCCACAAGGCAACATCCTCAAAAGCTCGAACCCATATATGCCAGCTGTACTACAAATTTTCTCGTACCATCTTAAGATGGGTACTATATCCCGCCCGTCACAGGCGACCTTCGTCCCAGTGAACCCAGCGCCGGATGATACTATCTACGTCCGCGATGGCCTTCCGTGACGCTTCCACACGAAACCACTCTCGGTGCTCCCTCCCACAAACTCCGCACCTATCACCATCCGCAACCCGTAGTCCAAGCCCAGCAAGTTCTATATGAATAAGGCGCTCGACTTTGTGGCTGTGCGGTATCTTCCGCGGCACAACCTCGCTGGACATCCCAAGGCTGCGCAAGGTAGACGGAATGTAAGGATAGAATCTTATAAGCGACAGGTTGTAGCCACATTGCCGCGTCCACTCGTTGAGACGGCGTTGAACATTATTGGCCCGGCCAATTTTGAGAAGTAAGGTACTATTCTTCTCGGTGCTCCGGTTCATGACCTTCGTTACACTTTCTCCGTCGGCATTGCTTCTGCGTTCGGATCTCGAATCCCCCCTATCTATACCACCGCCGTTGTTTCCAGACATACCGCCTGCGGCAAAAGATGCAACGATATCGCTGGCACGCCGCCAGTCGCCGCCGTCGGGGCGAGTTAGAGGTAATAGAAGAGAGCGGGCGGCCTCGGTCGGCGGAGCGACCTGCTGCGACTCGGGCGTTAGCCAAAACATGTAAATATATCCCGGTTCATCGACCTGAGAGAAGGGCTTGGCCAATTCGGCCATCAGGCTAGATGCGGTCTGTGGTGACACCGTCTTTGGGACCAAGGCTAGATATTGCGCTGTTTGGGACGCAGTTGAGGGCTTTCGAGATCCTGGCTGGTGGTGGTGACTTCTGGGCGATGTCCGGTCCCGATACGTTTGCTCAGCTGTCTGATTGCCCTTGCCACGCGCGTGGGCCACATGGGCAGATCCCGACGACGAGGAAATGCCAGACAACTGGGCCGGCCGTGGTCGTGGGCGAGGTGATGGTAAGGAAGCTTCGTCGGACGGGATCTCGAAGCAGAAACAAAAGAAGGCGGTCCTTGACGTCCTGGGCCGTGGCCGCTGGGTTCGTCCCCCTGGCGATTTGAGCGACGTAGAGGGTCGCACACCTGCGTCACCTGTCATTCGTTTGCCGCCGTAGCCATCCGTCATGCTAAGAAGATTCAGCCTGTCGGCGAGCGTATCCAAGCTCGTGCGTTCTTCGAGGATGGGGGAGGGTGATGTCTGTGGGCCCGGGCTCGAGCGCGCTGACATGCTCGCCTGTTCCTTGTGCTGCCAGCAGTAGAGTCGTTCATCGCGGGGGTCGTCCACGCGGAGTCTACTGCCAAAGTGCCGACTTCCACCGACTGCCTTCTGATCCAGACCCGAGGGCGAAATACGGCGACGACAGGTGCGGCCGCTTGATGTGATACCACGACATGTCGTTGACGGGTTTTTAGAATCGGAGCGCGCGACGAGCGATTCTGGCGTGTTGGCTATGAACGGCATATGGGACAGGGCTCGGAGCGATCGCTGAGTGGGTGGTGCGTAAAGGAAAGATTTGAGCACCGGTGCATGCCTCTGCAACAGACAAGTTGTCGAGGCGTAAAACGCGAGGCGGCGCACATGGCAAGGTCTTCTAGGTAGTGAGGCAGTAGCTTAGACATGCAAAGCTGCTTGGACAGTCATTGTCATCACAAACATACCACTAAAATTAAGGACAGCGTCTTTGTTTACCACTTTGTCAGAACGAGAAGACAAGAAAAAGAAACCGACGTTTTAGTGCGAAACATTTTCTTATTTACTTAGCCTTTTGGTCGCTCTTGTTGGTTTTCGAAATAATTGGCAATTGCTTGCCACCATCAAGAATGCATAGGAATAAAACAAAAATAGAGGGGCTGGTACGTTGTTGTGGAAACGTGTGGTGCGAACAAGAAAAAGATTACGTAATTTGAAAACGGCTTCTTATTGGTCCATATATATGTGAAAATATCGTAATTCAGGCCTTACAAAAACAGCATCAGTGATAACGAGAAATGCGACAAGAGCAACAGAAACCATTATATACCTGTGTAAAATGATACATAGGCCGGCACCTCTCTTATATAATCGTTACTTGAACTCCTATTGGGCGCCGGCGTAGGCTAATTAGCTAATTAGACAGTCGGTCCAGTTTATGTATAACGTAGTCCAAACCTCGTGCTTCGCAGGCCACACAAAATGATGTTGCTCTAAAGTGCATCGCATTCGTAATATACGTTTTCAACGACAAGATACAGAGTAAAGCTGTTACGGATGAAATCACTTCGCAGTGTAGATACTGGAGATTTACCAAGCTGCTGGTTTGGGATGTCAACTGAAGAAATGAAGAATAGTGTATGGGAGTACTCCGTATATAAAAGCTCTTGCCAAATATGCCACGCACGTATTCAGCTATATGAGATAAAACCATTACACGGGGGCACGGATCATCGACGCCTGGCGATACCATAAAACAACCTTTCTGGTAGTATTCGTCGAGGACGAGAGGTGGATCAAAACAAATAGTCAACCGCGAAATTTTGATACGTTGCATTCTGTACGACTTGCGGTGATAGGCTTTCGAGGTAGCTTTCGAGCCAGATTGGGGCGTAGTTTCTTTCTTTTCTTTTCTTTTTTACTCAAAAAGTGAACAGGCGAGACAGGCTGCTTTAGGTTGGGCTCTCAGTTTCTTTGTTGGCCCATTTTGCTCATGTTTGTTTGTTCAGTATTCAATCGTCACCCCCACCCCAAGTTAAAACCAACATTGCGTGAGACATGTTTGTTCTTTCACTATGTATTCCGTACGACACAGAGGACACAAAACGATGCAACAAAAGACGTAGTTTCAGTGGTTGAGAACCGCCAAGATTCTCGCCAAAGGCACCCCCACTGTAACGAAACGAACCACAAAAAAAACTTGCTATTGCGCAATACTATCCCTGTAAGACGTTTTAGCCTTCTCTCAGTCAGCGCGTTTGCGCTCCGTGTATGTTGCATTACTGCGAGCTGCGTAAATTTCTCCTTACGTCGTATTACTCCGTGGCCCCGAGAAGTTGAAATGATTTTTGGTGCATTTTCCAATCAAATCGTAGTCTGTCAGAGCGGTCAGTTGCTCACCCCCGCCAAACACTCCTCGGCCGATGGCGAGTAAAGGGCCTTACTCGTTAATGCCGCGCTAGGCCACGCTTGTTGCACGATCTTGAGGCGGTCAGATAAAGTGGAATGGGCCAGAGTGTTACTCTTTGTGTTGCACCTGCCAATCTCTGCACAGTTGGTGAGTGAACAGGGACGATTAATACGGCGTAGTATTTCGTACTCTGTACGAAGTACGGAGTACTCTGTTCGACACCGTATGTGGTTCCTTATTTGACGTTATCCTGTGGACAAGGACGGCCTTCGAATGACCGTTTATTTTTACAAACAATACACAGTACTGGCATGACTTTGTACCTTTATGTAACAAAGCGACAATATAATATTCGGATGTTTACAAACCAGAGACCCAGGGTTTGATCTTTTGGTGATTCGTCTGTCTGATTTTGTTCAAATTGGTTCTTCTACTGGAAGTCAATGGTGTAGCTAGTCCCCTACTTCAAGCTGTTGCGTAACGTTTGGCTCGCGCTTAGTACTGAGGACTGTAGTAGTTCAGTTATGATGAAGTGCTTTGAATGTCAGATAACAGTACATTCGTGCTATGGAGTACAGTAGCCAAGTTGGGGGAAGGATCATCTACAACTGAACCTACCGGTCCCCCCTGCTCTCCCAATCCACCCCGCCCGCGCGATGAGCGATGAACAGACCCCCACTGCGACGGAGGACACGTTCAGTCATCATCACATTAATCTCGGAGCCGCCGATGCGACTACAGTTGAGTCTCAAGTCTCACTCGACTTCAAGCTAGACTGTCGCGGTTGTTTTTTTTAGAGTTTCACCAAAGACACCTACACAGAAAGAACTTTCGTAGCACGCGGCAAGATGCAGCCAACAGTCTGACTGGGGCCTCGGCACCCGAAAGCGACCAACGCACGGTCGCCGCTTGTCTCAAGAGTGGTACAGCCTTTACGGCGTGTGTATTTATTTATCTTTAGACGGGCTACGATACTCCCAATTCGACCCGGGCAAACTGGAGTGCCCATTCAACCACGTCCTGTACGGCGAGAGCCCGACAGAGTTGGGCCTTCTTTACGTCGACCTGGCACCTTTGTGTGTGTGTGTGTGTTGAGTGTGTTGAGTGTGTCTATTAATCTTTCAGTTTGGCATTACGGACTGTCGAGGCACCGAGTTAACCGCTGCACTCATTCAAAATCAACACTGGTTGGTAACCGCTTTTCTTCACCTACAAGATGGACGCTCACGAAAGACCCACAGCACCTGCTGGCGTGTTGTATGTACCAGTGGGCCCACGGCCCTTTCCTTGTTCGATCTCGCTCGCTTGCCGAGCCAATTGAGGCGCAAACGCGGTCGTTCGCCGCTCCTACTAGAACTACACTAGCGGGTCATGGAGACAACCCCGGTCCTAGATTGACACGTCCCATTACTCTCGCCCCATCCAAGTCTTGTTTCCTCTGGGGTCGAAATCTCTGTTGTATGCTTACGGAGTATTTATGTTGTTCTTTATCTGCAGCGTGTTCCCCGAGCCCGTCCACTGTGATCGCCGTTTCTCTTTCTTACAACACTTTTTTTCTCTCAGCCTCTCCTTTCACAATTGTTGTCCCCCCATCCCCTCCCTTTTTTTCGGACCCTACACCGTTTCTTCTCACTCTGTGCAACTACTCTTATACATGACCTCTAGCGCAACTTAGGCAGGCTGAACCTTGCATTGCCTTTTTCGCGCCTACGGCTCTGTCGAGAACTTTAATTTATTCCGCTACTTTCTTGTCGTATTAGAGAGCTATTGGTTTCAAGTCTTTCGCTTTAACCCAGTTGCCAGCTCTCTTTACCACCATATAGACGTTCTTGGATCTGCACCTATCCCGCGACATCCCTTCGGATACGACGAACATTTGTCTCCAGCATTTGCAACGATGGCCGAGTCCCTAAAAAACGAGAAGATCGCCAATTCTCCGGTTGACTTTGACCCAGAGCCGGCAGTGTCCCCGGGCGTCTCATCTTGGTGGGGCGGCGGCATCAAGATCGGTCCTCGAATCGGTCCGGACATTACCGGCAGCTCGCTAGACTCCGACAGCGATGATAGTAGCGCAGCAATTTTGGAGAAGCAGCTTGCCCAAGAGGATGGCTGCGCTATCCAGTACCGCACCTGCAGCTGGCAGAAGACGGCCGCCCTTCTATTTTCCGAATACATCTGCTTGGCCATGATGAGCTTCCCGTGGTCTTACAGCGTCCTGGGCCTTGTTCCTGGTTTGATCCTGACTGTGGTTGTGGCTGCATTTGTGCTGTATACATCTATGGTCCTCTGGGAGTTTTGCCTCCGCCACCCCGAAGTTCGCGATGTTTGCGACATCGGCCAGATGCTCTTCTGGAACAAGAAGTGGGCATGGTATGCCACGGCTTTCATGTTCATTCTGAACAACACTGTACGTGTTACCCCATTGAAGCGTAATTTTATTTTTATTATTATTGATATTGCCTTCCGTGGGACACTATGCTAATACTATCGCTCTTACACGACTACAGTTCATTCAGGTTCGTTTCCACCTCAAACTCGCGAGTACTTACTCAGTACTTGAGACAAATTTGTGCAATGAAGGATATATAAAGGGTCAAAAACATAGCGGGAGGCAAGATCCGATGACCTACCTCTGTTCTCTTCTCCCCTTTCGCCCCTTTTAATTACGTTTTCCCGCCTCCTGTCTATTTTCTTTGCTATAGCACGACGAGTATCCGTGGCTAACTATTTGATAGGGATTGCACGTTCTCGTTGGTGCTAAGTACTTGAACACGATGACTGCTGCGGATAACAACATTGCCTGCCGCACTGTCAGCTTCAGTGTAGTCATTCTGATCATATCTTGGGTGTGCTCTCTCCCTCGCACATTTAGTATGCTTTCGAAGCTTGGTACAGCCTCTGCGTTTTTCACTTTTATTTCCGTGCTCCTGGCCACCATATTCGCAGGCATTCAAGCTCACCCTGCCGGATACGACCCTCGCCCATCCTTCACAACGGCCGATGGCACACCTGCTGTTGGTGGCGACCCCATTGTGACAGCGATTCCTGTTGCTGGAACAACCTTCGTTGCCGGGCTCAACGCTTTCATGAACATCAGCTACACGTTTATTGGACAGATTACCCTTCCCAGCTTCATTGCTGAGATGAAAGATCCTCGCGAATTTCCCAAAGCTTTGTGGGCCTGTACAATTGCTGAAGTTATCCTGTTCAGCATCGTCGGTGCTGTTGTTTACGCATATGTGGGAAACCAGTACATGACCGCCCCCGCATTCGGCTCGCTTGAACCTCTGTATAAGAAGGTGGCATTCTCGTTCATGATTCCCACTCTTATTTTCCTCGGAGTTCTTTACGCGTCTGTGTCTGCCCGCTTCGTTTTCTTCCGTGTCTTTGAAAACAGCCGCCACAAAAACGACCACACTGTTGTTGGATGGGGTGTGTGGACTGGCATTCTCTGTAAGTAACGGTGTTTTGCATGGCCTTTTCTAAACCTATTGCATTTACTACTCACTTGCGTGTAAATGCTAACTAGCTAGTGATAACCTGGATTTTTGCCTTCGTTATTGCCGAAGTCATTCCCTTTTTCTCAGACCGTACGTTATTTGCAATGCTAGGCTACTAAGCTGTTCCGACCCAGTGCTACACATGATCACTAATGCCATTGTTTTCAGTCCTGTCGCTCATGTCTTCGCTGTTCGACAGCTTCTTCGGATTCATTTTCTGGGGTGTCGCTTACTTCCGAATGCGCAAGGTCGACGGCAGTCTCGAGCTCGTCAAGCAGGGCAATATTCGCGCCATTCTGATGGCTCTCTTGAACCTGGCTATTATCTTGATAGGTATTTTTTTCCTCACTGCCGGTACATATGCCAGTGTCCAGAGCATTGTAGACGCTTTCAATGCCGACCAAGTTGGTGGTGTCTTCACATGTGTTAGCAACGGCTTGTGAGATAAGATTTGGAGTCGAAAATTCTGGCATCTGAACAAGACGGCAAGACTGCAAAGCAGAGATAGGGTACAAGCGCACAAATGTATCTATGTCTTTGTTTTCTATGCTTGAAGGATGGTCGGTAAATTTCTGTTTTCTGATATTTCCATCTCATTCCCATAATGGTCGCGCACGCCATGCATTCTGCTGGAAAAAGTCATGGCATCGTTTTCATTATTCTTGAATAGGTGAATACCTCGCTCCCCCCTTACTTTAGCACGTCTGAGTGGAGGGCAATTATCAAACCATAATCGAGATGCGAGTAAAGGATCGAGAGGTTCTACTATTTGGCTTGGTCTGGATGTGTTTTTATGACATTAATACCCATTTGTCGTTTTTCTTGTTTCCATACGCACAAGTAATGTTGTAGGACTATTTGGGAGGTCCGCGCAGTATAACTGCTCTCGGACGTAATTTTTATTGCTAGCGATACGACCACAACAGATTCGGATGTTTAGACGAGTCTCGATAATATTCTGATTGCGGTTAAGATACTGCTCAGTTCCATATACTGCCCAGTCATTGTTCATCTTCACGCGATAATCTGTACAGAAAGCAATTTCGCATCTTCCCGGCTCGCATTGCTGGTGATCGCATACCACGCATCGAGCCTGGCCGACGTTTTGATATTTCAGCCTTCTCAAGGCTGACCGGCATGGTCCTTGATACAAATATGCGGGTCGGCCCATCTGCTATCGGCCAGTTTCTTGACTGTAGTTTTGGCGTCCATCCCTGCTTCACTATTATTACCGGATTCTTTTGGTGGCTTCTCTGCTTTTATTTTATACTCCTTTTCTCCATTGTTGTACTCCTTTCTCCGCCTGGCTTTTTTCGGCTTCGACCTCATCTTGAGTCCACTATCCCCCTTTACGGTTTTCACATCGGTTTCGTTATTAGTTTGCAAATATTTGTCACCGTGGTAAAGATCAAAGTGCGTATTGGTGTCTTTGCTGCTACAAGTTTGGGTGGACTTGATCGGCACAAACGAGAACTGATCTCGCTTTTCCCACCTGTGCTGTTGTAACTCGTGAAGCCTCCGGCGTTCATTTCTATAGGCTATCCAGAGAGATTTAGAGTACCAGCACGGCGCGTGGAAGTAGAAAGCATTGTAGGCATCGCGGTAGACTGGGCTGCTCAGGCAGTCGTACGCATCAGTGATCTGTCAAACTCATGGTTAGGTCTCATCCCCGTTGTAAGAAAACAACGTTGGATTTGTCTGACCATGCTAATGTAAGCCCTATTTGTCGTAGGGCTATTGACCAAGGTGTAAAATGCTTCGAGTAAGTCATGGATGCTGGCATTGTAATTAACATTGAGAACAGCATAATAGTTTGGTAGCAAGTCGCTCCCCATATGTTCCATGTTGATCAAATACCGTTAACATGAAGGATACACCATCGGCAGCTGAAAGTTGGGTATTTATCGTAGAGAATAGTCGTGTTTCCAATGTTCTGGGCGGTGTTCATTTATACGACGCGCATGGGCGGCATTTTGTGTTACGGTTTCTGGCTACACGCGCCTAATTTATTTCGATTGCTTTCATCTCATTATGAAACACACACCCACCCACACATGCACAAAGAGAGAGAGACAGAGGTAAAGAGAAATTCCTTACCGCTGATTGCTATTGATTCACAACGTGTCCAAGCTTGAAAGACCTTCCTCTCACGGGTAAGGGCGGCTGTGCTGAAGTCTTGTCAGACGGTATGGTAAACTTTACAACAAAAAGCCGCACCAAAAATTACAAACGTAGTTTGTATCATCTATGAGCAGTTTTGTTATGAAATGTATGTTGCAAACGAAAGTAGCAAACGAGGAAGATAGTTATTAAGAAAGAATAAGGCAAAGTGGAATGAAGAACTGATAAGAAGAAAGAAGTATAGAAAAAGCTTAGAGGTGTTGTGGTAATGTATTATAAAGAGAAAAAGAGGCATGCAAAAAGAGCCATTAACAGAATAAACTAAAAGCATACGTCCAACCCTTATCCAATTTTTTTGTCATTTTCTTTCTTGTGCTTGCCCGTCCCGTCGTCGGGCCGTTTCCACAACGGTGGCTTGCAGTGGGGCTGCGCCTCACGAGCATCCTGTGAAGTGCAATCGGCGAAGATTCCGTTGCTATGCTCGTCCTCGGCTAAAGAGACTGACAAGTACATGTCCTCAATTGGCAGGGTTGCACAACGAAAACGTATAAATAGTGGAGACAAGGTATGCAAAACAAAATTGTTCAGGACAACAATGAACGCAGAAGAAGCACGCATGCACGCTGCTTACAACAGAACCATGCCGGCACCAGTAGCCATGGCAACCAGCACGTAGAGACCAACAGACAAATCACCCAGAGTTAGCATATTGCGCATGGCGGTAGGAGCGGCATTCTTGCTCGTACTCGAAGAGCCGCCCGAGGTCGATGAAGAGCCAGCAGTGGCAGTGGCGGCAAAGCTGTTGGAAGCGCTGGCAGACGATAGAAGAGCCGAGCACGAAGACGCGGCGGCTGGGGCCTTCACCACCTGAGCCTGGCCATTCCAGTCGCACGCTGACGAAGCCGAGTTCTGGTTCCGGTAGTAGGTGTCCAGAGCGTACGCGAGCTGCTCACCAGCGTCGCACATGATATAGGCACCGTATACACCAGTGCTGGTGTTTGCAGTGATTCCGGCGCAGGCGCTAGAATCTGCACCGCAAATGCTTCCGAAGAGGGCGCCGTAAGAACTCGAGTTGAGGCTAGCAGAAGGCACACAGGTCAAAGACTTGTACATGCACTCGCAAGTAGCATTGTTAGGGGTGGGCGGCAGGATGTCCGAGGCAGCCCAGTTGGAGCCGATAGCTGGGCAGGCAGCAGGGCTGTTGGTCGGGGTGTACGCGCTCATGGCTGTCGAACTGGGGCTGACCTTGGCAATAACGGTGGACAATGTATCATAGTCGGCCATGGTCGAAGCTTTGCCGTTAGCAATGCTGACAAGACCATAGTCATTGTCCTCCTGGAAATACATGTAGACGATACCGCCGGCAATGACGTCAGTCATCTCACTCGAGTACAGTGCAGTAGTCTCCTGCCAGATACGGCCGGCAGCGCCTTTGGGCTTGTTACAACCATACTCGGCGAAGAATACGGGCACAGAGTAATTCTTGAAGAAGTCAACGACATCGGAGTAGCCGGAGCCCGTGAAGGTGTTGTCGCCGCACCATTCGTATATGTTATAGCCCCAGAAGTCAATGGCGTGGTCCTGGTCACCGCAGTTGAAGTAGTGAGCCATGTTGTCGCGGATATCGTCATCGTCGTTGGCAGCATAGCCGACACCCATCCAGCGGCTGGCGGTAGAGTTGATGTAGGACTTGACGTCGCGTACGGCAGCCTTCACATAGGCGGAAGCATCAGTGTTGGTATTGTTGTTGGTGACTTCGTTGCCCGCAAAGAAGCCGATGACATTGTCATATTTTCCCATCTCGTCGACGACGGCCTTGTAGCGCGTGAACAACGCCGTATTCCAGGTCGGGGACTCGCGGTTGATGGACAAATTAGGCTCGCTGAGATCGGAGATGACATAAATGCCAGCCTCCTGCAGCAGAGTCATGCATGCCGAGTGATCGGCCGTGGGGTCGATGGCATATGTGCGGATGACATTGGTGTTGAGCTTCTGTAACAAAGGAACGTCGCGCTTGCAGAGTGTCTCGTCAGACAAGGGGTCGATGTAGGTACTGCCAGTGGTGGTGCCGGCAGCGCCAGTGTCTTGTTGGTAGGCAACGCCCTTGATGAAAAACTGGGTGCCATTCTTGTAGAAGAACTTTGTGCCCTGCAGGGGTTGTTAGTAACATGTGCACAGCAGCAAATAGCAACATGCTGGGTTGGAGCAAGGTTTCCTAAGTTTCCGGAGATCCCTGAGAAGCATCACGCTGGGCAAGGCTGACCTTCATGACAATGGGCTCGACCGTCGTGGATGAAGCCTTTGATGTGGCAGCGATGGCACTCCCCGCCATGAGGAGGGAGGCAAGGAAGGACGCCTTGAAGCTCATGTTGGCAGCAGTAAAGAGAGCGCGACCTAGTTGCGTTCGGTAGAGAGAGGCGGTCGTGAAATGACAAACAGCGAATTGGTCCTAATTCTTGGGTAGTTTTCTCGCGGTAGCAAGCTGGAGACAGGCAGTCGAGATGCAATGAGCGTGCGCAGAAAGCAAGATAAGTTGGTGAATAGAGAGACAAACGAGTGAATGATGAATGAAAAAGAGAAAAGGGGTAAGACACAGCCAACAGAAGACGCGAGTCGTCCGTCTACGTCGACCTACAAAGAAACAACGAATGCGAGAAGAAGAAAGGAAATACCGTGGGGAGAAAAAAGAGCAAAACTAGAGCGAGCGATGAAGGAGTGTCGAAAAGATCCAAAGAAAGCGAGTGAAGGAGAAAGGAGAGAGATAAATGAGGCCCGGATCAAGAAGCTGGAGCAAAGAAACACAGCCAAGAGAAAATCAGGAGAGGGTGGGATGCGCGTCGAGCGAGGGTGAAGAAAAGCGGATTGGATCGTTGGCCACCTTGGAAGGAACTGATTTCCAGGGGAGATTTGATACGAGGCGCAGCAATTATCCTAGTGAGAAGGGAGTGGGGCGTATTTCGCACGGTGGAGGTAGAAACACTGATAATGCCTTTCGAGCGAATGTTGATGTTATTCTACGCAGGCAATTTGGGGCAGGTTTCAGGAGAGTTGGTACCAAATTGTGGCGATGTACTGTTTTAATACCTAGGCATACTGTGCGTCTAACCAGATACATGTGGAGCCAGGCACAGCAACTGGAAAAATAAAGCTGCGCCAGGGGTTCCTCACATCCTCACTTCTAACACTTTTGAGTGTGTAAGGAACCCCACTAACAAAGCTGTGTGAGTAAGATACGGTATTTTTTTTTGGTCAGGGAGAGGGGCTTTATTTACAAAAGAACCACTTTAAACAGGTACGAGATCTGGGGAGTATTATCGTTTCGACAAACCGCTTGTCTTAATACCGCCAGATATTTCGGATTTCGTTGATCCAATTCTGAAGGAAGTATTCTGTACGATGCACTCCGTACGAGGTGAGATTCAATTACTCCCTAAAACAGACATTCGGATGAGCCCGTAACACGGTTACTTGCCCATGTCAGTAAACGTGGCACGATATATTGTCTGGCCCTGTCATGCGCCCGAATTAAAGGACCAAAGCTTAAGAGTGCTTTACGGCCATGCCTTCCTTGAAGGATGTGTCGCCCAGTACGATACATGTCTCGCCGTCCCTTTAGGGTACGTACTCGAAACTCCTTGTCACCATTCCATACTTCGTAGTGCGATGTCGACCGAGTACTAATTTGACTCGTGGTGCGGATAGTTCCGTACCCTACAGTTTGTCGGCGTGCGTCTAAAGTATGAGGCCTTTGACGGTTTTCCCTGAGGCAAAAAGGGAATTCAAGTGGATTAGTGTTCACACACTGGGATACCTCGTTGTAATATGTGGTACTCCGTAGACCAATCAACCACCCCTACTTACTCCGCATTGGTAAGGGGCAATTGAAAAGAAAATACGAGGTCGTGGTGCACGTGAGTACCATGTGGTGTTCGTCTTCCCGTCGACGTCTTTTCATCCGTACTCCGTGCTCCGCATCGAATTGTAGAAAACATTACAGAAGTAGAACGTAGGTGAAAGGAGTGGAGTACTTCGGTATATGCAGTCTATGGAGACCAGGCAACGAAACTGGATGTACTCCGTGGAATGAGCCGGGTTTTCTCCATTGTTCTATTTAAAGACTGTATTTTGGCATCCTCTTAGCGCTGTTTTCCGTGGTTATTTGTCTTCGACTAAATCGTTTGTTTACTGACGACGCCGGATAAAGTTTCTCAATGGATGTGATGATTGCTATTCCCTCGACGCTCTTCCCCTGTTAAAGAACATTTTCCCAGCTGAGACAACTAAACAAATTATGAACGCACGTTACACTCAAAGAGTACTCAGCCCCTCCGTCGTCTCAGTATTGCTTTGACTTTCGGTATTTTTTTTCCTCTAGTAATTGTAGAAAGCCGAGCGGGAGATTCGCACTGGCTCTTGGCGATCTTTGCGAGGGACTCGCCGAGCAAATGCCCAAGACTTGTCCAGTACGAATGTACTGCAACATGATAAAGGAACGAATGGCGAATATTGGTATCGATAATGAGATTGTGTAATAATCGCAGTGATATGTTGTCAGTCGTAGGCACTCCAGATGGTTGCTACAGCGGTTGCAATACCATTACAGCCTCATTATTGTTCTCTCTCTGCCTTATGCAATTGCTCGGTGTCGGGTAGTATCGGTCATGATTTAATGGCCTTGTCTCAGCAGCTGTAGTCGTTACTGGTCTTGGTTAGAACCTAGGCTCCTTATGCTAGCAGTCACTGGCCACACCAAGCCTGCAAGCCTGTGTCTTTATCCCAGCAGACACATGCAACATTCCAATTGTTCGCCTCAGCTGCTGTTACCCATACCAAGCACCCATTAATATGTCCTTTTGTTGTATGGAGCATCACTGAGTACTTTATGGAGTATGCCATTGCCCGCTAGGCATGTAAACGATTGGTAAAGCGAGATGTAATCTGACGGCCGCGCCTTCTCTTTGATAAGGGATCTAGAGATGGGCGTCTAAGACTCAGTCCACGACACGGGTATTCCAAATGGCCTAACAGTCCAGCCACCCAAGACGCCCAGATGCCCAGATTTTTATCATTCTTCAACAGCAGATATCAATCGAAAATGAAAAGTTGAGCGAGCTGGGACCACGACCCAAGGGCGTAAATTATGGGTTTACATCGCAGTATGGCCACCATACTTATTTGTCGTATCGTCGTCGCTCTTTGCTAATGCGGGCGTCATCGTATCGGTCACTAGACCTTCGGCCATGATCGTGGCTGGTCCTGATTTGGTGTCCCTTTCCACGCTCATACTCGTGTCGGCGCCCGTGCTTGTGCTCGTAATGACGGTGGTGTCGCTGCGGGTCGCCATAATCGTTTTGTTCATGATATTCGCGTTGTTCGAGGTGTTCGCGGTGTTCAGGGCGTTCGCGGCGCTCTTGATACTCGTGGTCCTCACAGTCTTCATGATGATCGTGGCGATCGTGATTGTCAAGGCTTTCGTGGCTTTCGTTGGTCTCATTACTTTGGAGGTGCCCTAGATGGTCATGGTGGTTTTGCTGCCTGGATCCCTCCCCTTGGTGATGGCGGCCCGTTTTCTAACCCTGTCAGCTCATAATACCTCTCACGCCCATTTCGGCCATCGTAGATATCATTCATTCCATTCCATGTGGCATCGTCCTCCACCCTCCTCCACTGCCGCCCTCTCTTTCTTTTTTATTTTATCCCTCGGATATGCGCGCCCGTACCTTTGTGAACAGGGCGCCAACGCCACCCAAGACCGCATCCCACAGGTCGTAGATTTCGCTCCATATCGTCTCAAGGATAGTCTGCGCCATGAGCAACAAATGAAGGCTGTGCGGTTCTTTGTACGTGTGGGCAAACAAATCTCTGTACAAACTTGTAGCAAGACTCCGACCAAAGTTCCGGGCCGGTATCAGTTTTAGTCCTATTATGTAGTTGCTTTGTGAGAGTGAAAATTCCTCGTATCTTTTGTGGTCAACAGTTTCAGCCTTGCGTTTAGGGGCAAGCCACCAACCAATAAGTACTGCAAACTACAGCCCCCCCGCCTGACTGCATGCGTGATGCTACGACAGCCTGCGGTCTTGGCATCGCTTGATATTGAACCATCTAAAGGCTTGGCACTTTAACCGTACTGGGCAACCAGGCAATCCAATCGCGACTTCTCGTGAATCTTTCTAGATTGTAATACACGCCTTAACAATCCCAGGGGTCATAGGGATCCCTTAGTTCTCGTCTTGTTGATGTTTAAATGGCCATAAAGCATTACGTGGCAACAGCAGACACCCGACACGGGAACGATGGCATAGCAACTGCGACGAGAGTTTCTCTCTTTTATCTGAACACACAGGTTCGAGACAAATAATTCCCACCTATGACTGTCCATGTGTCTTACATAACGGCGTTACCAAGTCCTGATAGCCCTTGTTTGTTTATAAAAGACTCAATTAAAGAAATCAAAAGAAAACTAAAGATCTGAAGGAGAGTGTAGAAAGAGAAGTAATAAAGAGAGATAAAGAAAAGGGGCAATTCGAGAACAGCAAGAGTGAGGGACACAAATTAAACAAGAAGTCCCAGCCATAATATTAGCAACCGGCACGTCTTAAACTTGTGATGTTGACGATAAGTAATGGAACTTCCATGCGTTGTTGTCAGTTCCATCCTACATATGGAAACGGCCTTTCCAGACGGCGTGGCCACCTTGGCCGGGCCCGTGGTTGTCGCCATTGCGATTGTTCTTGTTGTTACCACGCGACAACTCGCCTTCCTTACGCTGGGGTCTATTAATCTCAACATGATTCGAACCGCCGCCCCAGCCCCAGTAGGAATGGGCGCCAGTCGCAGTTTCTGTGTGCTTCTCTACCAGTGTGGTTTCTACGGGTGGCACGCCATACTCGTAACCGCCTGGCCAGCCCCTCGTGGTGGCGGAGGCTTTAGAAGTGAAGCTAGAGGACGAGGTGGCAGTCACGGCCTCTGCAGTGGTCGAGGTCTCGCCGTCGCCACCATCGCCATAGCTAACCGGGAAGGATGTGGGTGGCACAGTTTGTGACGACAGCGTGGGAGATTCCTGTAGTATGCCGGTGCTGGAGATAGGCAGGATAACGCTCACTGAGCTAGTAGTGGCGCCGACGGAACTTAAAGTGCTCGTCGTAGTGTCGCCGAAACCGAAGCTGCTAGACACGGAGGCCCACGAGGATGCAGTCGACAGGATTGTGTAGGTCATACCGCCGTAGGAAGAGCTGGCTCCAGAAACAGCGTCAACTCTGGTGCTTGTACTGAGGCTGGTGCTGGCGCTGAGACTGAGACTGGGGCTGGGACTGGTTGAGGCGGATGTACTTAAGGAAGCGGATGCAGACTCGCTGACGGGGGTGGAGCACGTTGTGTAGCCGGTAAGAGAGTCGGAAGCCGAGGTGGAGGAGCCAGACGGGGAAACAGAGAGATGTGCTGACGAAGACGTCGAAATAGATTCCAAAATACTGCGAGAAGCTGAGGCGGAGGCAGACATTGAAAGAGAGGCGGAGCCAGTGGGATATCCGAGACTAGAGAGGGTGCCACTGAGAGGAGCAGACAACGACGCTGAAGCAGAAGCGGACAACGAAGCAGGTACAGATGCCGATAAAGGACACGAACTAGGTAAAGAGCCCGATGCACAAATAGAAGCAGAGGTCGAGGCGGTGGCGGAGGTAGACAGGGAGTTAGAGGTAAAAGCGGACAGCGACCCAGTCTGGGAGCCAGAACCTGTGCGATCTCTAGAGGTAGACAGGCTGTTCGTCGATGTCTGGAGCGACTTGGTGATGGTGACTGTCATTGAGGATTCGACAGTCAGGTAGGTGGTTGAGTCGACACTGCTACTGCTGCTTCCGCTCCTGCTCGGACCGGTTACTGTAGCAGTTGATGCGCCCAACGACGAGTCCGGCGACTGAGAATACACGACAGATGTGTAACTGCTAGCAGAGCCTGCGCTGGATTTGATGCTGCCGCTTGTGGTACTAGTCACGGAAGGGGTAGATTCACTAACAGACCACAGCGAGGAGTGAGAGTACACTGCTGTATGTCTGGAAGATGGTCTTCTACCAGTCGTGGAGCTGCTACTTCCAGTCACGGCACCAGTGGATTCGGTGCTGATCAAAGGCAGAGAAGAGTACGAGTACACGGCCGATGTATAGTTGCTGGGGAAGCCGGTACTTCCAGTGCTGCTGGAGCCGAAGACCGCTCCAGTAGACTTCGTACTGAACGACGAGGGAGACGAATGCGAGTACACGGCCGATATGTAGCTGCTGGAAGTGGTGCTGTTTCTGGGCCTACCGCTGCTGCTGCTGCTGCTAGAAACAGCCACGACTGCCGTGGACGAAGTAACCCATGACGGGGATGAGTGCGAATATACGGTCGAGCTGTAGCTGTTAACAGAACCAGAGGTGACGGCAGAACTTCTACCGCTACTCATACTCGGGCCGGAAATGGCAGTAGTCGACGAGGCGCTGGTGAGCAGCGTGGAAAAAGTAGTGTTGAAGGGACGCGAGTACGGCGTAGTCGAATAGGACGCCGTGGGGAAGGAGACATTGTAGCCGGTTTTGGATGAAATGCTGCTACTAGCGATTCTACTGCTCCAGATGCTCGTGCCGGACACGCCGCTTGGGCCGGAGACAGCATCCGTCGACTCAGACCAGGTGAAGTGGGACGAGGCCGGACCTGAAGAGGACGAGCTGGTGATGGTGAAGATGCCGGTTGTGGCACTGGTCGTGCTCATGGGATATTTCTCGGACGTGCAGGGCGTGCAGCTGAAAGAGTCTCTGATGGTGACACTGATCGTCTGAGTCTCAGTTTCCGTGTATGTCTCTGTGTACATTTTGACGTACGTCTCTGTGCTAACGTCTGTCGTGTAGCTGACTGTGTTAGAGCATAGGTCATAGAGAGTTACGGTCTCCGTCTCGGTGATAGCTGGGAAGCCGTAGCCATAGCCATAGTTGCGTTTGACGTCGTTGTCGTTGTTGACACTGGGGAGGGCGACCGCGAGGGTGCTTCTGGCGTAAAAGTCAATATATGGTAATTTGGAAGATTAACAGGGACCTTTTATGACCTGAGCCGGAGGCCAAAGCAGCCAGACTGAAGCAAAATGATTGAAGCGGTGAAATCGAGCTTACCCTAGGCCTAGCAGGGCTAGTTTCTTGATCATGATGAGGGACAACCACATGTGGTTGACAAGGAGAGTGAAGTCGGCGTCTAGATTGGAGGAGAGACTAAAGAGAGGGATGTATTCTACACCGAAAGGACCAGAAAAGGGACAATAAAAGAAGGAGTAAATATAAGAGGGCCGGATAGGCGATATGTCGATGAACGTCGATAATAAATCTATACTTAAAGGACGTAGAGAAAAACGATGAATTGAAAGATAGGTGGAAAGAGTCGGAACGACTGAAGCTCGGCCAGAATTCCCGTTTCTGCAGTGCCGCAGAAACAAGAATAATGGAGGATGATTTTGGGATTGGAACTGGGAAAGGAAATGTGATAAAAGAAAGAAATGAAGAAAAGAGTGTTGCTTGAGATATTTTCCCTTCTTCTGGTTCTGAGGGGAGATGTGTTGGCAGCGTTCTTATATGTTCTTGGACATGATGAAAGCATCCAGAAGCTGAGGGAAATATCCTTGATGTCGGGGAATTATTCATCATAATTTATGCCAGCATTGCCTTGGCCCGGATTTTGCTGTCTCTCTGTTCTCCACGCTCTCGGTTTACTCCTTTTTCCTTGGTTTTATTTTATTCTGTTTTACCGACTTCATTTTCCTGATACTGGTCTCCGGTTGTCTTCTGCATTGTTCATTATTTCCTATATTCTCTTTTACCCTTTCTTCCAGGCTCGTATTACGTTTAGTCACTTTCTCGCCAAAACAAAAAGAAAAGCTCAGCTTGAGAATACCCTCGTCGTTGATCCCGGTAGCCGTATTTGTACACCCAAACTAGTTGCTTTGCTTCCACAATGCCATGTTGGGGTGTTTCCGTGTCAGTGAGGGATAATGATTTATTTTTATTTTTTTATAAACAAAAAAATCAAAACAAATGTTGTCTGAAATTTACACTCGTTACCCTGGTATTTTGGACTGCCTTTCACGTTGTACTACTTCTATTTACTTTCCGTCTGCTCATATACTTTAAAACCTATTTTCGTCGGGTTTGGACAAGAAGTATTCTGCATACCTTGTAGCTTTCTTCCGAGACCCGCAAGGGTATGTTTGAATCGGATACCTGCTTTTGGCCTGTTTATTTTGCTCCGACGATGACCGCCGCCTGCAAAGTAGATTGCTCCCGGATGGAACCCCTTGATTGCTGTCTTTCTGGCTTGACGGTCTGTCTTCACAATGGTGATCTTTCACGAAAGATATAGATTTGTAACCCACATAGGGCACTGGTTTCCCTTTAATCCTTCCGCATCTGTTTCTTTCCGGTCACAATCCTCCTACCATTTCTCGATACATGTACGCCACATGTGCACGGGTTCCTGCAGCGTTCCTTTGGCATGTCTGGCATGGCTAACGTGGCACGAAACCATCCACTCGTGCGAGCTTTTCCCTGTGTGATGCGCGCTTTGCTCATATTCTTGAGGTATGCTTTGGATCCGGAAATTGTAATATGCTTGCCTCTAGACAAATTAAACGGAGTATTGGATCAGAACCCAAAATTTTGACTTTGCGTCGTACGGACTACTTTACATCTCACAGGTCATTAGCGTTTGTGTGCTGTCGTTTAGCTCCTTGTTTTGTTTCTCCTGCCTTTCAACACAAACACCTCGCCTTCCTGGAGGATTTCAATTGTATAGTTGGCCCTTTTTATTCCTCCCTGTTTCTATTTTTGCCCTCATGCCGTCGCGAACTAGCTGCCCAGCCATACCACGTTCAAAGGTGATGTCAGGTACAGGATGTGGGATAAATCAAATGCTGAACACACATACGAGCTGCAAATTCTGGGATGGCGACAATTAGTGCTCAAGTTTCCTATAATTTTATACGACATCAAAACTGCCAAATCAAAGCTCCCAGAGACGAATGAGGGCGGAAGTTTTAAACGAGTTATTAAATACAAAAGCCGCCGACAGTAATCAAACATTTTATATGTGGTCTAAAACCAGGGACGAGAACTAAAGTACCCTTGCAGTAGATCTTATATATTACACTGCCTGGGGCCGTAACCGAAGCGAAAAGGAGACAAACAAGACTAGAAGAGACATGCACCTATTAAATGTGTTACAAATCACGACATTTTGACGGATGTGATCAAGATTAGGCTACGACCTAGACCCTGTACTTTCTAGCGTATTCTAATGTCCTGGCCTACACGGATTTGCAGAGATTGGGGAAGTATTGAGTGGTGAAACAAAAGCAAGGTGGACGGGCGAAACATTCGGCGCGCTGGTGCTGTTCCGGACAAAGTACACGTGACAGCATATAAATAAAGTTGCACATAACGGACTTGATCCATAACCATATCCAGCTTGTATTTCCGGTCGACTGATGATGGAAGATGCCACCCACCCGAAGACATTTCCCTGACGCAACCACCAGAAAATGCAAACAGGGAGTTCCAAAAGATTAGATTTTTTTATTATTGAAAATTAGATAGTTAGGCTTTGGGCAGATATGAAAACGTCACGACACAGGAGTGAGGTTTGGTATGGAGCACAATGACTGGCATAAACATAGCATCGCACGACCGAGGAAGGCAACCGATGGCTTGCTGCTGTTGCACTAGGATGACTTGTCTGTTGAATATAGCTTGTGTAGCTCTGAGACTCTATTGGTTTTGTGGTTTAACATTCATAACCAGGGTTGGTAGCCTAAGCAGCCTAGCTTAAACCGTTTCTAGGATTGCCTCACGGGCGGAAGAAACCGAGGGCGGTCCCGACGAGATAGGCCCATGTAGCTACCGTACTACGTAAGTCTTTGGTAGTTCGCGTTGTTCGGATATCCGTTTGTTTCTATCAGTCTGTCCACAATATGTGTCTGTTTGTCCGCCTATCTGGAGTTACTTTCGACATTGACGTGGTATTTAACAGTCAACATGACACAGTGAAATTAGCGAGTCCAGTAGCGGTCAAGGACAGCGACTTTACCATCCAAAAGGGGGTGTACAGAATAATGTTAGGCAAATAAGAACAACACGAGGTGAGGCGGGAGAAGCATGCTTGAGGTGAGGGACCAGCTGAACGGGTGAGCTAAGAACATCGGGAGCGCCGTACTAGGTGCAATACGGTACGGAGACACAACATGTTCCGAGCGTTTTGGCACAAGGCAAGGGGTGTCCTATGGCAGCGTATTTGCATGCCACTAAATTTGTGGTTAAAAAATCTGATGTCCTTGGACGTTCTTACCTTTCACTATATTCTGTTTCTTTCGGCGCGTTTTAGAATTTCTTTTGTTTTTATTGTTGGATATTTCCTCGTAATTATTAAAGACATTTGATTGCATTTCTCTCGTCACCGCTTGAACACAAGAAATGTCTCGGTTCTGTAGATAATATCTGTGCGAAAGGGTCAAAATAACTGTAAAATTGAAACAAATGTCCAAGACGTATCTAATATAAATAACCATGTAAGACCTCATAAAGGTAAAAGCTCTGGTACAGTTACACGGAACATCGTCGACGTCGACATCGGGAAGTTGGAATAACTTTCGTTTCCACAAATACACAAGTTGCAAGACGTTTTCAAGTAAAAGGGGTACATTTTGTAGTCCGTTAGTTTTTGCTGCTCTCTCATTTCATCCTTAAGTGACAACGGCAAGATAGACAAGAAAGTACTCTGACAAAAATGCATGCCATGTGTTTTTCATAATTGCAAACAATAACCGTGTCAGTCGCGGGAGTCTACATTTATTTCCACCTTTTTTCCCGATGTCGATGTCAGCGTCTTGTCATGCAATTGTATCAGCGCCTGGGCACAATGCAAATTAGACACTGGTAAACTCGCCATATTTCATGGAGTACAGCACTGTCATCTTATTGGAAAGCCACGCCATAGAAGTCTAGAGAAAGACGGAAAATTATGCAACGCAGGTTGCACATAGGAGACATACAGGAGATCGGGATCGAGCCGTTCGTAGCAGTGTGCTTATGTGATCGAACCATATTTGTATTGTTTTGATTCCTTTGCAATTCAGACGAGACATATACTGGTTCTATTTATGGTACGTGGGGTATATGACATACTTGTATCTTGCCCCTTCGAATTTTCTGTTAACTTTACGCACTTGACTCCCATTCCCTTCCCCCCTTTTGTGTCCTGTCCTTTTCGTCTCACTATAGCACAGAAATTACAACAAGTAAGCTCAAAGATGCGGCGTGGTAGCCTGGGGTGGCTCCCTTGCTGACGCAGCCGACAGTCAAACAGCTTCAGCAATCATCTTGGCCGCATCCGGCGGTCCGCGCAGATACCGTTTCTCTGCTGTCTGCCAGTTGATGACCTTCCAGATGTTTTCGACATAGGCCGCCTTACCATTCAGGTACTGCAGGTAGTAGGCGTGCTCCCACATGTCGACGCCCAAGATGGGAATCTCGCCGCCGACAGGTGAGTCCTGGTCCTTGGTTGTCACGATGTGCAAGCCTGTGGCTGGCTCCAGCACTAGCCATCCCCAGCCGCTGCCTTTGATGGCCAGCAGCGCAGCCGAAAAGACCGTCTTGAAGTTATCAACACTGCCCCAAGTCTGGTTGATATCCTGGACCAGAGTCGGGGCGGCAGCGCCCGAAGGATCCGACTCGGGGCTACCGGCCGGAGCAAGGTTCTGCCAGAACAGCGAGTGGTTGATATGACCGCCGCCGTTGAATCGGATAGCCTCCTGGAGGGACACCTGCATGGCGGCATCCCCCGTCGCGACGGCTGCGGTTAGTGACTGCAGGGCCTTGTTAAGGTTGTCAACATAGGCCTGGTGGTGGCGTTTGTGGTGCAGTTCCATGATTTGGGCGGAGATATTGGGCTCAAGCGCCTAGAAAATGGTGAGAGACAAGGGACGGTCAGTATACAATGCTTCTGGCAAAACAAGCCCCGACATGACGGCAAGGCAACAAAGACTGAGAAAGGGGGGGGGGAAGGTCCTGGTGGACACCCGTGCTCACATTGTAGGCGTACGGCAGGGCCGGCAGCGAGTACATTTTGGCAGACATAGTTTTCGTGGTGGAAAATGGTAGAAATGATGTTGCACTGGTCTGGATAGACAGAGATAGAAGGATACGATAGAGGGATTACGGTAGGGCAAATGCCCAAAGCAGAAGAACTGTAGTTCAATATGAAGAGATCTGGATGGGAAGATAAGGGAAAGAGCTGGGAGAAAAGAGGAGATATCACGAGAGAGGAAGAAGAGATGGGCAATAGAAATGACGAGGGGAGCAGTGTTGCGCGAACAGCCACAGTGCCATCACTACCAAGCGTATGCCTCAGGGCCCGCCATCTTCGACGAAATTTCATTCCTTCATGGGCCGTGTATAGCCACGAGGCCCTCCCGGCATCATCTACACGTATTTTAATGGTCATCGCGACGTTGTAGGTGCAGAGATTGGATGCACCTCTTTGGTCAGCAACTAGGGCGCCCTTGTGACTTGCATTTATTAGTGCTTCTGGTGCTGCTGCATGTACCAGTTTTCTCTCGCAAACTTGCTCAAACTATCTCTGGCCGGTCATATATGCTTAGAATTGGCAACGACAGCGATGGCAGGGCCAGTACAGGAAAGAAGCTGGCAAAGCGCCGTATTCGATTCTGCAAAGATTACAGCCGGCGCCTGTTTGCTCGGATGTCGAATCCTTACAGCATGCCAACATCGGCCTTCGAAATCATCTCCTGTTCTCTGTAACCTGCCCTCCTCATCCACCGAACGACCAAAATAAAGGCATCAGACGAACGACACGCTCATCACAATGTGTGGCGACGAATCTCCTGCGTCATCGTATGCCCACCGTTTTGGTGCCCTTGCAATCATGAGCCCGCCAGCCTTGCCTTCTCCCACAGTCTCATCCGCAACCTCTTCGCCGACTGCATCGCTGGCAACAAGTTCCGGTGATGTGAGGGCGCTATCGGGCAGTATTGCCTTTTTCAATGACACCGACCACGACTGCCAGGTAGCGACTCATGTCCGCTTTTCACCGTTGGAAACACTGCCGACTGGCAGAAGCTTGTCTTGGCTCTTGAATATCCAGTAGGTATTCTTCTGCGTGTCCGCTATATTGTGACGAGCTTTCGTGGACTGAAACTCATGCACAGTGATTTTGGAGACGTTCAGTTTGACGAGACCCAGGTGTCCACTACCTCGCCGTGCGGGTCCGTCCTGCACCGGCTGATGGAGCCGGTACACTTACACGTGGGGCGAGACCGGGACGGCAACATAGGCATCATTGGGCGGCGTGTGACTATGTATCGCGTACCGCCGTCGGCACCCTACCGGACACACGCAATACCGGTATCGGAGGGCATCGTGGGGTTCAACAGCCTCCCGAGAAGAGATGCGTCGTTGTAGTTAAAGGGAAAGCGAGGCGATGCCGTGCACTTGGTACCATTCGTGAACTTGGAATAAATTTGCTTCGTCCCCTCTTCTTGAAATGTTTTGAACACCAGTCACTTTTTTCTTAAACGTTTTCCAGTTCTATGACACTCTTTCATCCCTGGCGGCAACCGGCATGGGCGTCTTGGCGGACTAAATGATAGTTTTGGATGTTGTAGCCGAACCGCCTGGAGCTCAATTTAGAGATGCAGACGACATCGACGTGGACAAGGTCCATTTCACCTGCATGTCGCCCATCTGGTGCACTACCCGGCATGATGGATGGAATCTATATTTTCAGGCAATTAATGAGGTGTGTTCCTGGCTTTACCAGTATCAACCGGTTAATTACACCGGCGCGCAGGCAGACGGGCTGCTCCAGGACTACATATTGTAAATGATAGCGGACCAAAATGAGAAGTAAAATACGCTACTGTCGCCAGAGACAAAAGACTTGAATGTCGTTAAGAAGGGAGACATGTCTAGTCTAAGTACATACTTATATCAATAAGAAAACCAATGGCAAGGTATACAGGCACTCTTTTGATAAATTCACTCAGCCGTGCAATTGAACTTCTCATCCCTATAGCACGACGGAGTATAGTTAACAAAGGCGCTGCCAATTTGCAAGCCGGACAACAGCGTCCGCTTTTAACCTAATCAACGGATCCCCAAGAAACGCTCGTACCGATCTTTTTCCTGTCCATGCTCCCTCCACATGGGTCGATGCGAGGACCCGGAACGACCTTGACAACGACTGACGGTCGCAGACCCTCCAGGGTTCTTTGGATGTATATATTGCAGGTCACTGTTCGTGTCAAATCTTGGTGAGATGGCATCTTGATGCTTTGCTTAGCTGTAGCATCGATATTTTTCTTGTCTCTGGCGTTGTGTTCGCTCCCCCCTCGCTTTTGTTCTCATAGCCACTGTAAGAAAGGAGGCTTCGGCATACGCACACCATGCAGTTGTCTCTCGGCCTCCTAACTGCCGCTGCAGCCGGCAGCCTCGCCTCGCCACATCTCGCACGCGCCAACACAACTACGTGCAAGTGTTACGCTGACCAGTCCTGCTGGCCGACCGACTCCCGGTGGAAGGCTCTTAACCAGGCTGTGCAAGGTCGTTTGGTCAACTTTGTGCCGCCTGCCGCCGCATGCTATCCAACGTACGGCAACGCAACAACGGCCAACGCGGATGCGTGTACGGCCATCCAGGCGAACTGGACTAACGCCAACTGGATGTAAGCGGTCCGAGTTCTTGGAGTGGTTTTCTTGTTCTTTCGCTTTCATACTCACCTCTGCCTTGTAGCGTCGACCAATCCGCCCAGACATTCTCTAACTTCTGGAATAATAACTCGTGCTCTGCCGCCGCCGACAAGTGCGGCGACAAATGCGCCCAGGGCCTATCGCCGTCCATGATTGTTACTGCCAACAACCAATTCGACGTGCAGGTCAGCGTCAACTTTGCACGAATCCAAAACCTGCGCCTCGTCATCCGCAACACCGGCCACGATTACCTGGGTCGCTCAGCCGGCTTCGGTTCCCTGGCCCTCAACACTCACCGCCTCAACAATATTCAATTTGTAAAGTCCTACACAGGGCCCGGCAACTACACTGGCGGTGCAGTCAAGGTGGGCGCGGGCGTGCTGTTCCGCGACCTCTACCCTGCGGCCAAGGCAGAGGGAGTCGACGTTGTCGGTGCTGAGTCAATGGTAGATTTCTCCTTCCCCCAATACCACCCTGTCCCGTTTCCCGTCACCTTATGTACGCTCCGCTAACCTCGACTCCTTGGTAGACGGTTGGCATCTCTGGTGGCTATGTTCAAGGAGGCGGCCACAGTCCTTTGAGTGGACTCTATGGCATGGGTAAGTCAACCTGCACCTTTCCGTCCCATAGGCCACCGTATTTTCGGCAACAGACAACCGGCTCATTCTATTCTCCCACGCAGCCTCGGACAATGTGCTTGCCTTCGATGCCATCCTAGCTTCGGGAAAGCAGGTGCAGATCAACAGCGAGAGCAACTCTGACCTGTTTTGGGCTCTGAAAGGCGGCGGTCCTGGCACCTTCGCAGCCATCACGGGCGTCACTGTCAAGACGCACCCGGTCATCGCCTGCACTGGCGCCACACTTAGCATTGCTTACAACCAGCCTAGCTTTTGGAAGGCCGTAGCCGCCTTTCACAATCAGACAACTGCCTTAGTTGATGCTGGCATATATGCGGCATACACAGTAACGAAGGCAGGCGGTCTTACCGTTCGGCCGTTTGTTGCGCCCAATATCACCATTGACCAGTTCAGTACGATGGTGGAGCCACTGGTTTCACAGCTGGCCACGCTCAATGTCACCTACACCTTGAGCAAGGTGGTGTCATACCCTACCTTTGACGACCTGTACCACGCGCTATTTTCGGCCGATGCAGACGCCGGCGGCGGCAACACGCTCCTGAGCGGAAGGCTGTTTAGCAAGGATGACGTGACTAAGAATGGCGCTGCTATCAACAGTGCCATCGGTGACTTGGTTAACGCGGGCCACACATTTGTTGGCGTCGCCGTGAACCCGGGCCACGCTGTCCCTGATCCAGACTCATCCGTTAGTGCCGTACATCCCGTGTGGCGTAACGCCGCCACCTCGACCTTTTGGAAGTTTGAGCCGCCCGCGTGCCTCAGTGAGGCCGGCCGCCTAGGAGCTCTACAAAACCTGACCCGGCTGGGCGACGCACTGCGCAAAGCATCCCCCGGCAGTGCGGTGTATGCCAACGAAGGCAACGCCAATGAGCCCAACTGGCAGGAGACCTTCTGGGGAGCCAACTACAAGAAGCTGTATGACATCAAGATCAAGTACGACCCTAGCGGTGTCTTCTGGGCACCGGCGACACCTGGTGCGGAGCTGTGGGCACTGGTCGATGAGAAGCAGCTTTGCAAGTCAGCCTAGATGACTATCATTGGGGACTCCAGAGGAAACAGAAACAAAAGAAGTAGAAACAAGTATAGGATGTACCGTGAGGGTGATTGGTGGAGGTGCGAATAGTGGAACGCTTTTTTATTGATTTCACGCTCGGTGGATTGTTCGAGAAAAGTGCCGTACGCCGTATCATGTTGCTTTTGCGAAATTGAGTTTAAAACAAAACGACATACGAAGTAGTGTGCCACCGGATTGAGTGTGTCAAAACGGTGGACCAAAACTAAGTCTCTCTCCTGGCGAGAAAAGCAAACGCGTGACATTATTCACCACAGGCGGGCGCCACGTTTTGGCTGGACTTTCTCATTCTCGCCCACAGCCACAAAGTTTAGATATTTTGTGTTCGGTGTACCTTCCGTTCCAGCACCGTTGTCGTCCGGCGTTGACACAACATCATTTGCGGAACTATGAACGGCGACGAGAGCCACAACAACACGCGCAAATCCGCGATGGATTTAGAATCCATCCGACGCAAATGGAAACCGGCCTTCGACCGAGTCTGTGACTCGTTTGACGCTCCGATGGAGCACCATTGCAATGTTCTCACCCAACAGCTCATTCATTTTAATGAAGAAAAAGCGGCTGTCCTTTCCGACGTGTTCAAGACTGTGGGCGAGCAACAGGCTCACAGGGCATTCGACGACATGCTGAGAGAATTGATCCCGTTGAGTCTACGCCGGCTCATTTTGCTGATTGGAATCGACAGCACACCAGTCCCGGAGCAGACGATTGCCGCACTTCCTCAGCCACTGTCATCACCAACTTTATCTGCCAAATGTGTCACCAACACAAGCGCAGAATCCTGGGCCAAGAAGCCCTCGGCTGTTGCTTGCAGCGAAAGCAAAGTTTTAATGCCGTTCGGCATTGAAAATGACGCCCAAGCCACCACTGTAACGGTACAACAATCCGAGCGCCTAATGTCTTCATATTTTACGTTTCGCTCTTCCAGCTCTTACAGGGTGCCAAGTACTGGGGCAACGACGGACGTGCACATCTTTCATGTTCGTCCATACGAGCCGAGTTTCGAGCCTCTCATTCCAGCCAGAGGCATAAGACAATACTAATTCCTTTCCTGCAAATTTAGGAAAAGTGCAAGGGCCACCATTATATCCCAAGTACCACACAACCTAGAGCATTCGACGAGGCGCCTGGAACAGGGCCCGTGGACTATCTCAAACCCGTGTCACCGGCGGTTCTAACCTAGGAAGTTGACGCTGCTGAATTCTTGTTTCAATACGAACCATTCGGCCACGGCTGGTTCGTTCTTCGTTGCCTCCAGGCCTTGGATCCCAACCCCGTGCTTTTTGAGGCGCACCCTCTGCAAACACTGCATAGCCAGACAGGGTTGCCGCTCGGCTTGCATCACTTTAACCGAGAGGCTTGTGGAAATCATGACCACAACCAGATTTATACGGTTCAAAGCATGCTCATCTCATTCGCCCAACGTGTGGTCGATGAGGACGGCGAAGATGTGACCGACGAATGGGCCTGCCTGTCCAACGAAAGCCTCGAGGAAAAATTAGTCAAGCGGGCAGCAAAAAGGGCTTTGCGATCGACTTGTCAACGCCAGCGGAGAAAGTCCAACGTAGATTCGACTACTGCAGCTAAACTCACGAAGGCAGAAACGGACCCTATCACAATCGTGGATGATGATGACAGTATGATGGTAGGTGCCGATGACGATTTTGAGCTTAGCTTATCGGACACGTCAGCAACGACGGATGGCAGCATTGGCATATAGGAACACAGTAGCGACCATGCTTTGCTTGTCCACCCACAACAATATGTTCATATGTCTATCGGGAGACGTTTTATTGTTGTGTGTGTTTACAACATGTTGGTTGTACATATGTTCAAACGATTGTGAGTGTGTGTGGCTCTGGAATAAGATGTCGCCGAGGTACGAAAGTAAATTTAAAGGCATTATGAATAAAAGAACGAAAGGCGGTATCGACGGTATCGACGAACATGGTGGCTGGGGAGACCTAGTTGCGATATGTCCAAGTGTCTGGTATAGAATTGGTTTGAAAGGTATCAATGCACTCTGCCGCCACGCCACCGACAGAGAGTTCCGATGCCTCATCTACCGTATATAAAGTAACCGCCAGTACTGAGTTGTGCAACGCTGTCCGTCCCTTATGATCCTTCTTGGCCCAGGCCCCGTCCTGATGTTTGCCCTAACACCATGGCCATCAGTTCCTTCACGTTCGGCTGAGGCCCTACCGCAGTTGTTGCTATACCATCTGGGTTGAGCCCCAGGCCTGTTAACTTCACCTTGGCCATCGTGGCTGCGGTATCGAGGAATCCCATCGTGTCCAAAAGCTGTGAAGAGCCCAAGGTGTTCACCATAGCTACCTGCACCGCCTGCCACCGTCGCACTACCATGTCGGGGTCAAACAGAGGACCACTCATTCCCGATCCGCTGCCTGTTGTGCCATTGCCGTGAATCCATAGACCGAGCACTTGCTGCCCACTTGCCCCATTTGTTCCGTCTGGCCCCTTTGACGCCGTTTCTTCGTTCTCAATGCCGAGCGTGATCAGATCCCCGAGGACCTCGGCCTTGCAGACCCGCGCCAGGTCCACCACCACGTTCATGAGACCTTTGCGGTTGAGCACGAACACACAAGCCCGTGGTAAAACAAACTCCTCGATTTGTAACGGTTCTTGTTCGCACAGGAAAAGGGTGCCCTCAATCTGCGGATCAGCCTTGATCCAGCCACCTGCCTCGCCGTTGATTGCGTAGACAACGGAGCTGGCTGCCACAGCCTCGATGCTTCGAATCGTCGGCTCGTAGCATTGTAAGACGCGCAAGTTCATCTCGTCGATAGACTCTGTAGGTATATGGACATCGGCTGGGTGCTGGTTATCGACCGGGGGTCCATCGCTTGTGTGGTTGTTCTGTTGCTGTTGTTGGTGTGGTTGCAGCTGTTGCACGACATGGTGTTGAGGCTGCTGCGGACCATGCGGCTGTGATTTTTGCCTCTTATGAGCCTTCCGTGGCATGGTTTCTTGTAGTCTAGCTTGCGGCTGCTCAGGACGGAAATGATATATATTTCGGAGACGACGGAGGTGGTCGATCGAGACGCCCAGATGACGCCCAGATGAGGCTCTCGTTGGTCTGCGTAGGCGTGTTGGTTTCGGGCGGAAGTATCGAGCTATCGATCGTAGGGAAGAGTGGCACTATGGAAGGGATTGTGATATTGGTTAGGTGTAGGCCATGTGAGGGTTGGGTGTTTGTTGTTTTGAAGTTGCCGCATTACCATTGAAGCTTGCCATCCGGTTGTACACTTAAACGCAAAGTGCGCCGCCACCAATCAGTAGTGGCGAGATGTATTTCTGCCAGGCACACGATAGAGACTTTATCGCGGTATACAGTGCATGACGTGAACTTAGTGCTCTCTTTAGGCCTGTATTGATACTACCCAACCGGCCCCCGCAACCAGTGCGCAAAGTTCTAGAGTTCTAGCCCGCTTACTTGTCTTGATCCCACGGTCATCAGCAAGCATCTGCTTTGCAACCAACTGTGCTCTAAATGCATCTCCTACAACACTTTTAACTTGCATCTAACATTCGCCTCTGGATTCGCACCACACCAAGTTGTTCCACAATTTGTCCAACTCCTGTCTTGCTATGATACTACGCTCCGATATAGCCTTACTGTTAGTCGAAATTGGATTTACGACAGCCTCCAGGTAGCATAGACATTCTCAACACGACGACGCGATACGCCACCCTGTCACGACTACCCCAAGGTATACATTTCGCCTTCCCATGTGCGGTGTCTCATGCCTATACTCTCTCAGGCTGCCGAACGACATGCCTACCTCCTAGCTTTGGATAGATTTCCTGGCTTCCAATCCGTGCGGCGAGCAAAGTACTGCACGTTGCCTTGGTATCCCCTTTCATTTTACCTCGGCCTTGTCGATCAGCTTCCTTGAGTGATGCACTCTTTGCCCGCGAACCTTGTACTGTGCCATGCCCGCATAATTACACATCATGGTCCCCCCAAATGATTCTTCCTCGAATCGGCCTGCCCCGAGGTCCAATGCCTCCGAGCCTGTCGACGTTACCGCTGCCGACGCTATGCCGCACTCCCTCCACAGCGCGGTGTACGCTCGTCGCTCCGAATATGTTCGTCCCCACCGGGTCCGTTTAAAAGTTGGTACGTGGAACGTGGCCGCCTGTCCAGGCACCGATCACGACCTGGCAACCTGGTTTGTTTCCGGAAAGGGCGTCGACCACCGACTCTCCAATATTATTGCCGCTTCTAGCAATGGCGCTCTTCAAAGAGAAACGTCCGATACGATCTTTGCGGGACAAGAGCAGGGCGTGGGGGAGGACGTTGCTGCTGTGCGTGTCATGGGCAGCGATCAGATCGGCCTCTACGCCCTTGGTTTGCAGGAGGTTGTTGACCTCAATGTAGCAAGCCAGTACATGAACCGTGTATACACCGATTCCAATGCACCGGTTCTGGATAGGTGGAAGACGGCTTTGGGGCTCGCCCTGCCGGATGGCTACAAACTTGTCGCCTCTGAGCAGATGTCGGGTCTTCTGTTGCTAATCTATGCTTCTCCCGAGGTTGCCGGTATGGTCAGCCACGTGAGCACCTCTGCCGTGGGAACTGGCTTATTGGGATTGATGGGAAACAAAGGAGCTGTATCGGCCAATATCGTCCTGGGCGAATCGACAAGGATGGTGTTTGTCAACAGCCACCTGGCCAGCGGTAACGAAGCATCACATGCTGACCGACGGTGCTGGGACGTATCCCACATCGCGTCTCGAACACAATTCGAACCATACAACCACCCAGGCCTACCGGAGACCAAGATGCCGGAAAAAATTGCTGATGCCGACTTTGCCTTTTGGTTTGGTGACCTCAATTTCCGCTTGGATGATCTGCCAGGAGACGATATTCGCCGCCTTCTTACATTGCATGCGCGAGGTGAATACGACCTAAAGCAAAAGCTGCGGGTGGATAGCAACAGGGCTGGTAGTATGCAAGCTGGTGACCACGACTCGCTTGCGGGTGAAGAAGCATTAGTCTTGCAAAAGCCTACACCCACCGACAGCCGATCTAGCTGGGCCTCCAGTACAACGAAGGCTTACGCAGACTCGATATCAACAACCTCAACGGCGCTAGCAAACGATGATGGCAAAGACGCTGTTGGGGGTATGAAATTGCTTCCACCGCTGCCAGACCCTGATGAGTTTGTGCCTGATGCATCTGAAGACCCGGCATCTCTGCAGGCAACCCTTGATTCGTTGCTTCCTCATGACCAACTGGGAAGGGCGATCAGGGAGCGGAAGGCATTTCACGACGGCTGGCGAGAGGGCCGCATTACGTTTTTGCCATCATACAAATACGACGTTGGAACAGTCGGTTTATTTGATTCAAGCGAAAAGCGTCGTGCTCCTAGCTGGTGCGACCGGATTTTATACCGCACCCGCAAGGACAAGGACGACTACGAGCAACAGGTCAAGGATAAGGAAGAGGCGAAGAAACGGGACAAAGAGATGACCCAGCGCGGATTGGACCACGCTGGTGACGATGACGAGGTCCTTTTTGAGTATCAACCGGATACAGACGGTGACGACTTTTTAAGACGCAACTCTACCGCTTCAAGTTTAGACTACGACGAGTACGATGATGGCGAATACAACCCTGACAAGGACAATGAGGCCGCATCACAGGATGGCGTTGCCGACCGCATCCACCTGGACATTTATGCGTCCCACCAGCGCATCCAGTCGTCCGATCACAAACCTGTCGTGGCTTTTTTCACAGTTGATTATGATGCCGTTGTCCCAGAGCTAAAGGCAGCGGTGCACGTGGAGGTGGCTAGGGAGCTTGACCGCACGGAGAACGAAAGTAGACCCGGCGTGACGATTGTTGTCGATAGCCGCGTGGCTCATGATACTAGCAAGTACACATCGGGGTCAGACGAAGCGGTCGACTTTGGGCTGGTTGTATTTTTGCAGAAAGCATCGACATCGTTGATAATAGCTAACACAGGTGGTGTGCCGGCTGTGCTTTCCTTTGTCGAAAAGCCGACGACTGAAGACTTGGCCTCCAGCGATTTTATTGCCCACCATTATCAGTGGCTCACTACGTCTTTTATTCGCCAGGACAAGGAAACTGACGAAGAAGGTCCGGTGGATCTGGGAAAGGAGGTTATTCTTGAACCTGGCGAGACTGTCAACGCACTTCTTGAAGTCTTTGTGAGCGACGTTACTTTTGCTCGCATGTTGAATGATGGCGTGAGCAAGCTTGAGGATGTACTGGTTCTTCGTGTGGACGAAGGCAAAGATCATTTCGTACCTGTCCGCGGAACGTGGGCACCTACATGCATTGGGCGATCAATTGAGGAGTTGGTGCGCGTACCTGACGGCGGAATCCGAGCATTTGTGGCCACCCTCCACGAAGAACTTGCAAAGAAGAATGGCCAAACGCCTGGCGCAGACACGACAGCGTTGGGCTCGATCTCCTACGATCTCGACGTCCGTTGCGCCGCGCCGAAGGAACTGTTCAAACTGACGGAGATGATTGAAAACCTGGTCGACCGATCCATTGCGGACGAGCAAATGCTAAAGGATTTCAAAATTCCCGGCGACAAGGCTGGCTGGCCTTTCGAAGACACGACACGGGCCCTAGATAATCGGCATATTGTCGCAGTGATCGAAGCCCTCGACGAGGACCGGCCTGTCCTGGATGCTTTCGAGCCCGAGATGTCATCTTTGTTGCGCCTTGAGGTCGTTAGTCATGTGCTCCTCCTCTTCCTGCAGGGACTCACTGACGGCATCGTGACAATCCCATTATGGTCTCAGATCGACCAGGCCACACTTTTAACACTGAATGGCTCCAAGAGTGTCAATCCAATTGCACGGGATCCGAATAGCGAGACGGACAAGAGCACGGTTTTGGACTTTCTTTCGTCGACGCCGCACCACAACATCTCCTTTGTCTTTTTGACAACTACGCTATCCAGGATCATCGGGGAGCTTTCACCATTAAGTCTTGGGGACTTAGACGCGCTGAGGTCCATCGGACGGAGCTCAGGAGGAGGTTTTAGTGCGACCATGGGCGGTATAGGTAGCATCGGCCGCCGGTCCCTGAGTAGTTTCAGAAAATCTGGTGTCAGCCCTGCCAGTACCGCACTGGAAGCCCTAGACCGACGAATGGCCCGTGAGAGGCGCTATGCCGAAATATTTGGTGGGATAATGTGTCGGGTCCCTGCAATGGCCAAGGACAGAGAACGCAAGGCCCAAGAGGACAAACAGAGGGCGGTGGTGGAGCTTTTTTTAAAGAGATCGAGAGAGGGGTTGGGAGGCCAGTGATCTAGAAAATAGAAGTCCTAAGATTCCTACAGGCTCACGATGCGAACCTGCATGGCGACTAGAGCAAATGCGTACATATTTGTCGGATTGCGGACGTGAAATTTTAGTATTTCGGCAGCGGCAACTGCATATGGAACATATGATGTGCTCAAAGCCCCGAATTAATGCTTGAAACTTTCTCGGCGCTGGCTGGTTCGGAGTGTCGTTGTGAAAGTAAACCAGGATCTCCGGAGACTACCAGAGAACGTCGAGCAAGATGCTGGTAATCAATCGCAGATTCGGCAGGTAACGCGTCTCCAGGATAACTCCTTGCTGTTCTACGGTAGCAGTGATAACACTGTCGTTTCCTTCCTATCCTGGCTCGAGAAAGCAGAACAGGAGTTCTACCAGCAGAATGAAAGAGTGACTGCGCCAGCTGTTTCCGAAACGGGAAATACACAAATATTAGCAAACGCTGGTTGCTTTGTGGGCGAGCCCGTGATAAACCTTGACGCACAAGTCTTAATATGTTGCCTTTGGCTCTCGGATTTTTCTCAGACATGTCCCGGCCAAATATCTACTGCTTGCCCCAATTTACTCTTGGCAAGTCTTTACCAACGCGAAGCCCCATTCACGTCGCTGTTACGCATGTCACGACCTCACGTCCATTTCCTACTATCACGTTCCTAAGCGTTTGGTGGGCAGCAAATATGATCTGCGTACGTTGTGCGGTCAATGAAGCCGAAATGAGCTTTCTTTTATCGTCCCGCCGTACGCATGTTATTTAACGTCGCTTTTCATACTGACCAAAAATATCAGTCACAGTAACATCGGCAGACGTCCACCCTCGTTTCTTGTTTCGTTTTCTTTTTCGTCTTCTATCTCTGCATCATTTTCCTATCATCCCTACAAAATGTCTATTTACCATCGGTACGCCGTGTTCTACTGCATTCAACGGTACCAAGCCGATATCGACAAGCTCGGTAACCTTTTATCTCAGTTCGATATTGTGGACAATTATTCTGATAATGGAATTACGGTTAATCGGGACCATCCTGATACTTTAGTAAGCATGATCAAAACCGCAGATGGAGATGCAGATGCCTCACACCCAACACACGGTGCCGAAAACGAAACGGGCGCGACAGAAGAACTTCGAGTGTACGAGGACGTCGAAGACAGCGAGATCCACGAGCATGACGATGACAACCACATGCCAGAGGGCAACAGGGGCGGAGTTTCTCCGAATTCCAAACTTGACAGCCAGGAGAAGCCTGGTGCCGGAAATGGCATTGGACTGGACGAAGTATGGAATTGGCCGCAAGAGATACCGACTGCCACCAGCGCAAAACCGGAAACTGAAGAACGCCCTCGACTCAAGTTTGCCCGATCGCAATTGGACAGAGTGCGTTCCTGCGGCCGTATCCTTCAGCGACTGAACGCAGGGCTTGCTAAAAATATCCATCGCATCGAGACGGAGGAAAACGAACTCTCTTCGGAGTCAATACGACACTTGTGGAGCGAGGCGGCGAGATTAAATGGCACAGAGAAAATCAAGCCACTTCGGGCAACTACTAGCTGGTGGGAGAATGGGGCACGCAGCGAGGACACGAGAAGCTTTAGTCCCACCGCAAACAACACCGCTCGTACAACGGCAGTGACAAGTCATCGGTTACCAAGTAGCCCTCTCCAGAATCCAATCATGGCAAACGACTTGCTTTGGGACGACCAAGTAAAACAGTGGCAGCTAGGTATGGGCCGACTCATGGACGACCAGGGACGGCGGTACCTCAAAATTTGAGAGAATAGCTGTGTGCTTCCCCTGCGTGTGGTTGGTGCAGTTGGATATTGTTTGGTGAAAACGGGCTACAGGACGTTTTCATGACAGGGACCTGAGATACAGACAGATGTTAAAGAGAATAATTAATGTATTCAGCTACTGTGAATATCGCTGGGCTCGGTCATCATAATATACTTGAAACGAGTACGAATTGTGTTCTCGTCGCCTTCCTCAATATGATGATGGTGGAGTGGAAAAGGTGGTTACGGGAGTTATGTCAAGAAAAATTGAAGTCAAATCAAGAAACGTAGACTGAGAATAAAATTAGATTGTCTTGCCCATACCGATTTCCAAGATGGCCAGGCCAGAATGACTGCACCTCTAAATGGCGCGGTAGAGGCGAATTGGTAACGGCGCGGCCGCGAAAGTTATCAGGCCATGGAGATGCGAGTCTTAATTTGCGAGGCTGTTACACTGCCCAGGAGTATGACACTCCTACCTGCTAAAAGCATTCCATCTGCGTGCCTGTACGAACCCGATGCTACCGCGGGGGTAGCTTGACAGAACGGAGAAGTTAAAAATTGTGATGACATTACATGTGAGCCGGAGACAACGGTGTCGTGTTAACGGTGGCAGGAGCACTCGATATATAAATTAAGGGTAGTGTCTTCTGAGCCAGTAAAGTCACTGCAACGAAGTTCACGATGACCAAGGAGAATACATTCATGCGAATTGTGAAAATGGCGAGCAATAACAAATACGATAAGCCCTCAACAAGCCGAGGCTGCCTCCAGATGGTAAGGGAAATAAGGGGCTACTCGGGATGAGACAATATGATAAAATGGCGGGTATCTTCTCCTTTGTTTTCAAGCGACCAGAATGCCATTCGCTCTTGCCAAAGCTAAAAGAAGCAGAGTAAAGGTTTTGCCCGGGTATCCGGCCAAGAACTGGCCATCTCCGAGGTCCGAAAGGCTAGCTGGAAATCTATGGAACAGCAGTCGTCACTGGCCCTAGGCTGGCATCACCACCTCAAGCAATGCAGCAATCTACGTGACGTTTCTCAGGAGTCCATTGGAATCATCGCTGACAATCGGGCCGTGCCCGTACGGTATCTATACGCTGCCCTGTGACTTGAGTTGGTTAGGGCCGGAAGACTGACTGACCCGTGGGCTTTGAAATTAGCTTTGAGGACTCCCTCAATAAATATCTGTTAATGAGCATCGTGGGGTTTGTTTGTCATATTAACTTTTTTTTCGAGTGGATAGTATAATCATGCCGATGTAGGGAAACATCTTTGCAAAACGTCTTACGATTAATGTTGGTTGTGAGACATGTATGGAAATGCTGAGTCTTAAAAGTTTTTAAATATTTTTTGTATCTTTTTTGTCGCCTACAACTAGAGTAATAGACAAAAGGTTGTCAAGAATAATGGGCTGTTTGAAACCATTCCCGGGTCTCTGTTTTGTCTTTGATTTTTTTTTCCCCCTGTTTCTTTTCTTCTTGACATGTATCATATCCTTCCTCTTTTGCCCAAGTGAAACTTCACTCCTTTTTTAATTTACAAGGAAGCTTTGCTCGCCCATCATTGAAACCCTCTCGCACACTCGAAATCTAGAGAGAACAAAAACACAAGTGGCCCGAACAAAAAAGCAAAACAAAGATCGGGCAAGACACGGGATGCAGGTACAAGGATGCAAGGAACTAAAAGAGCCATACTTACATGGTAGATCAATCCGACCACCATAAATACAGCAGTCTTGTTCGTTCATGCCAGCAGTCAAAGCCATGCCTTGGTCCGTTGCAAATTCTGTTCTCCCATTCCACACTCTCTCGCCGTTGCTCTAATTCGCCGCTCTTTCCATTTCATCGCTCTTCCCAAGACGTCCATCACGACTTCCGCCGCTTAGTAGCCGAAAGCCTCGAGGGCCTTGGCCGTCTTGGGATCGACCTTGGCGTTCTTCTTGGCCTCGGTCAGTTGCCGTGCGGCAACCTTCTTACGCTCGTAATAAGCAGCGCCCTTCGCTTTTCTCCGCTCCTCGAGTCTGTTGTAGAAAGATTCATCAGCAAAGATTGATTCGCAAAAGAATGGCTCCAACAAGTCACGAAAGGAAATCTCCTTGCAAGGACAAAATACACACCTGGCAACAACATCCTGGTACTTCCAGCCAACCTCATGGCTCAACCGGCCTACGGTGCAGTACTTGCGGCCAGGCTGCAGTCTCAGGACTCGCAAGGCCTGGGGAACGACCATCTTCTTCTGCTTGTCATACGGGGGCGGGACTCCCTCGAAAACCTTCAGGCGCTCGAGCGCGGCGGCACCGCGGGCGGTCTTGTGCGGAATCATGCCGCGGACAGCCTTATAGAAGATGCGCGAGGGGGCGCGGAAGTGGAAAGGACCGCCGCGAGTCGGGTTGTAACGAGTCATCTTGCGGAGGTAGGAGTGGTACTTGACTAAACAGAAAGAATGATACAATCTTAGTAAATTCTCGTAGAGATGTTTTGGCTGGGGTGGGTAGGGCGGTGGTGGTGGCATACGCTTAGCGCGAAAGAACTCGCCAGAAATGTTCAGAGCCTCACAGCGGACAACGACAATCTTCTGGCCGTTCAGCAGCTGCTTAGCAACGATGCTAGCCAGACGGCCCAGCAGATGGCCCTTGCCATCAATGACAACCTATTTAAAAACCAAGTCAGCAAATCTAGTTGATGTTTGCAACGTCGCTATCAGCTCCCTCTACTGCAAAATCAACGCGTCTCCTCCTGTCGATCGTTTTCCATCGTCGCTAGATCGTTGCAGTATGCATTGTTCGCGATATGTGCAGTTCGGTCGAATGAGGCAAGCTCAACTGGAAATGTACCGTGCGAAGAACGGCAGAGTCAAGCATTCAATTGTTCGACGTTTAAGTCCTTAGTTGGACATAAGCCTTCCTCGTGACCTGATGTTCCAATGTTCCTTCGCGCGAAGAATTGACAACGCCATATCGTGAACCGTGGCCACATTTGTACAGCCGATTCGCTTCGAAATGTAGAGATGCCACTAGAAGTAGAGGCAGCAACACACAGCGACGCGCAGTGTAGGCACAAAAGCAGGCAACACTTACAACAGACTCGAAGCTCGACATTTTGTGTGATGTGGTTATCGGCCGCAGTAAAGCGGGCGTATCGGGGACGATAGAATCGAAATGGGAAAAGTAAAAGAGAGAACAGACTGGTGATGGGTCTGCCTAGTTTTTCTTGTGCTGTTGTCGACGCTCGACGTTATTAATGTCCTCCGTCGGTGGACTTCGATTGTTGTCGAAGGGGGTTGCTGGGTTATTGATGTTGTTGATTATCGCGAAAGCCTGTGGAAGAAGGACGAGGAAAAGAAAATGCCAGTCCACTTTCACACACAGAAAGTGATGGAGGGCTCAAAAAAAAATGATACAGAAAATGCTAGCCACCACCAATAGAAAAATTAATCACAAAATTATGTTGCGGCGGCGGATTTTGGCTCTTGGTGTGGTGCTTTCTAGACTAGGGCTGGTTGGCCGTTCTAGGTCTTCTGAAAGAAGTAAGCCGAGCCAAAAAGAGGGGCGAGTGGAGGCTTACAGTACTTAGGGCTCTCCAACCTGATCATGTGACATAAATACTGCTGAGTCATGATAATGAGCTTGAAAAGCCCACGTGATGACAACTATCGCGATATTGACTAAACACAGCAGCGACCAAGTCACGATTTGCATTTTGACTTCATTTGCCCACTGCGCTCGTCAACGTAGAGCTTTTAATAGTCATTGTTAGCAATAAACTTGCTCAATCAAATAACAAAATACATGTGGTTTCAATCAGATTATGTAACATGGAGGGGTTGCCGGTACAGAGTATGCGCCGTATGCTTAAAGAAGAAGCAATATCAAACATTAACCTAGGACAGCTTCAGATGAAACAAAACGGATGCCTTCCTATTCGCCTTTGTGCCACCTTTAATTGGCTAGGCCCAACTCATGTGGAAGGCTTGATCTTGGAGTCCACATCTTTTAAGACGTCCTGCACTTTGTTAACAAGCGCTTTGCGCTTCGCGCGTGTCGCATCCTCGCCACCAGTGCTCACAGCGTCCAACTTCAAGAGAACATGCTGGAAAACGGTCTCAGAAATTTTCGCGTGCTCGTCAGCTCTCTTCTTAGGATCGGAAGGCGGATTCTGAACGAATTCCTTACACAGAGGTAGCAGGTGCGACTCGAAGTGAGCGTCGATATTGTTTAACTGATCCATGGCTGAACCCTGCGTGGTCTTGGGTGGCACAATATTGGAGATGTTGGAGGTGCGGGAATCACCCGATACGCCAGAGGTCCCCGACGCTGCGGAGTGTGCGCGGCTTGATGGGCCGGATTTTTGATCAGGTCGTCCACGTCGCGGCACCTCCAGGTTGCCAGTGGACGAGGATGGTCCAGCCTGCTGTTTTGGACTGCGATCCGGTCTCGCCGGCCTACCCTTTTTCGTTGGCGACTTGGGTTTCTCCTCAAGTTCCTCACCTGGGAGTACAACCAGGAGCTCGCTGTTGTTCTTGACGCCGTCGACGCAGATCGGTTGCTCGTCATTCTTCAAAACTTTCCCCTTGTAGTACAGTTTGATGTGCTTCGTTTGCGCGTCGGACAAGTCGTAAAGCAGCTGCAAACGATCCCGGACATCTTCGATAAAGAGCTTGCCATCACCAATGGAAAAGGCGGGGAAAAACTCTTCCTTGACTTCGTTGCCATGGCGGAGTAGCAGTATGTCCTCCTGGGGAATATCGTTGAGGTTGTCGTCATTAGGCGGGCGGAAGTAGGACCCGCCCGTGCGGCTACCCGTGACACCATATTCAAAAGGCGACGACTGGGCGCCGAGGTTGCGATTATGGAGGTCGTCCGATGTTATGTACTCGTAGTCGTCGTCGGTCACATCTGGCACACCCTCGTTGCTCAGTGTCGAAGTGAACGGAGACAGCTGCTGGCCAGTCGACCAGCCGTAACGCCGCATGCCGTCTTTTTCTGCTGTCCCTCCTGCTTTTGCCTTTTTGGCGGCTTTCCGCTTTTTGCTTCGAGAGAGCTTGGGGCGCTTGGTTGCGGAGGTTGGTTTCGACGCCGAGATCTTGAAGGAGGCGATGGTACGTGCGGCCGCTCCTACAAGGACAGCACCGGCAACGGTGCTATAAAGGGCCGTCGGCGGGACGCCTGTGGTGGAGTAGATGTAAGCGGATGAGTTGGCGATGGCGGTCGCGACTGTGTCAACGGATGAATCGAGATACGTTTGCAAGCTAGAAGGCAACTTTGGCAGCAGGGCTGACGTGATGTTGGCCAGGCTGGCAAATGGGGCACCCAATGATGCCGCGGCAGCGGAACTGGAAGCCACTTTGGCGAGTGGTTCGGTCCCTTAACAGGACACGATACGCATACCGTGTGGAAAAAACTTGGGAGTGTGCTAGGAAAGAAGGATGGGAGGCCAAGGAATAGAATGTTCGCAAGTAAATGTCGGCTGTGGCGCGCCGATATCCTTTTTTTCTGAGGAGTGATCCGCTGTTCGTTGTGCTTGGGCAGCACGCGTCGTTCTCGGCGGTAGAACGTGGTTGGGCGAATAAAAAACGGTGGGCGGTTGCGCAGACCCCACGTGAGATGGAGTGGACAACGGGTAGAGGCTGATTCGTGCGTTGGGCTGCTGGATCACAAGAGAGGAAGGGTGTCCTGTTGTGTACTTAGTTGATGAGAAGACGGAGAAATAAAGGGGAGAAATCAGATTTACTGTTGGCTTAGCTCCATCAAAGATAGGCTTGCGCAATACTTCGTTATTTAACCTTTTGTTGGATGGCTTAGTTGCTTTTAAGTGGATCAGAATGCGACGACGAGCAAGGCGTTTGAGTAGTTTCCTGTTAATGGCTTGCGTGGCAAGAAAAAAAAGGTGAAAATGTGCATGAACAACAAAGCAGAACATCACAAAGTTAAGTCATAAGTATGTCAACAGAGCAGCTACCATAGTTAAGCTGGGCAAGCTGGGTTGCCCAAACCGATTGGTTGGGCCTGGCCATCAAACGGGCCCGCCCACTGCGCTACGGGCCTCAAAAAAGCTGCAGTTAGAGGATCACATGACCACCGCGACTTACGACTTACGAATCACTTGCTGAACTGATACTGTTGAGTACGGCATCCGTTATCGTTTTCTTTGAAAAAAAAAAAAAAGGAGTGCGCTCGCCAAACAACATCCTACTACTAAGGCCCTGTAGATGACACAGTCGTCTCGTGTTTCTTGCACCCTCGAAATAAACCATAAACAGATTTGTTACCAGCTGGTTATTTCAGGCTTACTACAAGTTAAGATTACAATATGTCTCCTGCTGTATGACTAAGAGTATACGTGACTTGGAATGGCCTTCTGTTTGGCCGGCCAGACGATGCGAGAAAAAGTTACTACGAGATAATGCGACACCCCTCTCGCCAGCCCATGCCGTCAGGGATATCCGCCCTCGAGCCGCCAAACATATAATGGTTCTTTTTGTAAAAAAAAAAAATAAAAAAAAAAAATAAAAAAAATAAAAAAAAAAAAAAAAACGGAAGAGAGCAGGACTTGTGATGATGGAGACTGGTTGGATTCTCCAGGCCCGCTTCGCCAAGGTACTCAAGCACTTTTGGTCAATGATCAATTGCTTTCACAAAGCTCTCTGTCGGCGGGAACAAGGCTCCACAAAAGGTAGGCTTGAATTTGGCCACTTTCCGCAGGCTTCTCTGCTACTCCATGGGAGTTCACAAGCCGAGTTCAGCCCGTGGTGTTGACAAATCGCAGGCTCGTCAAACAATAAATTAGCAAACACTGCCGCAAAGCGCCCTTTGACAACTTTGTCGTATAGACGACCCCAGCATACGTTGTGGGCAAGAACGGGATTTCTCTCTCTAACCAACAAACTGTCAACCACACAAAACGAGCCATAACACAAGACCGGCCTCGCGAGCGCAAGAACCAGGTTCCTCTTGTAGTGGCTTATCAATACACTCTATTAGGGACCGTTTGCAAATGTCCGCCCGAACGTATCGACTCGCCTTGCCACTGAGAAGCAGTTCCCGGATACACAAAGGCCCCTCTTTTTGCCCCCGATTGCGTTATTCGCCATCAAACCGTGCGCCGATTTCGACATATATTTCCCCTTCACGGCTCAGCTCTTCCACTTCAACGTCACAGTCTTTCCAACTACACCGACAAAGAAGACTCCCCTCAATGTACTTCTTCAGTCGACTTTTCTCATCATCCGCTCCAGCAGACAACATGGCTGCCACACAGAAAGCCCAACAGCTTATTGACGACAACGCCGTCGTTGTCTTCAGCAAGTCGTACTGCCCTTACTGCCGTAGCACGAAGCGCACACTCGACGACCTTGGTGCTAAGTACTTTGCTATCGAACTCGACCAGGAGGGTAGGCTGATTCTTCCCCCTTCCCGCACATAGTTTATAATAAGACACATACTAACGGAGCGGATTGCATAGAGGATGGCAGCGAGATTCAGGATGCACTCCAGAGAATCTCCGGCCAACGCACCGTGCCAAACATCTACATCGGCAAAAAGCATATTGGCGGTAATTCAGATCTGGAGGCGCACAAGAACAAGGATCTGAAGAAGCTGTTGAAAGATGCCGGCGCGCTTGCTTAGATAATATGGTCGTTTCTTTTCGTTTGGTGCAGGATCGGAGGATGCGAGAGTCTTACACGGCTTCTGGCGCCGCATGCGGCGCCCAAAATCTCACTTGCACCCACCTTTTGATGACATAGATTTGACGACTACTATACCGCAGGATCTGCCTTAATAGCCAATGTTGCAAATAAGGTCCTGCTGCGAATGCAATTCGTTTCTACCCCAATTGTTACGTACCCAGTTTTTAAAGATCTCTGCGCGACTTGAACTCCAGGGTTTCCAGGATACTGGTGAGAGACCTTACGAAAACAAGATTGTTACTGCAAATATTGTTTGTATAATAGTCGCGAGGCCAATTCTATAGGTTGGAGCTTGATACCTAAAGAAGTGTAGGAGATATATACGAGACAGATAATATACGACAAATAATTTTACAAAGCAAAACGCCTCTATATAACTTGTGCAGCCACGGTCCCGATCGGCCGCTCAACAAACTCGATCATGCCGTTCGCGATGCTTTGGCGCGCTGCCTCGCTGGCCACATTCGCACCACCCAGATAGTTCAACCACAGTGCCCGTGACAACCGCTCATCGCCAACGGTGCCTAGAAGCTGCCGACCCATGGACCTGCCATCATCGAAGATGACACTGAGCTCTCCATCGGAACCGCGCACTAGCATGAGCTCCCGTCCCTTTTTCGCCTTGCCGCGGTTGAAAATGTGGCGGAACTCTCGCATGGATTCGCCAAAGTCTGGGGCGGTATCATTACTCGCTCCCGCCTCCTGCTTCTCCTTATCTAGGATACGGGGCGCCTGGCTCTTGATGGCCCGCTGAAATCCGTCCCGCAAGTGAGGGAAATCGGTGTCCCGTACAGGGACAATGCGGAACAGTGACCGTGTGGGAACACCCTCCTCGAGCATGACGTCCCACAAGGTCTGGCTGTCGGTGGGATCCAGCAGCGAAGCTCGCAACTCGTTTTTTTCACCGGATACTAGCGCCGTGGCAATAGGGTTGACCCGTTTGATCAGGCGGTTCTGCAGCGCCGCAATGTCGGCGGTGGCCACGTAGAAACCGACGACGTACACTTCAAATTTCAAGAATGTGACGGTGCGAGTGCCGAGTCCAACAAGTGTATATTCTGTGCAAGGTCCGTCGCTGTCGTCTACTTGTGGTACGACAACCACCGCATCGGGAGGAGGCGATTGTGGTTTCTCGCCAATAAGCTCCAATGGGAGTTCAACGGTCCGAGGAAACTCGGTCACGATGCTGTTGCCTGTGGGCACAATCTCACGGCCATCTTTGTTGTGAACAACAACCTTACGCGCTGCAAGCTCGCTTTGTGGTGTGCCGGTAGCATCCAGTTTCTTCGGGTTCTTTTCCAGCACCTTCTTCACCTGCCAGCCCGTGTAGCCCATGGCGATGAGCCCGGCTACCGACCCAGTTGCCAGGAAAATTAGCCGCGTTCGGTCGTAGTCATGGCGCTTACGAGCCAGATTTGGGACATTGAGTGTATCATAGGTCGAACCACGGACGCCACTGTCGCGCGAGCGGAGGAACGTCCGGCGCTGGAGGGTTTGCAACAGCTTGGGGCCGTTGTGAGCCATAGCACATCTGCGACCTGGTATATTGAGCAATGGGCGTGAGCCCACCGCTCGCACTACAATTCTTTGCAGCATGATGTATCGGTGCACGGCGTCGTGGTGGTTCTCTCGGATCGTGTGGTGAAGCTCGGATTCAGTCGATGGTAAACGATTGCTGGGATGTAGATGCGAAAGTGGGCTGACAAAAAATCACAGGCAAAGCCAGACGCTAAATGTCGTATTACAGGCAGAGCTGAAGAAATTACAGGCAGAGCTGAAGAAACTAGTTCAGAAGCCTGGGGATTGTTCGTCATAACGTCATAACAGGGCACTACGCCGGTTGTGTCGGCTTTAGCCTAGTATGCAGGTAATGAAGGGCGTGTGCGTATTCAAGGTTGTGATCTGTCCGGTGAATCTTCGCTGGATAACGATCATTGCACAACTGTTCTTATGAATTACCTTTTTTATTAACATTCGTCTCGTTATTCCATCTTCCTATTACACCTGTTTATATTTGCTTGTATCCCCCCCAAAAAGCCGTACGTCGTACAGTGACAACAGCCTCCTGCACATCACGACAGCTAACGTATAGAATCTATATATGCAATAATAATTGCCATTGATAATGACACTCAAAACCTATAGATACGGTAGTTGTTGATTTGTGGACGGGTGTCAAAACTAATTACAATCACTAAATCACTATTGTGGAACGTTAAAGTCAACCCATCGAAGTAGGGAGGATTCCTGATTCCTAATCCTTTCATAGCACTTATTGTTAACAGTAGCGGTTAGTTCGCAGTTCCACAGGATGCAAAACCGACCACATCTTCTTGTCATTATTGAAAGCGTTGCTCGCCTTTACCAAACCTGTCTCCAGGTGATTCTCTATAGAATTTGGTGGACACAAGATTACGAGTACAGAGAGACGCAAATTTTGTTGCTTACAACAGCAACGTTGATGTACTTTTAAAAGATAGTATTCAATGAGTCTGTTTCGCTTAGATGTGCATTCATGGAAGACGTAGTTTTGTCCGCTAACGTTGGAGACGATGGGACGGCCATAGACGAGTCTTTCATCGTTATCACCAATCAACGGAAAATGCAGGACAACGTACGGAATAAGGTGTCGTACAACACTGAAGAATCTAATCTCATATCACTTTTCAGAAATAGAAACGAACAGTTGAAATGCGAAGGAAATCAAAAGGTGGTGTGGCGAAGTGCGGCTAAGCGCCGAACGACACCTTGCCTTGATGAAACAAGGTGCTCGTGACGAATGAGAGACGGAAACTGCTTCTTATTTGACTGCAGCTAAGCGGACTATTCCGTCCTTAGTCTTTTTTTTTTTAGCGAAAGTGACAAAAAATTTCAGAGGACCGTTTCTTTAAGAATCCCCCCTTTACATCTCAGGCCGCGACGCCAACTTACCTTACTGCCTTGCCTATTACTTGGTTGTCTTGCGAAATAAGTTGTGGGTGGTGCGAGACACGTCAACGAGCTATTTGACGCATCTTATTAATCGTACGTCGTGCAGCTTGATTTGCTCCAGCAGTCTGTTCTCTGCCCCATTTCGCTGCCAGGCTTTTGATTATACACACATAAAATATATTCTTCTTCTTCTGTAATAAACAAGTAAGGACATAGCAGCCGCACTAAAATTTGCAGTTTCGATTTTCATGATTTGGTCTCGAAATTTACTGAGTTGCTGACATTGTATGGCGCCTTTCGCATTCTCAGCTTTTCAAAAGGAATGTTGACTGCTGGATCGTTGCTAGGACAAATCCCATTGAGGTTTGCGGGTCGACTGATCAAGGGGATGGACAGTCTCACAGGACAAGGCTGAAGTTGCCCCACCTATCTGGCCCCTTTCGTCTTCTTCCTGTATCCAAACCATTCTGAGCACACAACAGGTCGGATACAGGGGCCTAGCAGGCCAAACTCAACTGGAGTAAACTGGCCTATCCGTCAGCTTACCGTGAAAATAGCGGTAATGGCCGTGTGACCTTCTGTTCTCGACCCACTGCAACGGGCGCTTCAGCGCCGCACCTGCCCTAAGCGAAATCGAAACAAGTCGCCGCATGGTGACGAAGGCAAGAAATGCCCCCCCAACGGCGACTCTGATCCATTACGAAGTATTTCCGTTTGCCTCTCCGGCTTCTTTCCTTATTTTTAATCATCCAGCATCATTTCTCAGCCCAACCAAATCCGCCATACGTCTTTGTTGCTCATTTGCGCTGTTCTTCCATCATATCGCCTTCACATCCTGACGTACATCGACAATTTCTCGTCTTATTCATCGTTTTCTTGTATACCTAGCCTTGTTTTCCCTTCAACCTCATCACGGCCTTCTACGAAAGCAACGCCTCTTGCCATCTGAGTTCTCGCCCAGATTCTCTACAACCCGCATCCTGCCCCTCCATTTCGCTACGACAGCGGCACTCTTCCATCGTTACGATCTCCTTCCTTTCTTCAAGTTGAACCATTGCACGACCTCGCACTTGTCCCCGTTGAAGCCATTACCGATTTTGTCGCCCAAGAGGGCTTGGCACGGGGAGGTGACTGCAATAAGTACGAGACTCGCATTCTGTTTCGCAGCGACCACAAATAAACCTTCTAGTCCCGTTACCTTTGGGCCCAACCTACCTATCTAGCGACAGTCCCGAGAAAGGTGTTTTGAACCCGGCGCGCAGTTTTCCCAACTGGTCCCTTAAATACCAGTTCACTAACTCGCGAACTTACTTTCATTACCTGACCATGGCTGCACCGTCGCTTGACGGCGATCATCCGAGCGGTAGAGCTTCCCGGCGGCAACAAGCTCCGTCGCTCGATGTCACGGCCGCCCAGTCCTCATCCCAGACTGCTCTTACGACGGAAGAATCGGAGTCAGGAACGGTGCAAGAATCTCGCTCGTCGTCATCGACAAACTCTCCCGCTCCAAACGACAACGAGGAGTCGGACTTTTTCCTCGTCCCCAACGATTCAGAGTCATCTCTTGGTGTCTCCAACCTTCAGGATATGCACGTAGTCGATGATGGCGACGAAAATGTGTGCATCTCCCCCGTCAACCGGTTGCCAAACGAAATTCTGATTTCCATTTTTGCAAAACTGGGGTCCTCTGCGGACCTGCTGCACTGCATGCTTACCTGCAAGCGGTGGGCACGAAACTCGGTCGACCTACTTTGGCATCGGCCAGCTTGCACCAACTGGGGACGTCATAAGTCGATCTGCCAAACCCTCGGGCTGCCCAACCAGTACTTTCACTACAAGGACTTCATCAAGCGCCTAAACCTAGCGTCCATCGCTGATAAAGTCAGCGACGGGAGCGTATTGCCCCTTGCTGTTTGCAACCGCATTGAACGCTTGACGCTGACAAACTGCAAGAGCTTGACCGACATTGGCCTTATTCCGCTTATACAGGATAGCCATCATCTTCTGGCCTTGGATATTTCTGGAGACGACCAGATAACCGAAGCCACCATGTTTGCCATTGCAGAACATTGCAGGAGACTGCAAGGTCTTAATGTTTCGAGTTGTACGAAGATCTCTAACGAAGGCTTGATTAAGCTTGCAGAGAGCTGCAAATATATTAAGCGGGTAAGTCTTATCATGCTGGACTATTTGTTTGCCAGCTATACCGCTCTTGACTGACCTCCTATTAGATCAAGCTTAACGACTGTTCCCAGCTGACGGACGATGCGGTTCGTGCCTTTGCGGCGCACTGTCTCAACATCCTCGAGATTGATCTCCACCAATGCAGGCTTATTACGAACGACCCTGTCACAGAGCTCCTGGCACAAGGCCAAACCCTGCGTGAATTACGCTTGGCCAACTGTGAGCTCATAAGTGACAGTGCCTTTCTGAACCTGCCTCCGGAGCGGGTTTATGAACACCTCCGAATTCTCGATCTGACATCTTGCATTCGACTGACGGATCAGGCTGTGGACCGGATCATCACGGTGGCTCCGCGTTTGCGCAATCTCGTCCTCGCAAAGTGCCGCAATATCAGTGATAGTGCCGTCAACTCGATTGCAAGATTGGGAAAAAATTTGCATTATGTTCACCTGGGACACTGCAGTCAAATCACCGACGTGGCTGTGAAGAAGCTAGTGCAGTGCTGCAACCGTATCCGGTACATCGACCTCGGCTGCTGCGTACATCTGACCGACGATTCCGTAACTCGCCTTGCTACCTTGCCCAAACTGAAACGTATCGGTTTAGTGAAGTGCAGCAACATCACGGACGAGAGCGTCAATGCGTTGGCAAGGGCGAACCAGCGGCATCGGCAACGGCGTGACATGGACGGGAACGTCATCGATAACCAGTACTACAGTCACAGCAGTTTGGAGCGCGTTCACCTGAGCTACTGTACCTCACTCACTATTCGGGTAAGGTGAAACCCGCATACATTCCTTTTAATCACCTTCAAGCCCCTCATTTCTGTTATTGACAGTTCGCTATTGTTGTTAGGGCATCATCAAGCTCCTCAATTCGTGTCATCGTCTCACTCACCTCAGTTTGACGGGCGTTCCAGCTTTTCTTCGAGAGGATCTTGGCCGTTTCTGTCGAAGCCCACCTCCAGGTATGGCAACCATTTGTGGTTTTGATTTAATGTATTGGATAAATTGTGTATGATGCTGACGTCTGCCAAGAATTCACGCTTCACCAACGCGAAGTGTTTTGTGTTTTTTCTGGCGAAGGTGTTTCTGAATTACGGGAACATTTGAATAGCCAACCTGGTTATGCTGCATTCCGCGACCGCCCACAAGTCGTCTCGGCGATACCGACCCACCTCAGGACGACTGTCGATTACCCAGCTCCTGCGTCGAATACTGCGAATGGCCATTTACTGAATTTTGACGAGACGGAAGCAGACGCCCCTACTGATGACGACGGGATGGATGAAGGAAGTGAAATGGTCGTCGATGTACCACCACCACCACCAGGAGGGATTGGGCCGGTTGCTGGAACTGGCACAAATAATGCCAGCACTGTGCCTATCCCCCAACCAACAGCTGTTCCATATGTCGTATCTGCCGGGAACCCGTTACCATATATGCCTAGGGGATATGTGCAACTAGTCCGGTTTCCAGAAGATACCCAGGCAGCTTTACCGCAAACCCAGCCACCTAATGCGCATTTCCCTGGATCGATTGATTCTGCGGAACTGGGGCTTATTCTGGCTTCAGATGTTACGGTTAGTGACAGGTATGAAGCCGGCCCATCTCAGTACCCAATGTCGGTTTCATCATCAACCGCCAGTGTCGCTCCCGTGAGAGTACCGTCATTTCAGGGAAACGCGCTTGCAGGACCAAGCACAGTATCTGGCCAAAATACAACCTACGCATGGCAATTACCTGCCACGGCAACGGTCCATGCTGCCACCGGCCCAACTGGAGCAAGCACAGCACCCGTGATGCGAACCAGCTCGTCGCAAGACATCGGGCCCGAACCGCCAACCGATGAAAGTAACGAAGGAGGTGCATGATGTCATGGCAATTTTCATATGGACATTGAGGACACGAATACTCTTGGTCCCTTTTAGCTATGATCATCACCCTTAGAACGAGATTTATGAAATAAATGGAGGATTGTGGTTTTTCTTTTATTAATATGAGCTTTGATACATTTATATACATACCCTTGCTGTCATGTAGCCTGCTTGAACACGCATATTTCCAAATTGCACCAAGCCAATGTGACGGGTCTGATTTTTCGTGTTCAGCTGCTCAGGTCGGACTTAACGTTGGTCAGCAATACGGCCTCTAGCCAAGTAATGCTATCATGATAGACTACAGAGAGTGAAAAAGAAGGGAGTAAAGGGAAAAGGCTTTTGATCCGCCTCACTTTACTTCGGTGTTTCTCAAGGTATTGGATGTGTGTGCATGAGATCCAACGGTTTTACTGGACGATGCAGGCAAACAGCTTCCTTATATAGAGAAAAAGTGTGAATTAAATTGTACCTAATAAAGTCTCTTGTAGTATAGTGGTCAGTATACGGGCTTGTCACGCCCGGGACCCGGGTTCAATTCCCGGCGAGAGAGTTTCTTTTTTTCAGCTAGAAATTTCCAGTTCATTTTCTTCGGTACTATTTTTGTTCTTTAAAACCCATGAAACGTTGAGTGATATATGGGAATGGTGCTTACTGGTAGCATTGTTTCTTTTGCGTTTAGAATCATATTTTGTGAATTCTGTAAAGTTATTGTTCGGTTCGTTCCTGTTGTTTGAGGCTTAGTTATCACTACAAGTACAAATACATTGCACGTGATATTCGCAGTGTACACCAGAACCACTTTTTCCTTGCCCTACGACGAAATAGTGGATCCCACGAAAGTTTGCAAGGACAAAAAACTATTACTATCGCGAAAAGTTTCCAGGTACCTAATTCTTATTTCCTGCACAACCAACATCCTCGTCATCACTTTGCCGCAGTACCCCAGTGTCTCGAGTCGTGACGATACATCCGTGTCAACTCTGTCAACAACTGTTTCTTTTTCTTTTAAAGAAACCTTTCCATCAACCCAAACCGACAACATGTCTTACCAGAAGGGCGAGAAGGACTTTGGCGAGCAGCCCAAGGCTCACCGCATCCGCATCACTCTGACAAGCCGCAAGGTCCAGTCTCTGGAGCGCGTTTGCACCGAGCTCATCGAGCGTGCCCGCTCCAAGGACCTTCCTGTCAAAGGCCCCGTCCGCCTGCCGGTACGTCAAACGTTACCACTCGAAATATGCTTGATAGACGTGTGCTTTTGTTGTGTACCTGAACCGTTGCTAACGACCTCTCTTTCTCCCCCCACAGACCAAGAACCTGAAGATCACCACCCGCAAGACCCCTTGCGGTGAGGGTTCGAAGACCTGGGATATGTACGAGCTTCGCATCCACAAACGCCTCATCGACCTGCACGCACCCACAGAGGTTGTCAAGTCTGTCATTGTCAATAGTACGTCTCTATTGGATCAATACACCATACGAGAGTTGATGCCGAGCAACAGTACTAACGCATTTTTTTTCAGTCGAGGCTGGCGTCGAGGTCGAGGTCACTATTGCTGCTTAAGTTGTTTCGTTGACTAAGCTCGTTACGGTTCGACCCTCGAGTATATCGTCTATATTGCCTATGTGGATCGCCATCTGTTCTGTCAAGAAAAGCACTGTTTTTTGCTTTCGGATAATTAGAAAGGTTCTGGGATATGCGATTGAAATCAGTGGAAAGGGGCGTTTTTTTCTTTTCCCTACGTCGCTCCAACGCTTGACCATGGAGCGAAAAGGAGGCATATAACCGGCAGACAGTTAAGAAGATGGGTTGCGCACAGGCTGATCATTTATTTGTAGAAGATCTTATCATTTTCTACATGAATCACCCAGGGGTATTAGGTTGCTCCAGGTTTAAAGTAAAAAAATAATAATATTAAGACGAAACTTTTCTCTGTGTGCCTTTTTGGTGAACGTGTATCGTAACTGTTTGTAACCCGTGTAGGTTTTTGCCGAGCATCTATATATCGTGTGGAAACAGCTTGGGAGAAAACAGTTCATTGTTTCTCCCTTGACCGTTCTCATCCTCGTCAGTCTGCTTGGTCCTGGCGCCTCTTTGGTGCTACTAGAGTTCCTTTGCGGCCCATTGTGTTTCGATTGTCCGCAGTGTCTTAACCAGGCCTGGCCCGAGGCTTTCGAGTACAGAACGCTCTGCAATTGTCATCTGCCGTAGGACATAGTCGACCACCGCAACCCTGTCTCGCTCTTCCGGGCGGCCGATGCCCACTGATAATCGGGCCCATTGTGCTCCGTTAACCTCGCTTGGTCGGAGTCTTGTGGCAATGCTCTTCAGGCCATTATGCCCACGCGGACTGCGCGTCCAGGGTCGTACCGAGAGATCGCCGAGCTCCATTTCCAAGTCGTCGTGTATGAGAACAAGACCTAGCTTATCAGCCGGTCGAGTTGACTCTGTGTCGTCCTGGGCCTTTAAAGCGCCCTTCCATACTTTTGCAACCCACGGACCAGAAACGTTCATGAGTGTTGGGCTTTGCATCAGCGTATATTGAGTACCTTTGCCTGCACCTGACGTTGTTACTGGTGCATACTTGCCAGTGTACAACCGGTTCGGCGCAAACGGTGGTAACATCAATTCACGGCGCAATGCCTCGAGCGCGACATGGCCGGCCGAGTGCAAGGTGTTGAGATAGGCTCCTGGGTTGCCAATACTGAGAACAAGAACATGGGATATACCGGCCATTGGAGGCAATGGTGTTCCGGACCAGTGATCTTGGGCACCTAGAGTATGTCCGCAGAGTGTCTGACGTTTGTATTGCTTTTAGTTAGTTTCTCGTGGCGAGTTTTTGTAGGAAGCTCATTTTGGGGTTAGTGGAGCTGAGTAGCTTAGTCATCTCCACAGCCTGCCCGGTCGCCAAGATGGTCAGCGGTCGCTGACGTAGGACCTGTCTGGCAGAGTCGACGGCCCCTCTCGAACGCACGGCCACTCATACGCCCTGGCTTTGGTGGTCCCACAGGCATATTTGGGCTGAGTTGCCCACCTCGCCAGCTTTTCCCTGGCTGCCTTTCCAATTTTCGCATCCGACGACAACTCGGCGACAATAGAATTGCCCAGTTTCATTTCTACGGCTGATTGTCCTCCATATTTGTTACCGTACCCAAGGTCGACTTTCCGACGCGATTTGCCTGCGTACCCGCGGACTCGATTGCTCTGGGACGCCATCCTCAGCATCCTCGCTCAGTATCTAGCTTGGATCATATTTGGACATTTCCATTTCGAGACAGCTTGACATTCTCCAAACGAACGAACCCCGTCCGGCTTTGTTTTGAACGAATATATTATATTCGTCGTGTGGAAGTTGCCTATCATGTCGTGGGCTGGTATGTCGCCGTTGACGACCGACTTTTGATCGCGTACTCTGTAACTGTTGGAGGTCGCTAACCCACCGCAGGTTTCAAGAAAAATGTCAACCGCGCTACGACGCAGGTGATGATGAAGACAGGTCATGTTGAGAAAACGAGCGATCGTGATTACGAAGTGGAGGAAAGGTAAGCTGCTGTACCACATTCTTCCCGAGTATCCCGAATGACGAGAACGACGCGGTATTGATGTATGACGAACAGACGATTCCATACAATGGAAGCGGCGGCGACACGGTTACAAAAAGAAGCCAAAGGATACTTAGACTCATTAAGAGGTAAGTTGGTTCTGTCTACTCAGGCTACCGGGCAAGAGGCGATTCTGACGCCGAGATCATAGCTATGACAGCATCGCAGATGCGGATTGCCGAGACTATCGACGCGTTCTACGGTGATGCCGGAGCCAAAGATGGTGTGAGTCGAAACTACAAGCAGGCGGTGGAGGATCTGGACTCAGAAACTATCAAGGCTTTGGATGGCCCGTACAGGTAGGTGTGATACTGGGCTGAAAGTAAATGTCCCTCGGCACAACTGTACTGAGCAGTACTGACCATTCGTAAATAGAGCTACGGTGTTTGACCCCATCTCGAGATTCTGTAACTACTTCCCCGACGTCAATGAATGTAAGTACCTACGTATGCCTGCACTGCCTGCGAGGCTGGAGATCTGAGCTTTCTCCCCGGCGCAATTCTGCGTCTTCTGAATCGTACTCGATTTCTGACATTCGACTTTCCCCCCCTTTCTCATTTAGGTATGAAGAAACGCAGTCATAAGCTGCTCGATTACGATGCCCTCCGTGCAAAGGTCAAGAAGCTTGTCGACAAGCCCGACAAAGACTTGACCAAACTCCCGCGTGCTGAGAAGGAGCTCGACATGGCGAAGCAAGCATACGAGCAACTCAACGAGCAACTTTCCACGGAACTGCCGCAACTGATCGACCTGCGTGTGCCATACTTGGATCCCAGCTTTGAGGCACTTGTCAAAATCCAGCTTCGGTTTTGTGCCGAAGCGTACAGTCGAATGGCACAGGTGCAGCAGTATCTAGATGCTGACACACGCGATCAGTATGCCAATGGTGAGCTTGATACACGAGTGGAGCAGGTGCTACAGGAAATCCGGGAGTTGAGCATCAGCGGAACGGTATAGAAGAAGAATTGCACTACGGGAGATGTGACGACACTCTATATTGGGGGCGGCGGCCAGGGACTGGATGGACAGGGGCCTGTCTATACATAATGCACCTTTTGGCGTATGGGTGTTACCTCTTCCTCCAGAGTTTTGCATTTCATGTATGGTGGTCGGTTGGCTTAGGTGACAGCATCTTGCAGGGTATCGTTGGATTTTGTTGCGTTTCCTACACTTCCATTAAACAGAATTTTACAATATTTCTTTGAAACATATTCTACTTTAAATGTTTTCTTGCTAACATAGCAGATGCTGTATCTCTTGTACTCGTTTTAACAACTTCTGCTTAGATGGAGAGAAGGTTCCCAACGAACCTTATTGAATATGGCTACACTTCCAAATTACCTTTCCTTAGACCACTGCAATTCGTTGGCTTCCACGGTATCTAGATACTCGCCACGAGTCTTTTCGGTAATGACCTCGTCAATTTGCGCTTTCCCTTCAGCTGTGGCGTCGGTCCAGTTGACTACGACGTCTCGCCGAACATCGAGTTGTCTCCTTTCCTATGCGTCTTTGATTTTTTCGAACAGACGATGCAGAGGCCACAAGACGGCATCAGATCCATGGTGTGGAGTGCCCGTACCCTGGGTGTTAGGAATGGTCTCTCAGCTATGTGATCGGGACTTTGTCAAGGATATTTCTAATCTTAATCATGCTGCATCATGGTCGTCAGCCTAACAATTACGTTCAAAATAGTGGCATAATTGGGAATGGGGCATCTGGTCTTTGATAAGCATGGCATAACATTTAGAGAAAGCTGCCCTCCATCTTTAATACAAGCCATTGCGTGGTGAATGGGCCCAAAGGGCATAGATGTAGTGATTCCAGTACAAAGAATGGTTATCTGTTATACAGCGCCCATCGTCACTACTACGCATTGGTTTTGAGTCAAAGCAGAAACATACAGACGATGTACAAGAAATAGTTATATGTACGCTTTAAATCCGAAGAAAGAGAAGACAGTCCTAGGCCTCGCGTCTGATTTTTTTTGGCTCCACGACAGTGCCTGTCCACTGACCTCTTTCTGTTGATCCTCTCCATAATCGTCTTCTGTTACAGCTCCATTTTGACCAGTCGGCTTCTTCCAGCCACCTCAACATACCTTTAAGCTTCACCTTCTGGCCACAGTGTCCCAAGACGTAGGTCAAAATCTCATGAGTGGTTTATTTACTCGTCCCAGATGACGGCACTGAGACCGTCCTCGTTGCCAGGTACGCCGGGTGTGCCCACGACTAGGTTGGCCACAAGACCTCCCAGACGGCCTGTCGTCACATTGCGTTCGACAATCGCAACATTCGACGATGTCTGGCCACCAAACGCCACCAAGTCGCCCGCCTTGTTGATCTGGAAGGTGCGCGTGTAGTACGCGTGCGCGTTGGTCGATTCCAGAAACGTCAGTGCCCCGCTCGCCGGGTCTACCGAGTAGGTCGCCACCGAGTCTTGCTGCGCGCCAAACGACTTGTCGTTACGGTTCGTGGCATACACGAAGTTGCCAGATGTGTGGACTTCGGCCGTCTTGCTGTTGGCAGGCGCCGACTTCCCCGCCGGATACGCCGACAGCGACTGCGTCTTCTTCAGCGTTAGGCATCCCCCACTCGCCGGGTACGTCGCCTGCCACACTGTCACACTGTTGGCCAGCTCGTTGGCCACATACAGCATCGTGCCGTCTACCGACCCAGCCTTGGGAACCCACCAAGTGCCGTGGCGCGGGCCATCTGCGGCACCCGTCTGCGCCGCCGGGCACTCTGTGAGCTTTCCGTCGGCCGCGCTGATGCTGAAGATGCGGATCAGATCGGCTCCCAGGTCGGCACTGAGCAAGAATTTGCCTGTGGGGTCCGTGAACGTCGAGTGCGGGTGCGGCTTGTCCTGGCGCGCACGGTTGGGACCTGGTCCAGACATGGTGTAATGGAACCGCTGCAGGTTGGTGCCTCCACCGAGTGGCAGCTTGAATGTTGCAATGGCCGAGGGGTCACTGGAAGTATTAGCTGTGCGGTCTCTTTCTTTCTTTGTCTCTTTCTCTCTGTCTCTCCGCCTTTCTCCAACTATTCCACTCAAACGTACTACTCGGCCGCGGCAATGAAGCCTCTGCCGTCACTGCCACCGTAGAGCGTGCTATGCAGCTCGCCACCCGGTGTCCGGTCCGTTCCGGCCACCTTGAGCGCACCGTTGGCACCCACAGATAGCGCCGTCAGAGTCGAGCCCGTGTTAGCACCGCTCTCGTCGGTGCAGTATACCGTCCCGCCCACCTTGTCCAGCGTCAGCCAGCTGGGCATCTGGCCACAGGCTTTGATGCTCGATGCCACCGCCAGCGACGGCGTACCGGTGCCAGTTGTCAGGGCCAGCGTGTAGAGGTTTCCATTGTAGTGCGAAACTAGCAGATTTGACGTTGCTGCTAGGGATACCGATGGGATAAGGCACAACAGTGCCGACAAAGACGATTTGAAAGTCACCATGTTGGGCAGGCCTGTTTGATGAGCTGCGTAATTTTTTTCTTCCTTTCGTATCTATCGTCGTGTGTCTGGACGTTGATATAGATTGAACAACGTGTTATCGAAATCCTGGATGCCTTGACCAGCTAATATTTATGCGTTGGTCAACATGATTTTCAGAATAAAAAAAAGATGAGGGAGAGGTCCAAAACAAATACTAGAGCAAAAACAGGCCTCTGGCTACCAGAAAAAAATAATGAAGCGGGGAAAGGAATTCCCAAGCACGGAAAATACGAAGACGATATTATCCTTGACTGGGGGCAGCCACGAGAAGCTTGACTTACAGCGCGCACCAAGGGATGTATTACATGAGGTGGTCCTGAATATCCAAGACCGGTGCGGCAATATACGGCCGGAATTGGTATATGAACGAAACCCATGAACATATACAACTGTCAGGTCCCCGTGCGGAGAAACAATATCGGGAAAACGTCCTTGGAAAGTAATTACCGTGGGCTAGGACAACCAATGTCAACCGCTGCGCATCCATATTGTCTTGCATGTGGTGGAAGACACGGACAGTTCTACTAGGCGACGATCCTCCCAAACGGTACTACAGGTTAAAAAATGCTACGCGATGTATAGCCACGCCATTATGGCTGTACTCGTAAGCGAGATGCAACTCAGCACAAAAGAAGTATATGAATTTGCAAAAAGGCTAAATATGACGCAGTCTCATGGCGCTTCTATCCCATTATCCGGGCTATTCAAGGCACTTCCGCACAGTCCTAAAAGTCGGGAAATTGTAAGAAAAAGTAAACGCAGAATCGAGTACTGCAGATAAAAGAGTCAGATGGATAAAAGAGATGGCTTGATACAGCATATCTCACAACATTCCTTTGGGAAGTACCGACTCTTGTTGTAGGCAGACACTACACGCTCGCCAACTAATTTTATCCACTAGAGTACTAGATGGCCGGCCTTGTCAGTGTTAATACGTTGCGAAGTTAAAATTGTGTCGTACCTTGAGTTTATGTTAAGACATGGATGACATAATGTCTTCATTATCTTTCGCCCTTGAGCCCATTGATACGTTTCCATTTTGTTTTGGTGCAGAGGAAAGTCAAGGACAGCCATGATGAGAGGCTCTACGACTGCTTTTTCCTTGTTTGATTTTTTATGTTCTATTACTTCGCACCGGGAAACGGAAACTCGGATCTCCCATTCCGCGTCTTGATTTTCGGTGGGTCTCATGTGGATTGGCAAACGGTCGGCCTGGTTAAATCAAACCTGCCATGTGAACTCCGAGCTGGTGATTCAGCCTCTCCAGTAAAGAAATTTGTCTATATGTTCCAATAGCTAAGTGCGGATAAAACGGATGAGAATCGTTCTGGTTGTTTTTAAAGTACAAGAGCGCTGAAGGGAAAGCCTGTCAAATGTTTTGCTTGGCTGCGGGTTGTGTAAGTCGGCGGTTGTAAAAGCCGACGATGCCGAATTTGGAAATTATTTTCGCAGTGTCACAATAATAGGTGTAATGCTAAACTCGGTCGCTTTTTCCATGCCAAAGGACAATTGGGTATCAGCCTCGAGCAACCTACATTTTTTTTGTAAAGGTCTCTTCCATGGTGAGTTCTGAGCAACATAATAACATTGGTGTTTGCCAGGAATTGTTCAGAGCCTCTCTTCCGAAATAAAACAGCAGAAAATCGGGCGCTGTTCAACCAAGGCGCGTTATCTGTCACACACACCACAGTGTCCACGGAGGATCAAATTACGTCTGTCGTATAATGAACAAAAAAATCCAATCCATAAATAGACTGTAAGCAGTCAACCCACATCTCGGGACATTTCCACAGAGACTCCTTAAGGGACTCAATAATGTTTGTCCTCAGGGCAAGGCGAGGCTAACCATCCTGCTGAGGCCATGTGTTGATCTGATCCGAATAAATGTCTACCTCAATGGTCTGCAGTCAATGAGAATGTATTTTCAGTTATATTTGTGGGCCAAGAACGGCTGATAAGTATTACCGTGAAGGAGGCCTGACGAAAGAAAGGCCTGGGGAGGCGGAATCACGAAGCGAGAGATTTTACAGGCAGGCCGACGTCCTGCTTATTTTCACTCACGCTGTGTCAGATAATTGCCTGTTACCTATTATCTCCCGGCATAAGTACTTCCGCATTGGAAAATATTAAAGTGTGCGATGGTTGTGGCAACGTGGAAGAAATGGGCCGCAAAATAAACACAGAGGTAGGAAGGCAGCGGGAGACGCAGAATGCTAAAAGTGTTACTGACGTGATGCGCGTCAACCACCGTACGATGAATCGGCTCACAACCGTCGTCCTTATATGCCACGGGAGCAAGGCAAAAGAGAACAACATGATGCGGGATGAATGATTATTAAGAACAAGTGACAAAGGAAAACATGAGAGCTGATTTCTAGCCAAGTGATCTGATCAGGCAATCTAAACTTGCCGGGGTTTCCAGGTCGTTCTGGAGCATCATGTGGCTTTATGCCACCATATTCGCTTTTGCCCTTGTGTTGCAAATAAACCCCGGGTTGTAGTTTTGTTCCCAACAGAACGGACACCGATGAAATCATAATTTTCCCGACTGTGTTCCTCCAGTCATGACACCCAATGCCTCAGAGCCGGCCACCCACAACCACCACACACATTCCGTGACCTCTAAAGTGAACTCCAGACTCGCTTTACCAAGAACCTGTCTCAACTTGGTCTTGCCAGCCCTGCATACTCTAATCAATAATTGTGTACGGCACGGGAATTTTCCGCATCGGCCTTGTACGGTCTACCTGCCAAACAACTATTTCGTCCTTTGAGCATAAGCAGAGGCCGTAACGTGAATGTGAAGAAGACACGGAGCACATTTTTTTCACTCCTATTCAAGTCAGTTTTCTCCACGAGTTTGTTCTATTTTGAGAAAAAGAGTCTACTTTCCACATTCTATCCATTCACCGTTCCTGTCATCCCCACTCGCCGAATCGTTGCCGACGCCATTGCTACAACAGTTCGACCGGAATCATGACAATGGGCAATGCCAATTTCGTGGTCGCTGTACTGTGGCTGCTCCAACTTCTAGGACACGCTCATCTGGGATCGGCTGCAGCCCTAAACGTGAACGCAGAGGTCGAGAGCTGTCTCACGAAAGCAGGTGTGCCGTTCGACGCGCCCGGAACCGCTGACTGGTCACAAGATGCAGCGCCTTTCAATCTCCGACTCAACTATACCCCTGCTGCAATCGCTGTCCCAACAACAGTAAAGCACATACAAGACGCGGTCAGCTGCGCAGCCAAGCTGGGTGTGAAGGCAAATCCGAAATGCGGCGGCCACAGCTATGCATCCTTTGGCCTGGGCGGCGAAGATGGCCACTTGGTCATTGAGCTGGACCGGATGGATTCGGTTATCCTTGACAACAGCACAGGTATTGCAACGGTCCAGGGGGGTGCACGCCTTGGGCACGTTGCCGCGGAGCTGTATGCTCAAGGCAAACGTGGTTTTAGTCACGGTACATGTCCGGGTGTTGGTATTGGCGGCCACGCCCTTCATGGCGGCTTTGGTGTGAGCTCCCACACACAGGCCCTTGCATTGGACTTTGTCGTGGGCATCAAGGTGGTGCTATCGAATTCAACAGTAGTGGACTGCTCCGAGACGGAGAACCCCGACCTTTTCTGGGCATTGCGCGGCGCCGGCGCCTCCTACGGAGTGGTGGCCGAGTTCAAGTTCCGGACATTCGTGGTGCCTGAAGTAGTTACCTTCTACTCGGCCGCAATTAACTGGAAGCAAGAGAAGGCGGTCGATGGTCTCAAGGCGTTCCAGGCATTTGCCGAGAGTGGCATGCCTAGTGAGCTGAACTTGCGCATGTTTATCACAAAGGATTTTGCCAACTTCGAGGGTCTGTACTGGGGCAACAAGACTGGTCTCCAGGCGGTTCTTGCACCACTGCTGAACCAGACAGGGGCCAAGCTGGTGCTGGCACAGCAGGGCACATGGCTGGACCAGTTGGAGCACTTTGGCAATGGCATGGATTTGAACCAGACGCATCCGTACAATATGGTGAGCTCTCTCTCTCTCTCTCTCTTTGTCTTTTTCTCTCGCGCTCTCTCTCCTCCTTCTCCATGTTAACAAAACAGCACGAAACCTTTTACTCGTCGAGCCTGTACACCAACAAGTTGAGCGACGACCAAGTCGGCGCTTTTGTCAACTACTGGTACGGCACTGGCAAAGCCATCAAGCGCGACTGGTATGCTCAAATTGACGTGCACGGCGGGAAGAACAGCGCTGTTGGTCGAGTGACACCGAACGCCACCTCGTACGCGCACCGTGACTTCCTGCTCATGACCAACTTTTATGACCGCGTCGACACGGGTGCGTATCCGGCTGACGGGTTTTCGTTCCTGGACAACTTCACATCCAATATCACGGGTAGTCTGGAGCCGAACGAATGGGGCCGGTATGTCAACTATCCGGATCCGCGGCTGAGCCAGGCAGCGGCGCAGAAGAGCTATTGGAGCACGCACCTCGACCGGCTGCAGCAGCTCAAGGCGGGCGTGGATCCCCACAACCTGTTCGACTACCCGCAGGGTATCCTCCCGGCCACAGCCGCAGCTCCAACGTCGGCACCTGCCAAAGCACCGTCGGCGTGAGCTACCGGGCTTTAGAAATGTTTCGGGCGGATAACAAGACTAAACATTGTGGGGAGGGACGGGTATGGCATTGGGCGTTGAGAGCTTAGACGTGTGATTGGATTTATCGGCTGTGAGATCGAGTCGGCCGTCCCCAGCTGTGCTTTATACGGTGAAGGGCTGTATTGGGGTGTTCAAAAAGTAGAGACCATAGTTTCTGTTGCACTTTAGACATTGCATCTCGCTTACACTATTCGTGCCTAGAGTTTTGTTGAACGTCATTGTGGAGTTGCTTGCGGGCGATTGGTTGTTGATCCAGAGATCCGAGCCGGTTGAGCCGGGGTCGGTGCCGTCGAAGTGACAACAGTTGTTGGACAGCGCTGAAGCTGCTGCTATGAGTATTTGTGATCTCAGCCTCAACCTGTGATTCCGTTTCAGACGTGCTTGTTCGACGGCATCCGGCGCTTCATGATTTCATCATTTGTTCGACGGCTTTTTCAACACCACTAGTATGACAGCATCACATCATGACATGTGTGCTCTTGCGTGTTTTGGTGGTGCTCTGATGTCTCCCTGTGCCTGCTGTTGCCTCATCCCATGCTATGCCGGATCTGTCCTAACTGGTTAAGAAGAGCTACGCCATGTGGACGACCCAAAGAATTCGAGGCGATGTGATAACTACTCTGACCTCTTGTTAAGTGTCGGTGCGTTATGAGGTGCAAAAACGAGACAAAGGGTGCCGAACTTCTCCTTCGCGAAATACGCGAAAAGACGTCGCTGAAGAGGTGAGGCCGGCATCGCATCGCTTCATTGGCCGGCTGCATCGCGTCATTTGGGGGGTTGGTGCTGTCCTCATCGCTTTTGCGCCGCCCAACTGCCCCTGTAGACATGTCTGCCACTGAAGCAGCCCCGTTGTCCAGCAGGTACCCCCACCTCACCGTCCCAGGTGATTGCTAATCGGCCTGTAAATACATGCAGGCAGTCCCACCTTCGCCGCGTTTGCGTGCCCGTCGTGGCACTAGCTCAGGGCCCAGATCGCATGCTGCATGATTTTGCTTCCTGATGTCGTGAACCTCCAGCATCGCCAGACCCTAATCCTCACAACATTAACGATTCTTGCCGCGTTTCTGCTCCCAGATTTTGTTTAGTCTGTTCGTCTTGCTCGCTAGGCAATTTCTTTTTTTGGATGTGCTTCGCTCCCTCCCACTAGCTTTGCCTCTGTGCCCCTTGTATCTGAGGTCAGACTGTGAGATAAACGGCTGCCGGCGCCCGTTGTTGTTTCCGGCCTTCTCCGTTTTCTTCTCCGTTTTATTCTCACTCTCTTTTCTCCCCTTCTCCCCTCTTCTCGCCTCCCACCTCTCCCTCTTCCTCTTCATGGCCTCGCATAGCAGAAGTATACGAGCCTCCTCGTCTCTCGCAATCGACATCACTCTCAAAGGACCCGACAAGCGCATAAACTCGGAAAGCGACACCGCTACCGACTCGGCCACGCCCACCATGACAGCCATTGACCTCATCACCCCGGCGGCGGTGGCACCCGCTACTCCCAACAAGCGGGCCCCGGGCTTCGACGGCGATATCCTCCTCATCACCTCGCCGCGGCCACCCACGCAGAAGTGGATTGACCACATCGAGGCCAAGTTCCCAGGCCTGCGTGTCATCTACCGCGAGCTGCAGTGGGGCAATCTGCTCGCGGCTGATGCCCTGACCAAGGATGACTGGCGCTCGGTCACAGTCCTTGTCACGACGGGCTTCTCGCTGCCAAAGAACCCGGCGGACGTACCGAAGCTGCGCTACGTACAGCTCTTCAGCGCCGGCGCCAACATGATTCTCAAGGAGCCGCTGTTCACAGACACAGATATTGTGTTTGCGACGGCCAATGGTGTCCACGGGTGGGTTGCTTACATCGTACCTACCTACTACACAACCCCCGTTCTTGACGAATGAGTCCGTACTGATCGACAGACCCCAAATCACGGAATGGATCATTGCCACGTTCTTGGCATTCAACCACCATAGTAAGCTGCCCCCAACTGCCAATCCTGTCCTTGGTCGTTCGTCGTACTACGTCGTACACATCTGACATCAGCAGTCCCCAAGTACCTGGATCAGCAGAAGAAGGCCACGTGGAAGCGGCCTGATGTTGTCACCGAAGATGCCCTGACCCAGAGAGTGTAAGTTTCTCATATGCCACTTTCTGCGACGCATATGCAAACGTGCAAACGTGCAAACATGCAACCATACAACATCCCAAATGCGAAGTAGTGTCTCCCGCTGATCCCACCAACCCCAGAGGCATTCTTGGCTATGGTAGTATCGGGCGCCAGACGGCCCGCGTCGCCACCGCTCTCGGCATGGAGGTTTATGCCTACACGCTGCACCCGCGCGATACGCCCGAGTCGCGCCGTGACGATGGCTTTGCGCCGCCCGGCACTGGCGATCCGGAAGGCATTTATCCTACCAAGTGGTTCTCGGGTGCCACCCGCGAGGACCGCCACGCTTTCCTGTCGTCCGGCATCGACCTACTCGTTGTCGCTACTCCGCTCACTGATGACACGACGCACCTGCTCGGCGCGGAGGAGCTGCGCCTGCTGGGCAGCACCCGCGACGACGGCACCTGGCGGCCAGGCTTCCTGAGCAACATTGCGCGTGGTCCTATTGTCGAGACAGACGCGCTGATTGAGGCGCTCGACAAGGGCGTTATCCGGGGCGCTGCCCTCGACGTTACGGACCCGGAACCGCTTCCTGCTGGTCACCGGCTATGGGGTGCTAAGAACATCATCATCACGCCGCATATCAGCGGCGTCTCTACCAAGTATGACGAGCGTGTGCTGCAGATCCTTGAAGGCAACCTGCAGCGTTTGAGCGACGGGCGGCCACTGGCCAACCGGGTGAGCCGCAAAGATGGATACTAGATGGGTGCTACACGTTTCTTCATTTCCGTCCTACGGTCACGTCTGTGCATATTCCCTTTTAGGGTTATTTTCCTGCTATTTATTTCGTCATTTTGAATGCCTAGAGCTGTTGCTATCTCTTACTTTGGTATATGATAACTGTATGCGAACGGCATCTCTCTTTCGCTGATGAACCGACTTTGCGTACTCCGGTTTCTCTCACCACCCGCCTCATTCATCAACCATGCCACTGTGAATTCCGCCTGTGGTGCCGCTTTGCCAACCCCGGTGCCTGAGGGGCACCACACTGCGTTGTATTGAAATGGCTAAGAAGCGCCGCAGCTACCGTGCCCAGCTCGAGCTCAGGTTGCCACAGTGGGGGTATGACCACACCGCTGCTGCTGTTCAGAGCCATATCGGTACTCGAAGACGTTGTGTCCGGACCGTACAGTATCCACGACGTCAATGGTGACAGGGTGGCATGCTTTTGCGGGTCATAACCACCAAATGATGTGTTGGCCCACTGTATATACGTCTGATTGAGACTGTTTGTGGGTGGCCCGTCAGCTTCTACTGTGTTGTTACCGTCAGATTCGATCCACGGTGCTAGATTCAGCTTCTGTGTGCGGTTGAGCGCCTCAAAATAACCCGTGGGCGCGCCCCGATCGATGCGTTTGCCCATGGGTCCGCCCATGGCGAGAATTTGAAAATTGTCTGTGCCGTTGAAACGAGGCAACACAATCGATGTGCGGCCATACGCAATAGGAAGGGTGCGCAGGTCGATAGACGGGTAGGTGACGTTGTCAAGCGTGGTTGTCCTAGCACCTGCTACGACATCCCGGCCAAACGGCTTGCCATCAGCATCCCAATAATAAAATGCCGTGATCCAGCCAGAGATGTTGAAACTCGGCCCGTTTGACGTGCCACTGCATGTATGCAGCGTATGCGGCTCGCGGTCTGGTGGCGGAGCCATTGTCCCCGTTGTGCCGCCGCCCGTGTTTGTCGTCGCCGTGGATGCTGCCGCTGGCTGGGCAACGACGATGGAGTTCCAGAATTCTATGATGGCTGGGTCATCTGGTGCATCAAAGGTTTGCACGAAGCGGCGGACCACGGGTAGCAACCGCGCACCGTAGGCTGCCGCCTCGGGGCCGAAGACCGACATCCGCTCCACGCGCCACTGTACCACGACCCAGTCCTGGCGGGTGCCGAGCAGTGTAACCGACGGCAGCCCGCACAAAAGAGCAGCACCGGTATGTGGTGGAGGCTTGCGCCCAAAAGGGCGCGTCTTTGCCAGCATAAGGATGTGTGCTGCCATGACGTGATCGTTTGTCGATGTCGTGAAGTTGGGCGAGATCCACTGGTGTTGTAGCCAGTCGACTTGGATGCGGCTCGTTACTGCGGCGTAGAGAGACGCCATGAATGTGTACCAGTCCGGGTATGCCGAGTCGATCACCGTCTCGTTGGCACGCAGGTCGTACGCTTGAGCCGCCGCCTCCGCCGGATGCGCGTTGATATAAAAATTGATTTGTGCTAGCACGGTCAGCCACAGCTCGTCTGGCTGGAGCACGAGGTGCAGATGCTCGCCCCAGGCCTGCAGGGCGCCGCGAACAAAACTATCGGCAGATGGCAGGACCCGATAATCGTCCTGGACAAAATAGTCGATGTTGTCGCGGTTGGACATGAAGATGTCAACAGAGCGGTTACCGAACTCGTTTGGCGCGCTTTGCGTGTAAAAGTCGTACGGCGTCAGCGTACCGGCTGCACCGGCATATGCTTTGGGAGCGCCACCGGGCAAGACTGTTATGGCGCTGACGATGGCAGCAGGCCAAAGTGTGGCAAGCGCCAGAATGCACACCACTGATGCCATGTTTTGCACCTGGGCAGTGATGATAGTCCCAAGTAGAAGGTAAGAAAAGGTGATTCGGGGACAACCAAAATATGATGCTGTATGAGCGCTCAGTCACCGGCTGGAAGCCAGTTGGGACAGCGACACACCCAATTCCATATTCTTGACTTTCCCCATTTCTGTCTTTGCTTCTCTGCCTGTTACAGGCGCACAGAACAGACGGATGCAAGTGGCTGCTATCGTATATCCCATGCTCATTATCGGCCACTATCCGAGTGTGGCTTTAGCCGGCATCCAAACAGGTCTAGACATTGTTCAAGAGATACAATATCTGAGACGGTTAATAGTCAGAGGACCTACGAAGAAAAAGATGGGAAAAGAAAGACAGGAGGAGCATGAACGGGACGAATGACGCAAACGGAGGGCAAGTCACAGGCACTTTAAACTGTAGGTCTCATGAGGCTCTTCAGTGGTATCGATATCAAGTTTCATTTGCTCACAGTTGCTTGGCACATCGCCAATGGCGCCGCCCTCTCGATTGTAGTATCGGGTATAGCGCAGAACATCCAGAGACTAAAGTCGCTGTACTTTTCAAGAACAAGACGTAATTAATGTCTGCCGTTCGGAGTATTCCGTCTCCGACTGCCGATCCTCCGAGTCCCCGCACGGAACGATAGTCACCACACCTACCTGCTTTCGGATGCATAAGGCGGACGTCACACCAAGTCGGATGTATCGCCGTGGAGGCAAGACCGCTACCATACAGCGTCCAAGCTTACAATAGGTTCTATATTTAAGGGTTGGCCATGGAATATGAATCAAACAGATGATTTCGATGCTATAAATGCACAAGGCAGTTTAATACCAGCTGCGAAACGCCAGACGCCACGGGAAAGGTAAGCGACCACCCATTGCCATGTCCGCCAAGCCATTTCATCTCGCCATTGTTGGTGGAGGCATCACCGGTCTTGTCCTGGCGATTGCACTCCACAAGCGCGGCATCCACGTCACGATCTACGAGCAGGCAGCCGCATTTGGCGAGATCGGGGCGGGTGTGGGCTTGCACTCCAATGCCGTGCGGGCCATGAAGATCTGCGACGAGGCGATATCAGCCGGGTTTCAGCGGGTGGTGACAGGCAACACCTGGCCGTCAAAGAAAGACCAGTGGTTCGAGGTGCTCGACGGCATGTCCGAGGCACCGGCATCGGCATCCGAGCTGCTCAGGCCTCTTTTCACAATCATCGGCCCAGACGGAGGACATGGAGCGTGCCACAGGGCACGGTTTCTCGAGGAGATGGTGCCTCTGCTGCCAGAAGGGTCGGCGCGGTTTGGGAAGCGGCTATTGTGGATTGACGACCCGAGCGATACCAGCAAACCCGTGACGCTGTTCTTTGAGGACGGCACGTCGGCGCAGGCGGATGCTGTACTCGGCTGCGACGGCATCAAGTCGCGAGTGCGTGCGCACCTTGTTGACAAGAACGACCCGGAAGCGGCGCTGCCAACCTACAGCCACAAATTTGTGTACCGCGGGCTGATCCCCATAGCTGATGCCGTGGCTGCACTGGGTGAAGAACGGGCGGCCAACTCCATGCTCTGGTTTGGGGCCGAGCGCCACACACTCACATTTCCTGTTAACCACGGCGAGACACTCAACCTGGTGGCATTTGTTACCACAAACGACCCATGGCCTGCCAAGGGTGCGCATCACCTGACGCTACCGGCGACGCGCGAAGATGCCCTGCGCGACTTTGCCGGCTTTGGACCCAACGTGCTGAAGCTGTTGCACTTGACAGCGCCGAAGCTTGAGCGATGGGGCCTCTTCGACTTGGCGGAGCGCCCGCTACCCCAGTTCTACCGTGGCCGTGTATGCCTGGTGGGTGACGCCGCGCACGCCAGCACACCACATCATGGAGCCGGTGCGGCCATGTGCATTGAGGATGCGGCCGTGCTGGCCGAGCTGCTGGGCGATGCGAGCGTCAGGGACACAACGGGTTTGCAGGCAGCATTCGCGGCATTCGATGCCAATCGCCGTGGCCGCTGCCAGTGGCTGGTGACCAGCAGTCGTCGTCAGGCCGACTTGTACGAGTTGCGGGCCCTGGGACGTGATTACGAAGCGATTGCGGCCGAGATCCGCACTCGGCAGGCGTATATCTGGAACATCGACTTGGACGCGGCTATTGTGAAATCACGAAAAGACCTAGCACAGCGATTGGCACTGGGCTTGCCGGCAGCTGCGGCGCCTGATCCGACGGTGCCGTTCCCGCCAGATATTAACTTTCACCTGAAAGACGTGGAGGCGTGAAGAGACACAAATATATGCATTGCCAAAGATTTGTATACCCAGTATCCCAATGCAAACATAACGTAGAAACAGAAAAGAGAAATTGATATAAAATGCAAGACCCCACGACTGCTTTGGCTGGCTTAAAGACTCCGCCGATACGTCCCGCCCCTGGCACGTCCGTTGCCCAAGCTGCTTGTATCATTGCCGACGATGATAATGCTGAGATTGTGGCAGTGGTTTAGACCAATGGCGTCCAATGCATGCGTTTGGGCCGGTGGTGCAACGGCATGCTGCCGGTGTGCCGACGCAACATCCTCGTCGTTGCTGGTGCCGTCATCCGCCGTGGCACCGCCGCTCCCGTCAATCGGCTGCGGCGCAAAAATCACGGGACACGCCTTGGTGCACACCGAAGGTACACCGTTTCCAAAACAGTCTATTACCGTGCAATACCAGCCGGCCGCGCAGTCGTCGGAGGTCGTGCAGGCATTGTCGCGCTCGTAGTCACCCAGCGTGCATTGAGCGGTGTCTTCAGTCGTCAACGCACACGAACAGGCGATCTGGCCGACATGGTCGGTGCCACAATTGTAAGGGTGAAAGTCGGCAAAGCAGTTTGGAAACGTGGGCTGATGCAGTGTCTGGATGCCGCCATCGCGAACCGACACCTGACCTGCTGGGCAGGCGGGTGCACCTTCGACGTAGGTGACAGTGCTCGTGGCCGTCGGGGTGGGCTGGCTGGATGCGAAACAGGAGCAGGCGCTGGTGACGCCATTGAGGATAGGCTGCAGATCATCGAGGCAGGCCAGCGATGTTTTGGGTGTGGTACGCGCGAAGTTGGCGCGTCGGTCAGCCCGGGAAGGCGGATTGGGGACTGTGGCTGTAGCGTTGGCAAGGCTGCTAGTAAGGCTCCCAGCAAGGCTCTCGCCCCCGTCACCGCTCTTGCCCCAACTATCGTTGCCGACCCTTATTGTGGTTGTGGCAACAATAGTTTGGACAATCGTCTGAACCAGTGTATCGGTTGTGGTCTGAGTACGGTCGAATATGACTGTCTGCGTCGCTGTCTGCGTAACGGTGATGGTTGAGAGGCCGACTGGGGTGGATTGAGTCGAAGGTGATGTTGTCGGGGATGATGCTGAGGATATCGTCATCCATGTTGTTTCTGTCGTTTCTGTCGTTTCTGTTATTTCTGTCGTGCTTCTCGTCAACGCTCCTCGTGTCACTGGCACGGTCACCGTCTCGTACAGAGTGACCGGGGTCGCAAAGATGCCGACCGACCAACTGCAGAACGTGAAGGCCAAGGTCGGACTGCCAATGAGACAACGCAACAGATTGTCGTGCGGGCAATGTTCGTTGTGGTCCGCGTTGTCCACATTGTTCGCGTTGTCAACATCACGGCCCTTGACTCTTGTCGCTTGGGCCTCACGGGCAGGAGGAACAGCGGCGACAGCCGCACTGGCAAACACCGCAACGAGCGGCCCAAAACGCATCGTTGTGTCTGTGGCCCATGGATACTCTCGTCTTTTTGTCCCCCATCAACTCCAAAACGCTGTCGACTGGGGCCGGACAGGAAGATGAGAAAAGTGCGGCAATAGGACGTGGCTTCAACGAATTGGGAGGTCTGTGGGCCATTTTGGAGGCTCTGAAAGACTACTCAGCAATCAAGGCTCAAATGCATCGGATCATCTTTCTGTGCCACAATTTGTTTGCTCCTTTAGTAATTTCGCTGAAAACGCCTGGGTCTTCAATCGGGGCTGTTGTTTTGCGGCCCTGGCCAGACTGTCTGAACTCTGGATTCAGCCTTTTTCTGTTGGGAAGTGCAATTTATTGCGGATGAACTGCCTCGGCGGACAATCGAAATGGATGCATACAATAAGAGGGTCCGACAACAACGGGGGCAAGGCAGCAAAGCAAAGAATGGGTGCTGTATACAATCCACGTACAGCCATGGGCATAACCGAGCCGCCTCAGCGGGAAGAACAGATGGGAGGAGAGGACGAGAGGACAATGATAGGGGCGGTAGTGGGAACACACGAGGCTAAGGAATAAAATGGAAATCGAGAAGAAAGTCAAAACAGACCCGAGATTGGAGAGGTCTAGACCACCAACCTACTAAATGATCCTGTGAGGCAGCATCGGGTGAGAAAAATAATACAGGAAGGAGGCAACGAACCCGACGCAAATAGAAAAGCTAAATGGGGGGACAAGGATCGATTAAAGACGCGACGTGAAAGGAACGGCGAGGCTGTTAAACCGATATGGGTGCCATATTGTCAGGGTAGATGGAGAGCTATTGAATAAATGGTGCGAGTATGCGTACGGCGTGCATCGTAAGTCTCCTAACAAAAGTCACGTCGCTGCTCGAATGCGTCATTCAACTAGTCATATGAAAGATCGTCGCATGGCTCTGTCGTTTCTTTTGCTGCTTTCTAGCGCAACGAGACTGTTGCCTACTTGACTATGCAAGGAAATGGTCTCTCGTCTCATTTTGCTTTTTTGCCTTTCAGGGGACGGCTATTGAGGGTAAATCCTTGGGATTCACAGTTGCATTGGTTCGGTCCCTTCCATGCTTCGTTCTGGAATTCTCCGCAAAGAGGAAACATAAACAGTGCACCTGGAAGTGGCTGGCTGGAAAGTCTTGGTGAACAGTAGCTTAAATTTTAAGTTGGGACCGCCGTTAAAAGAAAAGCATAGAACATAAACAGAAAGAAGAAAAGGGACGCTTTGAGTTCAAGAAGTTGGGGAAATGAACTCGCCAAGGCCAAACAGCGTTTTGTTTTCGTGCAGAGTGCAAATGGTAGTGGTCAAGGAAAGAAAGGACGGATAGGGAAGGATAGAAGAACATGATGCATCCCTGCACGACTACACGCCTGCACGGAGGTTGGTTTGATCGTCGGCACCTGGATGCCAGTTGAAACAAGGTCCACCCGGCGCCGACAGCTATTTTTGTAGTGCTGGTTTCGGCATGGAAGAGAAAAGAAAACGTGAAGGTAATCGAAAGAAAGAAAGCGCAACGAAAAGAGGGAAAAAAAAAAAAAAAAAAAAAAAAAAGAAGTGACGGAGACGGAACGTGGATTGGGGGCAATCTTTTGTCTTGTATTGCCGCCCGGCATTCTCTTCGAGGCAAACCCCTTGACGGAGGATTGGCAAACAGAGAACGAAGAACTTGAGACGACATTAGGAGACAAGATGCGATTAGGTCGGTAGGAGGCGTGAGAAGAAATAGGCTTTTTGACGTCCCCAATTCCATATATGCGGAACAAATACATCGGACAACAGCTGAAACAGGCATTTTTTCTCAAACAAACCGGGCATATCCTTCTCTGGAGAAAAGACCATGGAAGAAAGGTCAAGAAGGGTTGAGACTGGACAAAAAAAGAAACTAAGGGGCACCAGAAGACTCGCGAAGATTGCGAGACGGGCCCAACAAGAGAGTCTGTTTGGGATCTGCACATCATCTGCCCTCACGTTTCCCATTTTCTTTACGTTTTGCCTCTTGCTTCACCCATCGTCGCCCATCTTTTTACCCGTATGACTTCCCTGCCGTTTGCCATTGGCGAATGCGGTCCGGAGACTGGTGACGGATGGGTCGCGGGCTATCCGATCGTCTCGTGTGGCCCAAGAAGCACAAAGAAGAGAATTGTGAAGCAGCAAAGGCAGTGGACGGTGGACGGGACATAGGGGGTGGAGAAGAGGTGAGAAGGAACCAAGCTGTGGTCGTCGCCAGATGCTCATAAGAGTGGCGGTTCCTGTCTCTGGGACATTCCGAGATACTTTTTGGAAAGGGACGAGGGAGTCCTGCATTGCCTTGATTTCGCTATTCTCTTCCCACACACACGCTTGTATTTGATTTTGCTTCGTCTCGGGACCGCCATGGGCTGCTCAACATTCGTCTTCTTATCGGGGCTGCTGGCCAGCGCCGCGCCGCTTGTGTCTGCGCAGTCGTACGGGTCGGAGTCGGCAGGATCATCGTCACCACCAGGGTCGTCGGGCTCGACAAGTCCGTCTGGCTTGTCTGTCGCATCCCCGTCCACGCCGTCCGCCATCGACCTGACCGCCATTGGGCTGCACACACTGGCAAAGGCAAACGGTCTGCTGTTCTTTGGCACGGCCACAGACACCAACCTGTTCAACGACACGTCATACATGCAGATTGTCAACGACCGCAACATGTTTGGCATCCTGGTGCCGGAGAACAGCCTCAAGTGGCAGCCGACAGAGCCGACGCAAAACGACTTTCAGTTCGCCAAGCCAGACAGCGTGCACAGCCTGGCGACGACCAACCAACAAATGTTCCGCTGCCACACGCTCACTTGGTTCCAGCAGCTGCCAGCGTTTATCACCACAACGGCGTGGACGCGAGCCACACTGACGGCTGCCATCCAGACGCACATTGCGCACGTTGTGGGCCACTACCGCGGCGCGTGCTACAGCTGGGACGTAGTCAACGAGGCGCTCAACGACAACGGGACGTTCCGCAACTCGGTCTTTTTCCAGACTCTCGGCACAGACTTTCTGCCCATCTCGTTCCAGGCGGCCGCGCAGGCCGATCCCAACGCACGCCTGTATTACAACGACTTCAACATTGAGTTTGACAACAACAAGACGGCCGCCGCGCTGTCCATTGTCAAGCTCGTCCGTGCCGCCGGCGGGCGCGTGGATGGTGTCGGTTTCCAGGGCCACATGACGACGGGTCAGACGCCCAGCCGCGCCGCAATGGCGGCCGTCTTTCGCAAGTTCACCGCGCTCGATCTCGAGGTCGCCATCACCGAACTGGATGTGCGCCAGACGTCGCTGCCGCCGACGGCCGCGCAGCAGGCCCAACAGGCAACCGACTACGTCAGCATGGTAGGCGGCTGTTTGGATGTTGCGGGCTGTGTGGGTGTTGTCGCGTGGGAATATACAGATCGTTACAGCTGGATCCCGAGCACGTTCCCCGGCACGGGCGCGGCGTGTTTGTTTGACGAGAATCTGCAGCCGAAGCCGGCCTACACGGCCGTGGCGAGCGTGCTGGCAGCCAAGGC